TTGGCGAATGGCAACAAAGGTGATGGAAGAAGAAAGTCATCACTATGTCAACCTGTCTGAGGAGTTAAAGCTGCGAAGAAACCCTCTCTCTGCTTTCGTTGCATATGTTGAAAACATAACCCCTCTATCTAGTTAGTATGGGTCATAATAGTGTTTTGATATCATTTATCTTAACTGTCAATAATTTTCCATAGCATGTTGCAGTGTTTTAGATGTAATATATGCAGGACTAGACTTGTGTTCACAAGCATTGTTGCCAGAAAACAATAAACAAATGCAAGTATAAACATCATAAAAAAGATCATTTTTCATTTTCTTTCTTCTTTGCAGTACAAAGCTGCCATTTGTTCGCAAATGTTTCAGTTTTAGATGTCGAAAAAATGTATGGCAATATTGGATTTGAAGAATTTTTTTTTTTTTTTTTTTCTTTTTTTTGCATCAGTGTGATGAAATTCCTTGATTTATTAACATTTTATTTTGTGGACTGGCCAATAACAGACATTCCAGTCTGGTTATTTTATCCATAAAACTTTTTTTTTTTTTTTTTATCTTCCCAGCAAATGCACTATGTCTCAACATTGCAAATACAGATTTTACTGCTTATTCCAAAAGTGGCACAATCCCCACTCTGAAATGCATTAACACGGGTCATTGACATAAATCTTGTTTTATGTCACTGCAAGTTGACTTTTATAAGGTAAGACAAGAAATTGAAGTCAGTGGCTGCCAGGAAGGCATAAAAACACATTCAGTGATTTAAACCACAGTGAAAATAGTTAGTGGTAATATTAACTATGTGATATTTGTAGTAAATGTGAAAGCTGCAAAAAAAAAAACAAACAAAAAAAAAAACAGCAGTTTGGATCCACACTGCAGCTAAACTGGTGTCAATGTGTCACTCAGGTCATAACAGATGTATCCGTTTATGCCTTAACCATTCACATGACACAATTAGTCTTGTGAATTCACATAATTATGAATGAAAGCATTCCGATTCCTATGAGATGCATATGTTTCTAGGATGTAGTAACCAAGTGTCAACATGTCATTTCCCTTTTCAAGTGTGATATGATTGTTGCACTTACATTTTTGAAGCACATCTGCAAGGCACCAACACAAGGCATCACTCACCCCTCAAAGGCTTTCTCCTTGACCAGGGCGCTCTCCGTATCCTTGCTCTTCAGGATGCCCTGCTTCTTCCTCATCATCTCTGCTGCCTCGGCTCCGTATGTCGCCTCAATGTCGTCAGGGTCCACATCATCAAACCAAAGGTCCTCTCTACAAGAGCAAAGAACAGGATGACATTAGCAGCCATAATTATTCTTGTCCTAAATAATAGCATAGGTTTGTGCTGTGTACTTACTCAGTGGGTTTCGTCTCCTCAACCACAGACTTCTGTTTCTTGGCTGCTTGCTCGATGTTTGACTTCCCACTGTTGCTTTTCCTTTTTGGAGCAGTAGACTGTCTTGTCTGCGAATCAGCTGGAACCTTCAATTTCACCCGAGCATCCTTGTGGACAACACTATTAGACACAGTCTTCGTCTTCACTTTTTTCGCAGCGTGTTTCTGCCTGGGACCTGTATCGTTCTTGGAAGTATTTTTAGAAGAATTTTCTTTAGCCTCCTTTTTTTGCAGAGCACCATTCTGATATTCTGGCGCCTCAGGCTGTTTCTTCTCCGGCTGACTGGCTTTTATTATCTGTGGAGGTTTTGAAAAACAGTGAACAAAATCTTCAGGAAAGTAGTGAAAGTGAGAAAATGTCAAAGACTAAAATCACATGTAAAACGTCTAACGCAGGCCAAACTCTTACCTCTTGTAATATTTTCCAGTTGGCAGAGTACTGTTGGGCATCTTTCGGGGGCTGTGCTTTCCCTTGGTCTATAGGAGGGGGCTTTTTCTTTTTAAACGCCTGATTAAACCACTGTTTCTTTTTCTTTTTCATGTTGTTTTTCTTTTTAGACTTGGGCTGCTGCGTTTTCGCTGGAGCGTCCTTTTTCTTCGCCTTCACCTTCGACATCACGGCCACTTTCGGTGAAATATTTTTGTATTATTTGCTGTAAGTATGTTGAGTCTGTCCTCAGACACGCTGGACCATGAGAGCTCCGTCACTAGGTTACAGCACAACCTTTCAAAAAGTAACGGTCAACAATGTCTCACCATGAAATGCGTGTAGCAACACCAACGAAGAGGGATTTGTCGGATAATTTCTCAAACTGCTGATAAAACTGCTCAGTAGTACTCTTCAGGTGCTCCAAATGCTCCAAAGCCATGCTGGACTGTGTATTTCCGGGGTGTGTAACGACTAAATAAGGCCGGCTGAACACACCGCAACATACGCGTGTCTTGTTATTTACAAAGCTGAACAATACAACGACTACAGTGTGTTTCTTTAAGCTTATACCCACTCAAACCCGTCATGATGTATTAATACGTTAAAAAAGTGACGTGTTGCTGTTTATTTTGCTTTTTATTCCACATGCGGAACACCGTCTATGGTGACTGTTTCACATCGTACCGATTATCACATTGGACAATATGTAGGCAAGATAATTGATCGACGATCATGTATGTTTACGATGCTGAGGATATGTTAAAGACAGGAAGTACTCTGGATTTTAGTAGACATGTTGATTTTATCCTCTTTTTTTGGTGTAGGCACAGTCAGCTTCATTTACGTTTTGGATAAATACGTCGTGTCGCATATTTGGAGGAGATCTTCGTAATATCCAAAGTTCAGTTTAGGTTAGTTGACTGGAAACCATCTGGTGACTATTTAATGGGGGGCATTAATAATAGCTAATAGCTGGGTGAACCAAACCTAGCCATATTTATAAGTTAATAACTGGGTCTGAAGTTTATATATTATTCGAGTCTTTACGCTTCCTCACGTCTGTGAGATTTCAGATCATGGTGGAAAACTCTCCCTCTCCTCTGCCGGAGAGGGCCATTTATGGGTTTGTTCTTTTCCTTGGCTCGCAGTTTGGCTTCTGTAAGTATAATATTGTTGCTTTGTTTTTGTTTTTTTACTTTTTCATGCTCAATTGAAATAATAATCTAAAAAAAAGAACGGGCAGATGCATTAAGGGATTGAATTTTCACATATAGTACCAGTCAAAAAAGATTCAACACACTTTCCCAACTGGTACTGTGCATATCAGTACAACACAAGCATTGTTCTATTGGGCTTAAAACAATTTCATTCAGGTCTAACTTCCCAGGTCATGTAACCCGGGCATATAATGTAGTATTACATATTACATACAATAACACATTGTAAAATATAGCCCCAGCTTGTGTCTCTCATATATTATCATTAGATCCATCTGTCTTTACAAAATACTTAGTACTTAGTCTGCTTTAGTTAAATACATGCTTTAATTTTGTAAATAGGTATTCAAACATAAAAACCCTGTCTGCTCTGTCTACAATATGACATCTACTTTCCTTTCCTCTCTCCACAGTCCTGTATTGCTTGTGGGCTTTCATACCAGAGGAGTGGCTTCATTCAATAGGGCTCACTTATTGGCCTCAAAAGTAAGTTAAAAACATTCTAACCAGATATTAGTTATTCAGTAACAAGTCCCCTCTCTTTACTGTTAAAAGAAAAACATGCTTCAAGAAATACATGTACCACACTAAGTGTTATGATCCATTAGCTGAAACATTTTGTCCTCTGTAGATATTGGGCTCTTGCGGTGCCAATCTATCTGCTGGTTGCATTAACGATCACTGTGCTGTTGCTGTTCGGAGTAAACATGACCAACACGGCTCCCCTCGACTCTGTGGACAACATCACAGGTGAGGACATTACCGTATGCTAACTGTGACTGGTTAGGTGACAAGGCAGCTGTGTTGCAACAATACAGATTTACATTCTAGTGAGATGTGCACTACAGCGGCCATTGATACTGATACTACTGCCACACCAGCCTCCACTATACAGTAATTAGTACTACAACTCCTTCTGCTGAGAATAATATGAAATTTAACGATTGGGTGCCCTGGTGGCTTACCTATTACAGTGTGTACCATAACGGCTAAATTCCTAACTCCAACCCGTGGCCCTTTGCTGCATGTCATCTCCACTCTCTCTCCCTGAGTGTCCTTTCTCTTTCTCCCCACAGCTAACAGAATAAAGGCAAAAAATACTAATAAAAAAGAAATATAACAATTATCTACTAAAGTTCTAAATGGGATTTACACAATACATTTAATCTCTGACAGCATGCTTCCAGACATGACAAAATGCTCAAATGAGAACAGGATTTCCTCTAAATATCCTGAACTTCCTGACCTTAACCCCACTGAATGTCTCCTTTCTGTCACAGATGTGTACGCTCAAGGCCAGAAGACTGAAGGCTACCGCATGGGGGGAATACCAAGACTGAAAGATGTCTCCATTAGTGAAGTCAACAAAATGTTCTACTTGTCGCCAAAATGATAACAAACAGAAACTGATTTTGGCAGGAGGCAGAGCAGAAGTGAAGGTGCTGGGGATTTATGGTAGTGTCACTGTTCACTCCTTGTTTATAAAATGATTACTTAGTTATTTATTTATCCAGAGTATTGCAACATGGGGTAAAGGTTTACTGAATGAACTGACTTTTTCTGATGCATTACGCTTCTGTACTGGGTCAAATTATGTTCTGTGTGTGTGTGTGTTAATAATAGTGATACACAGAATGTGATGTAACACTATATCATGGTTGTCAGAGTCAGAAAGGCATATGATTATTTTCAATAAATTTGACTTTTTATATATACTGTTTTGTTGTGCACTAATTATACATTTGATTTGGCATTAATATTATTATTAAATAAAATAAATAAGCTATAATATATTACTTGAATGCTATTCATTTGTATAAGAGGAGGGCCTTAACCTCTAGGTGACATTGCAAAAAAATCACAGGAGCAGTTAAGTGAGTGTTGAAATGTCCTGATTCAGATGTACGACATCAAGGCGGCGTAACACAAGATTTTATTGTAAAGTACATCCGTCTAAATCACAACTAGCGCTGCAATAAGATCTACAATCAAAGCTTTTGGTTTATAGTGATACCATTCTATAAATATTAAAACTGAAAGGCAATTTTTGTTTTTTCCCTCTACGGGATTTACAATATGCGGTAGATGAAATAAGTGCAGTTATGAATGACCATCATCACAGTTATCTGTAAAGCACAACTAAAACCTGTCAACAACTCTGGGATTTTTATATATTTGCATAATGAGTCACACTTTCCCCAAGTCCTTCTTACTGAAATGACTGAAGATTTTTTTGTGTAAAGATATCATTTATTTATGTATTTAAATATAGCTGCGTTTGTCGGTGTTCTTTTTATTCTTGGCCACTAGGTGGCGATACCACACAGCTTTGGCAACTGCCTAAAACATCAAAGAAGAAGACCGTGCCTCCATGACGCTCGCCATGTTTTTTTATGTGTTGTTCCTCCATTAAGCTGTGTTGGGCCTTCTGCCAGAGTTACACGTGTGTTTAAACATAGTGCAGCAGCAAACAAATGGCCTTCGCTCTGCCGGTGTGGCTCGCGGTGCAGGAGGAACTCCTCGGACATGGCGCGGCAGACCATGAGCCTCCGAGTTGCTTCGACGATTTCGACGACGAAGCTTTGTTCCAGATGTTCCACCTCACCAGACCCTGCATCGCCTTCATTACAGATGCTATACGCATCCGCATGAAGACAGTTGTTATGGACAACCCTGAGCTGCCCGTAGACGCGATGGTCATGGTGGCGCTGAACTATTACGCACACGGAGTCTCCTCCTCTGCCGTGCTGCAGAGACTCGGACTGAGCGAGACGGACTACGCCGTGGTTGTTATTAGCACAGTCTCCGACGTCATAGCAGGGATGTCCGATCAGTTCATCTCATTCCCACTAACCCGGGACGCCAGAGCCAATGTCGCCTTCAAGATAGAGAAAATATGTGGGATCCCCAACGTGCTGGGCGTCCTGGCTCCAGCCCACTTCAGGATCAGAACTTCTCCGTATGAGAGGAGCACCTTCAGGGCTTTTGTCAACAGCTTGAGTTACACGTCGGTCGTGAGCCAGATCATGTGTGACTCCGACGGCAACATACTCAGTGTTGAACATTGTTGCGTGGGCAGCACGTTTGAGCAGGAAATGTGGGAGTCGTCGTTCAAAGGGAGGGAGATGGAGAACGAATTGCATGGACCATATTGGGTTGTTGGTAAGACATGAAAAAAAAAGAAGATTCAAAAGGCAATTCATGGGAGAGACGCATTTGATCATATGCATAAAAATTGTGACAAAATTGGTGACGCTTCACCTGCGGCAGTGTACGTTTTTGCTGAATTTCTGTGTAACATCAGCCCATTAACACACCCGCAAGATCTACTCCAGTAACTACTAAACAGCCAACACATGGAGAATCCCTTACTCCTTAAACACACAGCGATTTTATTTTTGCTTTTGTGTCTTACAACTTTATGCGATCAACAACAGTGTATGTGAAGTAATACTCAACCGAAGAAAATCCTAACCCTGGTTCCACTTACTACCTTTTCCAGACCTTTCAATCATATGTCACAGTCTTCCTCAGCAGACTGGATTTGCTGAGGAAGATGTGGTTGAAATCTATATGAAATCTATAAGTGGGTCATTGAAAGTTCTTTTTGTTTTTTAATGAAACTACTGTTTCCAAAGTCAAGAATAAACTTTGACACTCAGTTCTGAAGATTGTCACATTAAATTATGCAACACCAATACTTACACAATACTAGCATTTTGTCACAGTACCCATGCAGTGCAATAATCATATTTTACAATCACTCCTCTAGCTGGACCCGCTGGTCAGGGTCTGCTTCCCACCCAACATATACAGTGTAAATGAGAAATGTCAGTTTGGAATTTGTAATACATTTCTAAAAATTTGTTAGACATGTTCTGACTTTGTCATCACGGTTTACTGAGTGTGGATCAATGGGCCAAAATAACAAGTATATCCAGTTCAAATTGAATCTACAACGCAACGGTGTGTGCAAAAAGTGGAGGGGTCTGAATATTTTCAAAAGGGACGGTAAAGTTGTTCACAGGAAATGATGCACATCCTTTTACTGTCTATCCCTGAAACTGCTTTACTTAAACTGCTTCATCATGTTTGAAATGGTTGAGTAGGTGTACAGATTGATGTCTTAACTTTGTATAAAGTATTTCTGGCAGACTACACTGCAAGGCCAGTTTATACCCTTCACACTCCATACTACATCTTAAATTTCTTAAATATAAAAATACATTAAATTACAATCTATAGGATTAACATTTGAATGGACTTGTTTCTGTAATAATGTATTAACTGCATTGTCTTGTGTCTCCCTTAAAGGTGGGAAAGGCTACCACTTAAGCAAACATGTGTTGACTCCTGTGTCTGAACCTGCAAATGACAAGGAGGGTCGCTTCAACGAGGCCCACACAAAGATCCACAACGTCATGAGGGCAACGCTCGGCTCCCTGAGGAGGCGTTTCAGATGTCTGATGCAACTTGGTTTTGCACAAGAAACTTCTTTGAACAAAAAGTCTAACATTATCAAGGCATGCTGTGTGTTGCACAACATTGCAAAGAAGTTTTCCGTCCCTCCCCCACCTGCAGCGGGTAAAATTGAGCCCCTGCATCCTGGCAAGCAGCAATCGACACCAGTGGAGGTCAACCCAGAGGCTCTGAAAGCCAGACAGAAACTCATCGATGTTAACTTCTCTTTAGTCACCAGTGGCCAGAACCCACCGAGTAACAACATCACAGAGGACAATGTGTGAGCAGAGTGGGTGCATCGTCTGCTCCATTTCTTTATTTCTTCATTTGGATCCTCATTAGCTTCCACACAGTGGTCGCTAATATTCCCGGGGTCCACACGCAAAAACAACAAATAAAAGAAACAATCATTAAAAACACACTATATCAATAAAGCAAAAGGAAAGAAGAAAGCAGGCAAAGAGTATCACTGACATACTGACACACTGAGGAGGACAAACACTGAAACTAACACCCAGATTACAGTGCTGGATTTCAGTTTTCTGTTGCTTTTCAGTTTGACTAATATGTAAATGTGATGGCACACTGGGTTTTTCACCTTGTTTGCGGAGTTGGTAGGAAGACATTCAGGTATTTTTGTTAACATAAAATATTTTATTTCGTATACAAATAGATAATCATTCTTTTCTACCTATATTTCTTCTTAATAAAAGTAACTTGAAAACATTCTGTGGTCATCTGGAGTGTTGTTCCCTTACACGATAATAATAATAATAATAGCAACAATAATAATATAACAATAATAGACATTTGGCAGATTAGAGGAACAAAATTCTCTTTTAAAGTTAAATAAATCCTGCAAAGTGTGCTATGCATATTCAGTAAATACATGTCATTAATATTCATATTTACAGTTTATAACAAAAATTATATGTTGAATTCAGAACTATATTTTGCACAAAGACTGACTGCACGTTTGACAATCACGTTGGTTTCAGGCATCTGTCTACTGTTGACGAAGCTCTCGGAGTGCAGTGGCATTGACATATATCATGTCTTCATTCTCATATATGTTCTCTTCAGTCTTCTCATCTGGCTGCAGACAGTCCATAATGCATTGGTGCAGGAAAACATATTGTGACTGAAAAGAAATAAACCAAAGTTCCTGGTCATTTAAAAAGCAGAACTCTTTTGGGGTATAGAGTACTTGCTGTATGTACTCACTGTAGCCTGCCTGACGCTTCCTTTCACACATAATTGCTCCACATAAACATGAAGGTATACTTTGCATGTTTACCAGCCTCAGAGCTTCCCAATAATATAGAGCACACTTTTGTGGTTGCACTCAAGTGTAACAGAGAATGCAAATGTGCTTGAAAGTAATGCGTAGCATATATTAATGTGTGGCACTTAGATAGAAAGAGCACAATCCATGGCCCTAATGCCACATACTGCTGGCTTTATGTTAAAATTTCATATGATTTAAATAAATATTTTTTTACTCTCAAAATTACTGAGATCTTTATACAAGGACTTGTAAATAACAATGTCACTGAATCTACTTGAAGGTGTCTATATTTGGTTAATATTCAGGCAGATTGACTTTAAGTTAAAGTTTAAATGGGATATTGGAAAAGACATTTTGGAATGTCTAAATAAATGGGTACCTAATTAAGGAAGTAGCTCAGCCCAAAGCAACTTTAAATGATCAGTTTACCTCTGTTTGCACCATGAACGGTCGACACAGTCTCATCCTGTGCACAAAAGCATTGATGCCCACTGTTCTATTTTTGTCTAGCTGCTGAAGCAGCACATCCAGGGCAATGATAGTGCCTGTCCTCCCCACTCCAGCACTAAGAGAGAGACAACACAGGTACAGTATAATAGTCATCATGAGGTAGTCCTGATGGTTTCCAAATAGATATTTAATTTCATGTAGAAATCATACACTTCTGATCCTGAAACATCACCACCCCCTGAGAAATGTCTTACCACAACTAAGCCAGGAAATGAGGAAATGATGTAAAAGTTGGTATTTTATATAAAAATGTATATGCATATACAGTGTATCATAAGATACTCTGTAATCACAGTAAGCTACTCATGTTGACAGGCTACTGTCCAGATTTAAAAGAAGGAAATATTCTGTACCTGCAGTGAACCACTGTTGGTGCTCCGTTCCCTTCTCTCTCTATGTGCCATCTCACCAGTCTTCTGAACTGGATCAGGACATCGGTGCCCTGTGGGACTCCATGGTCAGGCCAGGCTGTGAAGTGGAAATGTTTCACCGTGCGCCCTCCAGATGTGCTTGTCTGTTGAGAAGATTCACATGTATTAATTCAAATACTGTAGGGCTACGTCATGAACCGATATAGTGGCTTGTAAAGTTGTCATCATACACAGCAAGTAAATGTGTGAAAATTCAAACATGCTTCTCATATGACATTAACAGCCAAATAACGTTCAGTCCAGAAACAGTCACACTTTTTTTTTTTTTTTTTGCTTCACGACACAGAGGTATGATAATACCACCCAACCTATTTAGTTACACTCAAATTTTAGAGATTCATACATGTTTCACACTGAATTCCCTCAATGTCCAGTTGGGCTCCTGTTGCTCAGATTTCATGGTGATCAAGAACTCTCCGTAAAGGCAAGGCTTGCTGTCTGCCGGCCAGTATTGTTCACACTTGGTCTAGCAACAGGAAACACACATTAAAAAACAGAAATCAGATTCTTGAAGTTGTTTTAATGTAGTTGTAGCAATAGAACAGAAAATGGCGATGAACAACAGTCTTAGAATTGTGCCAGTTCTTTGTGGTGACCCAAAACCCACCTGAACCATACGGAAACAAAAATAATTGTGTGGATAAGGAAGTTGTCAACATTTGACACCACAGTGCCTATAAGAGTGAATGATTCACAACAGCTCATAATATTTTATATGAGGTTAGCACTTAAAATCAGGCAGTAAAACATTCCTGAAGACTCACCCGTCCTCCTTCAACGCAGTTGGTTACCATGACGATGCCTTTCACTCTTTGTTCCCAAATCATCCTCCAGAAATCACTAACTGTGGAGGGCAGAGGACCCTGAGTGGCAATGTACTCTCTCTCTCTGTTGTATCCCTGAGAAGCAGTTGTCAAAGTTAATATGTACAGTTCTCTAGCTTTTATATGTCCTACACTGCCAACACTTTATGCTCATGACTCATATAAAGTCATCATGGTTCAAGCTTATCAAACCTGCCCTATCTTACAGAAGGATGTTTTTGAGTTTGAGTCAAGATTTTCATAAACTATATAGTAATTACAGAAAGAGCTTTATGAGATGATTGTCAGCTGTCAAATAATACCTACTGGCATGTAACTGGCATTAATGTAGTCAGAGGTCTCATCGGGATTTGATGTACTTAGCTTCACTCGACACCAGTCGTCTAGGATGGAAAAACAAGATGGTTTAACTGCAGTGGTTTAACTACAGCCACAGCTAGAATGACATGGACCATTGGATGCGTTTCTATGGCTTGTGACTTCAGAGGACAGGCTCACATGGCAGGACGTTGTTGAAGCGATTCCTGGCTTTGTTCTCAGGTAGAATAGCTGCTTTACGTGTCTGCTCTGTGCCAACAGGAACAAGGTTCTGCATGAAGTTAGCAGATGACACGGCATGTGATTCAATGGAAATTCAAAATAATAAACAAATTAAACATTACCACAACTATACAGATCCAATTTTACAGTCCTATATAAAAACAGGAACAAAATGAAGAGGAAGAACAAAATATAATTCGTTTTTTTATGCTACCTCATATTCTTGGCTGAAACCTCTATTGTCATCCACACTTAACTGGCAGAAGTGGTCTGGAAACTTTGCTACAGAAATTGCTCTTAAAAAAGAAAAAGTAAAACACATGTTACATTGTGTACTTAATGATATGTAAGACAATTGGCATACATACATTTGACCAAATAAAGACTGACATTAACCTTAGAGTATATTTTCCATATGTGGTAAACTATTAACTCTATCCCATATATACCTCATTATACAACATTTAATAAACTCCTTTTACTATAATGAAGGGGACTGACAGTGGTGATGCCATTATGAAGAGATGAAACCTTAACTTACTTGCACTTTTTATCCGATTGTTTGGATACACCAATGAATTTTTTTCTTCTGTTGCGGGACAGAAGCAAAGACGTTCATTGACTGAGTCTGACGTGTACGTTTCAGAGAGAGAATATAGCCATAATGTTGTCACTGGGGCAGCACCAACCTGATTAAATCTGGTCTTTTGAACAAAATGAAGACAGCCAGACAGACCAGGACAACAAAAAGCAGCACAGCAAGTACTGACCCTGCAATGACTCCTACAGGGAGTAAAAATCTGGATTAAATCCTTTCAAACATACAGCAGAAACTCAACCCAGCAGAAAAGTCTATCTGCATCGCAGCGAAATTATCTTTGTTTTACCACTAGGGCGAGTTTTGTATTGTGGGAAAAAGGGTAATAATTCAAAGAACCTAAACAACAAGAAAGTCATATAACTAATGCCAAAAGCACAATAATGAGGAAAAAGTGATAATATATTGTTGGACTTTTACATCAGGAAATGCACTGAAATAGTATTTCTATAGAGTACTATATTCACTTTGACTCACCCCTTGGATCAGTAGAACACAGAAAAACAAATGGTTCATAACTCCTTACAGTCCCAGACAGTGAACTTAAAGACACTTCATATGTCTTAGCAGGTTGGAATCCAGATATTTTGATCTTCTGTTCCTTAGTTGCAAGTGCCTTGTGAGATTGCCCAGTCACATTCACCTCCACTTCAGTCACAACACCCTCTAGTTTACTCCATAAAATAATGATAGAATAGCCAGCATCCCAGTAGTCACAGCGAGCACTCAAACTTGGAGGAACTGAATGAAACAAGTGGAAAGATGCCTTTACAGTCACAAATAACAACACATAATAACATAGTGTAAAAATATGACTTGTCCAAAAAGAAAAAAAAAGAAAAATACATTGATTCATACATTTCTATAGACACATAGATTTGATGGAAATTACCTGTCATATTAAAATCTGCCGTCCATAGTGCCACATAATATATTATGTGTAAGCTATTTTTTGATTTAAACTATCATTATGGCTTTATCAAACTGCGGATTTGCTGCTATTCGCTGTTTTATATGTTGGGTAAATTTTTGGGTCTTTGACTGCTGGTTTGAAAAAAATCAATTTGCAGATGCCACTCTGAAACCTTGGAAAGGTACTTGTGGGCATTTCTATTTTTCCACTTTTTATAAATTAAGTGATTCATCTGTTAGTCACAGAAAATAATCAATAAATGAATTGATAATAATCATTAGTTGCACCCCCTATAATCAACTTTAACCATTTCAAAAACTAAAAAGAAAACTAAATTAATTATATGAATGCACAAGTCACTTTCCACTACCATTATGGTTAAATGCATTGAAATCTTAAATTTTGAAGTAAAGCTTGAGGAACATCATCCTAGTACTTCACATAATATCTGTGGGAATTGCAGACAAACATTAAGGTTAATGTGGTGAGACAGGTTTGTACTTACGGATCGTTAGTTTGTGGCGACATTGTTCAAAGTCTGTAGAATGTCTTTTGTACACAAGTAACACCTCATAGGTTGCACCAGGATAAAGGCCAGTAAATGAAACATTGCTACCTTCAGGACTGACATAAGTGTGTTCATTAGAGGCAGTTGCATTCGAGAATAAGCCTTCAACCATCCCTTGGATCGATGAGTTAGTAACATGCCAGGTTACACTGGTACAGTCAATGGCTGAAATGAATGAGAAAATAACTGTAGACAAAAGTCTTCATTTGTTAAAGTTCAATAATTTACTGACTTGAGTTTTACAGAACCAGGACTTGTGGACTTGTTGTAAATATAGATGTGGAATAAAATTTTATCAGTCATATTGAAAAATATCTATTGTCGACAATTTGTGAGTTTATCAGGGAGAAGGCCTGTAAATACCTGTTACTGTGTAGTGTTCATAAAGAGTGCTGTTGAGTTTGGAGAACACTGTGATCACACTGAATGGATACTCCGTCCCAGGCTTGAGAGATTTGACTGAATGTGACACAGCATTTGCATCCGGGGTAATTGTGCTGGTACTGCCATTAATCTGAAGTAGGTATGTCCAGTCTTTATCACCATTGTTCCAAGTCAGGGTGATGCTTGTCACAGAGCGTTCAGTCACATTGACTGAAGACACCATTGGTGGAACTAAAGAAAACAGAGAAATCTTTTACACACAACAAACCTGAGGCTTTACACTGTAACTGTAACACTGAAACAAAATCTGTTCCTTATCTGATTAATGAGGAGATGGAATTAAAGAAACATCCATGTATGTCTATTGGAAATTTTATTTTTCTTTAATGATGGGTTAGACCAATTATCAAAGTGCTTATAAAAGGTATAGTTAAACACAGCAATTTGTCATAAGTAAAACATCCAACTACAAATGAAGAATCAGAGATAACCCACCTGTAACAGCTTCAAATGTGTATCCAGTGCTGATGAGTCCCTCAAACACAGCGAAGAGAGTGAAATGGTATTTTTTCCCAGCATTAAGCAAAGAGACCACATGTTCTACTGATGTCCCTTGATCAGATGCATTAATATATTGCTTTTCTGTACTACCATTGTTATCGTATTGTAGGACATATCTTGAGATGCTTTTAACCTTGTGCCACGTCAGAGCTATACTAGTCTCACTTTGGTTCAACACCGTCACATCCTTAATGCTGTCAGGAACTACAAAAAAAAACACAAAGAGTTGACAGTTTCATTAGTGTTTAGAGAGGAGCTAAGTGCATTTGCAACAGAGGATGGGTTTTGAGTAGGATTTTAAGCAAATAAAAGGTTTCATTCAGTTCATTGTTTTATCAGCAGCAGACAAAAATATCAAGTGAGCAACATCCCTCTGTTACTGAGAACCTTTAAATTAGATGTTGGTACAGAGCTCTGGCCTGGCTCTTTGTTTTACAGCTGTATGAAAGGAAATTTCTCTTACCAGTGAATGCAGTGAGGTTTACTCCAGTGCTTCTGATCTCTCTCAACACAGTATAGAGAATGAAGTTGTATTCTGTCCCACTTGTGAGTCCTGAGATTGTGTGTTTCACTTGTTCTTGTCCTTCTGACACAGTGACGTTTTTCTCTTCTTCATTGAACTTAAGTGTGTAGTTGAGGATGTTGTCCACTTTTTTCCACTGTAGAGTTATACTGGTCTGACTTTGGTTAACTGATTTAAACCCATCTGCATTACGAGGAGCTGGGATCAAAGAGGAAGGGAGAAGAAGCTTTAACAAAATGTTGAAGTTAAAAAATAATGTTTTGTGTAGTTTTTTTTTTCAAGTAATGAAAAAAAACCATTTAGTTCCACTAATCTACTGCCTTGAAGTAAGGATTATGAGGAGCTAGGATATAAACAGACACTTAGCAGAAACTATGAAAATTGGATTTTCAAAATTGATATTGATGTTATGTTACTGCAAGTTTCATCTTGCTCATCTGATGAACAGGACCAATTTGTTAAAACAATATGATAATACAATAATAACAATCATATGATAATTACAAGTACACTTAATTATGACAATAGATCTAAAATTTGTACATCACCAGCAAAACATGGTTCAAGTACTTCATTGTCACCTACCAGTAACAGCTTCAAATGTGTGTCCAGTGCTGTTGAGTCCCTCAAACACAGTGAAGAGAGTGAAGCGATATATTGTCCCAGCAGTAAGCGGAGAGACCACATACTCTACTGATGTCCCTTGATGAGATGCATCGATATTTTCATTTCCCATAGTACCATTGCCATCATATTGTAGGATATATATTGGGATGTTGTTAACCTTGTCCCACATCAGAGCTATACTAGTCTCACTTTGGTTCAACACTGTCACATCCTTAACGCTGTCAGGAACTAAAAAACACAGAGTTGACAGTTTCATTAGTGGAAAGGAGCTGAGTGCCACAATAATGGGTTTTGAATATGTTTTTTAAGCAAATAAAAGGTTTCATTCAGTTCATTGTTTTATCAGCAGCAGACAAAAATATCAAGTGAGCAACATCCCTCTGTTACTGAGAACCTTTAAATTAGATGTTGGTACAGAGCTCTGGCCTGGCTCTTTGTTTTACAGCTGTATGAAAGGAAATTTCTCTTACCAGTGAATGCAGTGAGGTTTACTCCAGTGCTTCTGATCTCTCTCAACACAGTATAGAGAATGAAGTTGTATTCTGTCCCACTTGTGAGTCCTGAGATTGTGTGTTTCACTTGTTCTTGTCCTTCTGACACAGTGACGTTTTTCTCTTCTTCATTGAACTTAAGTGTGTAGTTGAGGATGTTGTCCACTTTTTTCCACTGTAGAGTTATACTGGTCTGACTTTGGTTAACTGATTTAAACCCATCTGCATTACGAGGAGCTGGGATCAAAGAGGAAGGGAGAAGAAGCTTTAACAAAATGTTGAAGTTAAAAAATAATGCTTTGTGTAGTTTTTTTTTTTTTTTCAAGTAATGAAAAAGAAAATCATTCAGTTCCACTAATCTACCGCCTTGAAGTAAGGATTATGAGGAGCTAGGATATAAACAGACACTTAGCAGAAACTATGAAAATTGGATTTTCAAAATTGATATTGATGTTATGTTACTGCAAGTTTCATCTTGCTCATCTGACGAACAGGACCAATTTGTTAAAACAATATGATAATACAATAATAACAATCATATGATAATTACAAGGACAGTTAAATATGAAATTTCATCCAGAATTTCTACATCACCAGCAAAACATGGTTCAAGTACTTCATCGTCACCTACCAGTAACAGCTTCAAATGTGTGTCCAGTGCTGTTGAGTCCCTCAAACACAGTGAAGAGAGTGAAGCGATATATTGTCCCAGCAGTAAGCGGAGAGACCACATACTCTACTGATGTCCCTTGATGAGATGCATCGATATTTTCATTTTTAATAGTATCATTTATATCATACTGTAGGATATATATTGGGATGTTGTTAACCTTGTCCCACGTCAGAGCTATACTAGTCTCACTTTGGTTCAACACCGTCACATTCTCAACGTTGTCAGGACCTAAAAAAACCCCCCAAAAAAACACAAAGAGTTGACAGTTTCATTAGTGACAAGGAGCTGAGTGCATTTGCCACAGTGATGGGTTTTGAGTAGGTTTTTTAGCAAATAAAAAGTTTCATTCAGTTCATTATTTTATCAGCAACAGCCAAAAATATTAAGTGAGCAACATCCCTCTGTTACTGAGAAATTTTGAATTTCATGAACGTAAGTGTTTAGTTGATGATGCCATCCACTTTTTTATCCTGGTCTTATTTTGTCCAGTTAATATAAACCCTTCTGCGTTGTTAGGAGCTCAGGTTAAAGAGTAAGAAAGAAGAAGGTATAACATTTTATTTTTCATTTCAAATAATGAAAAAAACAAACAATTCAGTTGCAGTGTTCCATAGCTTCTTGAATTTTGGATTACAAGGCACTAGGATGTAAAAAAAAAAAAAAAAAACAGGACAGGACAGGACAATCTGTTTAGATTTGTATTTCACCAGCAATAAATTGTTCAAATACTAAAACATAACCTACCATAACACCCAGATATAAATGCTTTAGTGTTTATCATGAGACTTTGATCACAATAATCATCATTAATGATTACTGGCATTCACACAAGTCTGCACTATGATACGAGACAATACAAACATGTCACCAACCAAAGATAAAAGAGCTAGGCTCATACTTACGTTTTCTTGTTGTGGCAAGGGTTGTCATTGGAGTGGTTAACAGTGTGCTCGTTTCTGCTCCTGTTGTATGTGTCACTGTTGATGTCAGCCTTGTGTTTGGTATTGATGGTGTATTGGAGTCAGTGACACCCTAAAAACAGAATAAGATTTGTTGGGGCGGTTTAGAAGTGTTTATCTGACTGTGGAACCTACACAGAACTCTAATGTAATCTCTGGGTGAATTAAATTTCTGCTTTTTTCTTGTACCTATATCATAACATTCAAGAACAACACAACCCTACCGTTTAGATGTGTTCTACTGTACTCTACTTTTAGTCAACAATTTCACACACAGGCAAAAAAATTGCATATCACAAACAGTTCAATGAACTGAGACAAGCAAACGACACTGATGTGCAGAAACCTTGTCGAAGCATCAGAGAACGTCAAATGCAAATTATGGTCAGCGATTCTTTTTTTGCATTTTGTACTTCTTCTTCCAAATCTACAATTATAAAAGCAGATAAAATGTGCTTTCAAAACAGAGCTGACTTGATTTGGATACGAATGCCCATCAATTGCTTCTTTTTTTTTTTTAAATAAAAGTCACATACATTAAATACAGATATTTGTTTGTAATTTTAAAAAATCATTCATCATAACTTTTAAAAGTCCACGTCTTCTATTAAATACAAAACAGATTATACAAAACTGTACCTAGCTATATCACTTTGTCTAAGATACAATAAAACAAATGTTTGAGATGCAGCTCCCTTCATGTTATACAATGACTTATTTCCTCATTTCTGCTTTTGTCTCTCGAAGGAAGTGAGCGAGAACAGACTATGGCAGCTCAGAAAAAATCAACTCATATTTCACCATTTGAAAAAGTCCATCAATATCATGTTGTGCAACAGTCTTTTTTAGTTTTCTGTTCATCTTGACACTTGTCAATATTATTCCACATGTAAAACTATGTTATGATGCATATCATGCATTGAACGTTCACTGTGGTTTTGACTGTGTTATGTCCTTTTGTTGAGGGTAACATGCTTTTGAATAAAGTCACACTAGCTGATCACTATCAAAGATGAAAGTGAAAAAAAAACTTACCCAGACACGACCCAGGAAGACACACAGCAGCAAGTGGTTTGAGGTTATTTTGAAAGATAAAGGCTTCATCATTGTTAAGGTTTATTAAGCTACACACATACTATGAACCTGTTAAATTCCTTTGTTGTCCCAAGATGAACCTCACGTTTCTATTTTCAGTACTGCCTCTCTTGTGTTGACAGAAACAACATCTAAGGTTGGCAAAGGATTTCTTCAAGCCCGAGCTGACGTAGTCCAATATCAACTGTATTCCAGTGGTGTTGACTTTTAATTCTTAACCATGTCCTCCTTTCATAACCTCTGGTCCCCTCTCATATTAGCAAGTGACTAAGTAAATAGCTGCTTCTCCTTTTTGGCCTTGCATACCCACAGAGACCTTTGTCCCGCCTCTAACTTCCTTATTAACGGTCATAGTGTGCAGCTTGTCAAAGGTAGGTCAATCAAGTAGATTTGCCTGTTTTACATCTTTATGAGTGCTACTTGCTTTATATCTCTTCTATATTTGTCATAATCAGTTTCGTAGTTTCATGTTTGTCACCTCCTGTGTACCTTTATCATACGTTCATAATGTCATCTATCAAGCCAGGCAAAGCTTGCAAATACTACCCCCAAATTTTTTTCTCTGCTGTTGTTGTTTTGTTTGTTTGTAACTATTCTCCAATTATTATTTTAATGATTTCTTGGTGGAAATCACTATCTAGTCTCTTCAGTTGGGCTGGTTTCACAATACAGTAGATTTTCTTTTGGTTTCTTTGCACTGTCTCACTAATGAGTGATATTTATAGTTTCCTTGTGGTTGAGATGTACGTGGAACTGTGAACAGAAAACATCACCAACCCAGTTTTAGCGGAACATCGATCGATGTCAGTGTTTATGGTCTCATATAATGATGTAACATGCAATAAAGATGCTATTTGTCAAAGAAAACTTTGTTCAATAGTGCCCATTGGGGAAATATGAGGAAGAAGTTCAAGTTTTCCTTAACATGTCATGATCTCACTCATAAACAACTGATGAGCTTCCTTGTTAGATACTGAGCATAACTCGTGCTCATTATAAAAAGCATATTAATCAACATTCGCGCAAACTTACTGTTTTTTATGATGGTGATTATGTTTTTTTGACATTTTAGGACCTGTACACAAGTTACTAAAACATGAAAGTCTTAAATATGGTGCAGTTTTTTGGGGTTTTTTTTTCTTGTGTGTTTCCACTTGCATGTGTTATAAATGTTGGGTTGTCTAAAACACACGATAACAAAAATTTTGAATGTCAATAAATATTAAAAGCCTGAGTTTGTTAGTACCAAAAATAAATCCTATAGAATCTACTCCTTTTATATTTAAATTTTACAACTGCACAGAATAAAATTGATTTTTGGAAAACTTTAGTGTAACTGAAACCTTTATATGAAAAATGTAACATTGCAGTACAACAAATGCAAGTGTGCAAGTGTGCAAATACAGAAAATATTTTGTGGGTCTGGCCACTGTAGATTAGAGAAGGCCTCAAACCTTAATGCAATACAAAAATGTAATATCTGTTCTCCAATCTATCAAACTCAAACTCAGGCTGACAGTGCACCACTACACTTAACCACAACATGAATTCCTGTAAAATCATTCTGCTTAGCATTTCAATATTACATCTGTTGCCCTCTAAACAACCCTTTTCTCTTGGACTGATTCTGAAAAGCTCATCCATGACTTTTATCACAACTGTTTCAGTTCTCCTCTGCTTGGTCCATTCTCCCAGATTCTCAACAGACTGCAGCATATACATAGGCTACTGTAACTCTGTCGCCTGTATCCTAGTCTCCACTCGATCCTGTCACAACATTACCCTCCACTCCAGGACACGCACTGGCTTCCTATCCATCTCAGGACTTGGGAATTACTTTAAACCCTGAATGCTGCTCACATTCATATGCAGGCTTTTAATATATATGTCATATAACAATGTATGCTTAACTGCTTATGACCATATAGCGTGAAATACTCTCACGGCCTGAAATATGCAATGTGTCCCCAACTCAAGGGGTGGCAGTAGAGATACACAGAGTATGAACATACAAACGAGTTACATCCGTGGTGAAACGGGATTATCTTACGCTAGCCGGGGGAGGATCGCTGTTTCGTCGGGTGTAAACAAGAGGACAAAGCCAGCCACGGTACTGGCAAAGTGGAGTAGCGTTATCTTCACAGAGCAAGTGAGCGACAAGACAAAGGTAACATTGACCTGCATTAGACTGACTAACCCTTAGACTCAGTCAGGCTCAGCTAACATAGGATAGCTTTCTGGTAGGTCACGTTAACTAGCTAAACGTTTAACTGGTGCTAATGTTAGCTAACTAAACAGTCAGCATACAACTTCAGCTAGCTTCGAGCACTAACTTTTTAAGATAGCGTTAATGGCTACTAGTCTTTTGGCTGACAACGTTAACCAAGCTTCAGTCCACCACAAAGTGCACTCACGTTAGTATTATCATCTCGCTACCTGACTGGAAACGTTACAGCCCACTTGAACTCACTTCACAACACATGACAGAAGTCTGGCTGATGTTTTACTAAAGCATCGGTTGCATAAAAGCTGTCTGGCAAAGGAGTGCAGAACTTTAATAAGCTCACTTCACAGGGCGAGTGAAAAGAAACGTTTGTTAGCTTAGTTTGTTGGCTGAAGAAGGAAAGGTGAGAAATATTTCTTTTTCCTCTGAACCTTTGTTTTCTGTCTGTTTGAGGGGTAAGTAGAGGCTTCACTTTAATCTGGATTTGGTTTACTCTAATATCATTTGCATTATTTCAGTATTTCTCTGTCTTTCAGAAATGCAGTCTGTGGTTAAACAAAACCTCCATTCGGACACCGAAGCAGACATCAACAAACTCATCAACCTGAAGCTCAGTGCATCCTACACCTACCTTGCTCTGGTACAATTTCTATTGGCTGTATTACTAGTAGAATTTGTTATGCTGTTTATGGAGTTCGACATTGCTCCATGTGCTAGGATTGGTCTTTCTTCTCACATGTCTGCACTGTAATCCCTAAATATTTTGTTTATTCAACTCTTCTAGGGGATGTATTTTGACAGGGATGATATTGCCTTGCCAAAATTCTCCAGTTTTTTCTTGGAGCGCTCAGTGAAGGAGAGGGAACAAGCCGAGAAGCTGCTGGAATATCAAAACATGAGAGGAGGTCGAATTTTGCTTCAGACTATTGCTGTAAGTCCAAAATGTCAGGTTACAAGTGGCATCTTCAGGCCATTATTATTGAGATTTATATATTCATTGATCCAATTAAATATCCACTTTCTGTTCTAGAAACCAAGTAGAGAGGATTGGAGAGGTGGTCTGGATGCAATGTCCTTTTCCCTTGACTACCAGAAGTCCCTCAACACATGTATCCTCGATGTGCACCGCAGAGCTGGCACCCACACTGACCCTCACGTATGTCTGGTGCTGTTAGATATAACTGCCACTTGTTCTAAGCCTGTGGTTTAGCTGTGAGATAGTGGATAAGAAAAAAAACGGCTACTGGTGCACATTAAAACACTTTTTTGGGTGAATTCAATATGTATTAAGTAATAAAACTGGAAGATTTGAGTAGTGTATACTGGTTTATTAAATATTAACTGTCTTAATTTATTACCTATTTGCCCATGTTTTTTATAGAAGTATTTCACACTTTACTTTTTTCTGTTTTACTTCTTTTATAGCTGTGTGACTTCCTCGAGCAACACTTCCTCAATGATAGCCATGACACCATCAAGAAGCTGGGCGATTACATTGGAAGTCTTACCCGCATCACTGCGTCTGAGACACATGGCTCTATGGGAGAATACCTCTTCGATAAACACACTCTGTAAAGGTCACAGCAGTACAGTAACAGAGTCAAGAGGGCAACTGTCCCTCACAGTGTGTAGTTTTTCCCCTTTCCTACAATATCTTTGCACCTGTTTACACCCCAAACATCATTCTTGTACCCACGGCACAAGAGAAGATCTAAGCAAAATAACAGAAAATACCTCAATTTTTCTTGAAAACCAGAGTAGAGAAATAATGTTCTCACTAATATGGTGCTGAAAACTACCATTTTCCTAAGCTGTTAAAAAGAGTCACTTGTTCATTTAGACTCAGTTGTATCATGTGTCATGCATTCCACTGTGTCAGAGGTTTTAACCTCCATTACTGTTTTGTAAAAACCCCAGCAATTTTGAGTCAACCACTATATTCACAATATTTTGAGTCAATAAAAAATTTGGAAGATCATGGAAACTTTGAATAAAGTCAGATTATGCAGATATCTTGCTTTTGTTCATTTTTTTAAAAAGCCAGTTCAAAAGTTAAACTCAATGTCCAAGTGTACAGACAGAAAGTCATGTGATTCGTCATGCAGTCTAAACGTACCTTCTGTGCTTTTCCTAATGTCATGTCTGTGTCTATAGGACACTGTAGAGATAACAGTCGGACTTTGCTTACTCACTGTTGGGTGGGAGCTTAATGTTTAACATTAGGGTACCAGACAATTTGTGGTTAAAAATGCTCATGCTGCTTCTTCGTAAATTATACGTTTAAGCAAAGATAATATTCCGTTGCAGAAGTGTGTCAACAGACTACGTCACTGGCACTATTTTACTGTGTCACTATTTCAGGTGCAATTTAGTGATACAGCATTAGAACACACCCTAGATAAATTATACAAATATCGTACAGTTGTGGGGGGAAAATGCTGGATAAATGCTTGATTTCTTGATTAATTCAATCAGTTCATTGATCAAGAAATGTGACCGAATGAGAACATGGAACAATGTTGTCCAGCACTGTTGTGTGTACTTTAAATCTACTGGAGTGCCCTTGTAGGGAGAAAAGGGCTTGTTGCTGACTGAGCTGACTACAAAAGCCATGTATTGACAAGACATGCTTTGAAGCTCAAAATAAATTTTTGCTGTTGTGGTATTGGTTTTTTCTATTTCGTTTCCCTCTGCACTTTAGTAAGGTAACTATTGGAAGAGGCTGTTGTATGTTGGATTTGAGCCAGTGAGACCTCCAGATGTAGCAGTGCAAACACGTGGCAGCAAGCCTGGGGATTACTCTTCACAGTGCTCTAAATGCGGGTATGTGTTCTGTACAGTAAAATGGTAAGCCAAGGGATGGGGAGGCTGGAATATCCACTCGCAATGGAAGTCGTTGGTGGATTGACGATTGACTGCGAGGACAGCTATGCTGAGGGGATTAGTGAAGTGCCGGATGCACTACAATCTCTTCAGTCTAATGGATCAACACAACCACCACTGCCATGCCTCATCAGTTCCAGTTCCAAGTCTAGTAAACAATTATTTTCCCCACTCAACAACGAAAAGCCTTAAATTGTTCAGTATGTGTGAAACCGTTAACAGTGGAGCAGCAATATAAGAAATGCACCTTCTCCATGCATCTTCAGTCAGAGACATAAAGCAACAGATGTGTTGTCAGCATTCTAATATCGGGAGGAGGGGTAGGGGGGATTAAATCACGACGCTGCTCTAGTGATTTGCCAGTGCTTTAGATTTGATGGAAAGGGTTGCAGAGAGCCAGTCAGCACACTGAAGAGACGATGGGTGCATGAGGGCTCCAACAGGACAAAAGGGAAGCAACAAGAAATACACTTTGTTCTACAACTAAAAGTTGCCCCAACAGCTCTTTGGGTATTGAAGAAATTAAAGGGACATATCAACAGGTAAGATAAATATGCATATGCAAACATTTGTGTTTTGATCAAGCGCAAGAGCCATACATTGAGAACCAATGAGAAAAAGCTAGACTTTTTTAATGATAAAATCACATTTTGGTTTTGAGTGGTTGACCTCTTGACTAGTTGTTTTGATGTGAATGATTTTTCCTAGTTTCTTATGAATCTGAACATAACCACCACCCCCGAAGAAGCAGCTGATAAGAGTTACCTATATGTAAATAGATGCCAGTAATGATTTTATTTTGTTCACCATCAAGACAATTACTATGGCCTTTAATCTATTTCTGATTCCAGTCAAAAACGTTTCTTGTGACTTACATATTACATGTACAGTATATTCTGAAAATTATTTAAATAAAAATGTGGGGATAAATATTCATGGGGTGTTGGCCTCAGTGTTAGCCATATTATACTGGGCTTCCTTTAAAATGCCATAATAAGGAGTAGTCATTCCAGAAAACTCCCCAAGGTAGTAAAGAGGGACTCAAATAGTGGCTGTGGGAGAGGGGACAAACCCCTATTTATTCAAGCTTCGAGGATCTGGGATTTTGGATTAATATTGTAGTACTGGCCACCAGAGTTTAATCCAGTTACATGCATCGACAGTGACGAGAGAAAAATGGGATGGGACGAACGTGGGAGTGAAAGCGTGGGTTATGGGGTGGGGGAGATGACAGAGAGAATGAGAGTAACAGAGGGATTAGTGTCAGCCATGTTGAGCATCTGGCTTAGAGATGTCCTTTGCTCTCGTACTGTACTGCAACGCATGGACATAGGGATTACACAGGATACATACGAAGTTGTGTTATCTCTCACTGTAGGGGCCAACTTGACAGAGAGCATAACAGACTAACACAACCTGAATAACACACTGCACTGATTCTGCTGTTTGGATAGCTGACATGAGGTTGGTCAGTGCTGGGGTCCGGGCCCGGAGGGCTGCAGAGCCGTCTGAACCAGAGCCCGAGGAAGCAACAGAGCCCGTTCATCATGAACACTCCCATTCAGAACACCATGAGCACTCCCATACAGAACATCACCCTGGGCACGACTACAACCATATGAAGAACAAGTTCATGAATGAACTCAGTCATCTGCCAAGTAAGCAACTTCTAGAAAACAAAACTTTACTTGTTGAAATGAAGTGTGTATCTTTGGTTATTTTTAGGAGGAAATCCAGCCCTATACAGACTTCACATCATGATATATAAATATTATTTAACATTTGTATCGATCAGTTCAGACAAGCTTTTTCTTATGAACATTAAGTCATTCTTAAAGGTTCAAGATGTTGTAGATATAAGCCGAAAATTCCTACACTGAGCTACTGACAGAGTGTTTTTGAGGTTTGAATCTCAGTAGAAAATTGCAATAAGAATTGTTTTCCCTTCAAACTTTAATAACTACTGCTGAGGTGCCTTGAGTAAAGCACTTAATGACAAACTGTTTCAGTCCTGTTGGTGGCTCCGGTTGAATAGGGCCACTCCCAGCTGGGAGTGTGTTATTATCTGATTGTGGTGGGGGGTGTTGCTGACAACACACGTGCAGGCTCAGCAAACTGTCCCCAGATAAAGCAGTGAAGAAGTGTCATTTTTTACTGAAGTGATATCATGCATCTTGCCCTTGGTTCTGCTTTGTAAAAGCAGTTTATGTTCAATGATATTGTTGGAACTGATGTAGATGATAGAGGTAAACTGACTTACCAAAGTGGATTTTTCAATGATGTAATCTCAAGATGTAAAGATTTAAATCCTCTTGAAAATCCTGATGTAAAAGACCATTAAGCTTTTACAAAGCCTTTGATAGAGAGGGTAGTGTTTCAAACTTAGCATGTCTAAATGAAGATCAGATTCAAATACGTTTTTTATTTTGCTTTGTTGGGATTTTTGTTGTTATTGCTGTTTGAGTGTCAGGATTTTTCCACATGATGTTACTATTATGAATGTAAATAACATCAGGTGATCAGACCTCCACTCCCTTCTGCCTTTAATAAGCATTGAGTGAATACACCTATTTTATTTTGCAGTTCCCATGTGGGCAGTAGGAGCTATTGTTGTGGTGGTCCTGGTATTGGTGGCATGCTTCATCTTCTGTATTTTCAAAAAATGCTTTGGGAAAAAGAAAAAGCCAAAGAAAGTAAGGGAAAGGAAGGCAGGACGCCGCAGAAAAGCAAAGGAAGGTGAAGGAGAGGCTGGAGAGAAGGTATATGATTTCCAATAATCCATAATTCCATGATCTTACCTGATATAGATCTTCATGATGATTATCCAGCGCACTGATGTTTTTTTTCATCTTGTAGGAGGGGGAGGTGAAGAAGGAAGGGGAGGAAGAGGAGAAAGAACAGGAAAAGTTGGGTAAGCTGGAGTTCTCCTTGGACTACAACTTCACAGATTCCCAGGTAGGTGCTGTGTGGAAACAAAATCATTCATATTAATGATTGGAAGTCTATCTACAACTATCAGAAATAAATTCCTACACAATTTTCATGACCATTTAAACCTTTGCCTTACACTGGTCATTCTGACACCTATTTTCTTTCCTCCAAAGCTCATAGTGGGTATCCTTCAGGCTCAAGACCTTGCTGCTATGGACATGGGGGGAACCTCAGACCCCTATGTCAAAGTCTTTTTGTTGCCAGACAAAAAGAAGAAGTACGAGACCAAGGTTCAACGCAAGAATTTATGCCCTGTTTTCAACGAGACTTTCATCTTCAAGGTACGGTGCACCTGACACCGTAACTTCGTTGACTTGATGTTGTCTATGTTTTGTTTGTTCTTTCTCTTCTCTTTATGTCTCCGTCACAGCTTGTGTTGGTGTTCCAGGTTGTTGATGACATATCACTTTTTACCCCTCATGAGGCAGAAGTTTGGCCTATGTCTCTACTCCCCCTCGTCTTTAGTCTTTCATTCCCTGAATGGCGTCTGTCAAGGTATCCCTCCTCCTCCTGCAGTATGTTTTTAATTGTATCCCGTCACTATATGTTCTTTGTTATTGCCCGAATTTGTACGTTTTGTTACATGTAAACAAAATTGTCTACTGTCCTCCTTCGCCTATTGTACATCCCAATGTTGTAATAACTTCTCTTTTCTAGATCCCGTATGCAGAGTTGGGCGGAAAGACTTTGGTGCTGCAAGTTTTTGACTTTGACCGTTTCTCCAAGCATGATATGATTGGTGAGATAAAGATTCCCATGAACAGTGTTGATTTGGGCCAACCAATGCAACAATGGAGAGACTTGGAGAGTGGTGAGAAGGAAGAGGTATGACGTATTGTGTTTTCATTTCACCTTGTTCCAATCAAAGCACATTTAGAAGATTAATGCATTAATTGCATTGATAAAAAATATTCAAAATATATACTTTTTTGGTATTTATTAGAACTAAATAATATATGATATGCAGTTTTATAAAAAATGTCTGCAATTTCATTTGATGAGACATGATAGTAATCCATATTATTTCCTTTCAGCAAGAAAAACTGGGTGATATTTGCATTTCTTTACGGTATGTACCCACTGCTGGGAAACTGACAGTGAACATCATGGAGGCAAAGAATCTGAAGAAAATGGATGTTGGTGGCTTGTCAGGTAATCTCGGCTCTATCTCAGATGTTTGTTTCTATTTCTCATTAAAAATGGACTTCTTCAGCAAAGATCGGTGACATGAAGAAGTTAAATTGCCCCACAAAACACAACTATAACACCTTCTTTTCCATTTCCGCAAGATCCATATGTGAAGATTGTTCTACAGCAAAATGGAAAACGCATCAAGAAGAAAAAGACGACAGTCAAGAAAAACACACTCAATCCCTACTTTAATGAAAGTTTTAGCTTTGATGTCCCCTTTGAGCAGATACAGGTAGGCTGTGTCATCACATCAATTATCAGTTTGAAATGTAACAGACAGTAAGTGTCGATGTAGGGAATAAATGTAATATTTGACAACACATTTTTCTTTTTTGTTGCAGAAAGTACAGGTCGTCATCACAGTGTTTGACTATGATAAACTTGGGAGCAATGACCCCATTGGAAAGACCTTCATGGGTTATGGAGCTACAGGAGTCGGCCTGAGACACTGGTCAGACATGCTGGCCAATCCTAGACGTCCAGTAGCCCAGTGGCACACTCTTCTGCCAGAAGAGGAAGTTGATGCAGCAGTCAAAGCAAAACCTCGCTAGAGTCACTCCTGCCTTGGTTCAGGAAACATACTGCTGATATGTTTCTTTGTGTTAACCCTTATGTTTTCTCAATTTGCATGTTCAGTTTTCCATACATTCTGTTTCTTTTGAGGTACTTAATATGTTTGTACGTGTGCGGGTGTGATGTATTGATATGTTTTTTGACATTTGATTGTTATTAACCCTTCTCTGCCCTATATACCTGTTACACCTGTAAACCAATATGATTTGTATACATGGAAAACACAAAAATGTAAAGGTGCAACTTTTGCATATGCTCTTGCATGGGCTTAGAAATATTTTGCGGTATAAAGGAAGGTTTTCAAGGTTATTCTGTTTTCTTCTGAGAAGTTGGTTGACCCCGAAGACATGACAGAGCTTCTACATCTCGTTATGTATGCTGGACCTTTTTGCTCATTTTGCAGCACTGTTGTGCACCAGAGTCCTGGAAAATGCTTGTTGTAATTCTCTGGATCTTTTCAAATGCAAATAAACTTACAATGGATAGTTTCAATTAATTCTCTTGCTATCTTACCTTTAATGAAATTAATATTAAAAGGTATTTAGAATTAGCTTATATTCCTACTGATATGCTGTAGGACGCGATGAAAAGAAATTGTAAGCGTTTTACAAATTACTCTAGAAGACTACTAGAGAGGTGTAAGATATTATTACAGTGTTACAACATATAATATATTGGTCTGTAAAGTGAAACATATAGACTACTACTATCAAATCCAACCATATCACCGGTAGACGTCGTCTTTCTCCCTGTTTGAAAACTGTTGTTGCCTAGCAACAGAATCCAAACTTTATGTTCAGACGGTTTCCTGCAAACTTTACTCAGTCAAAATACAGCCTGTGAGGTGAGTTTTCCTCCTTTATGCCAAGCTTGATAGTATCTGGTCGCAGCATATTTTTTGGTTTTATCATCAAATTGATGTTAGAGACGTGTTCGTCCACCTGGAAAACAGCTACATTTATAAGCTAGTTAACGTGTCGTTTTGTACCGTTAGCCAGCGTTTGTTAACGTTCGTGCTAAGCTAAACTATCTCTCACGAACACTGAGCCAGCAGACACCCTGTTAAAATATAAACCTTATGATGTAAAGTACTTACAGTCAAGGGTACAGCTTCGTTACTCTCTTTCGGTCACATTATAGGATGAGTGCTGGACGAGCATCTGAGGGACCTGGCTGCATCGCCTGGTGGGGCTTCAGTCCTGCGCTCGACTTGCTGAGAATGGGTGAGAGCCTATAGAGCAAGAGGAGCTGAAATGATTCATTGATTAATCTATTAGTCGCTTTAAAACATTGACTGACATTTTACATTTTAGACAATCGGTCACTAAGAAAATAAGAAGAAAGAAAGTTATTGACAGACACATTGATAGTGAAAATAATCGGTGGTTGCAGCCTTACAGCACTTCTAGGATGCCTAGAACAAGGTTTGTTTGTTTTTTGCATTAATTACTTGACACTGAGAAAAAGTGGAAGCAGTTAGATAAAACACAATTTGTGATTGCTGTAATAATGGCGACCCAAATGATATGTAGTAAACCTGGGGCTTTTGCGGACCCTTGGAATCTGGAGCCCCTGTGCAGTTGACTGCATTGCCTGTATGATAATCCAACCTTGAGAGCAGTCATGGGTTTATGCAGTGGTGGAAAGTAACAAAGTATATTTTCTCATTTTCAGAAATATTGTAACTTTACTTTTATTGGACAGCAGTACTTACTCTTTAGCTTAAGTTTTACATACAAAAACATATGAGCTGCTTATAAAATATAATGCATTGTTATAGATTATACTGCCCAATGGTAGACTGTATGACGGAGTTAAAGTTTGCTTCATCTTTTCACCACTTAATAATGACCCAATAATATAATAATTTAACACAACAGAAAACAAGTTTTACAACTTTTCATAATCAGTACTACTGAGTATTGAGATTCAGTACCTGACCTTAGTTTGTAGTATGGCATGTGGGATCTGCTGTATGCTCTGTCTCTGTCCAGGCCCTGCGAGACATGAAGAGGAGGTCAATGTTTTACTGGTTGGAAGTGGAGATCCCCGTCATATTTTGAAGACCATTGCTGGTTTGCAGAATGGAGAAAGCCTTCATGTGAGACTCTGGCTGTTAAAAGTCTTGTTAATCCTACATATTGTTATACTCCACTGTGAGCTGCTGACTTCTCCTCGCTGCTCCACGACAGGTGTGGGTGATAGAAAACAGCATGGAAGTGGTGGCTAGACAACTGCTGCTCCTCTACCTGGCACTGATGCCCCAGGAAAGCATGGGACTCAATGGTGAGTGGGATAATGTTAAATTGTTGACCTTAAATGAAAGATGTGTCCTAAACCCACAGGCTGTCTTATGCTCGCACAGAGAAGACAGAGGTTTACCTTGAGGTGTTTGGGAACAGTGAGATCCGCAGTCAAACAGAGGAAATACTGAGACGTGCAGCATCACAGCTCTCTCTGTGTGTTACTGAAACAATGGAGACAGCAACACACCCTTGTCTGAACACAACTCTTCTCAAGGTACAACAATCTGTTGAACAAGCATGTCCCTCTGTGTTTTTGCAAGACCTTATGATTGTACATTTTCTGAAATCTGTCACTGAGGCCTTCTCAATCAGATGCATGTGGTATATGCTCCATAATGGACAAAATGCTGCTGTATAAGCGCTCGACAAATTTAATTAAAGTCTACTGATTTCATACTCTTTGAATATTTCTATTCAAGTTCAAGGAGCGAGATGAGCTGGACAGAATATTCAAATTGTGGATCAGGCCTCAGTTTTCATCATCTTCATCTGAGTCTTCTGGTCCTATTCTCATGTCCAAAGCCTGGGATTATCGGGTCAGGCAGCACCTTGGAACGCGCTACGACTCCAAGAAAGGCTGCTTCGATTGGGACCTTACAATGAAACTACACGAGAAGGGGGTACGTGAACATTTTTTTGTACTTTTCTTTGTTTGTCTATTAAGACGTGCTGCCAAAATTATAATTTTTCAGTAATTCAGAGTCTTATAGAGTATGTTACGGTATGGTAGCTCATTCTTTACTAATTCTCTGTCTGCAGTGTGGTGTCATCAACAAACAACAATATGTGCAGTGGAGAGAACGGGGTTTGGCATTTGAAATGAGGGAAGGTGCCTACCAAATAACCAATGCAAGTTTGCTGTCATTAAGAGTGTTCAGTCAGGTGAGGGCTAGTCTGTTTTTTGGATGCTACACAATGCAGCAATAAGGTGATACCATTAAGAAACTTAACTTTGTGTATGTGTTGATAGAGAAGAAACAAAGTGGCTGTGAGGGGTTACTGGGGAGACATAGTATCCAGTCCTTACCTCTCGTTTGGCATTGAAACTGATGACAAGAGCCTACTGAAGAAACAGAATGGGCAACATATTAAGGTAAAATATACAGCTGCAATGGCATGGATTATATGTTTGGTGACATTATATGAATGTTTGTTTTTTGTCCTCCCTCCTTTTCCTCACACCCACAGACAGCCCAGGATATCTCCTTTGCAAATGTGCAGGCATTGTTCCAGTCCCTGTCCAGTAGACGGGGCTGCCCCTCTACTTCTGAGCCAGACACAGAGGGAGAGGAGCCATTATCACAGACTGACCAAAAATCCGTCACTATTAATGGTAAATGGCTATTAAAACCAGCCGGCCCGTAGCTTTAGATAATTGGCAATATAGTGCACCTTAGGACCAAACTAGCACAATGACAAAAGTAGTGAAAAGGGTCTGACTGAGGTGAAAGGTTGTCTTTGTTTATGTTGTATAATTTGTGGTCTCAGAGGATTTTAATGTACGTGTTTAGGTAGAACTGCAAATGGGAATAGGATGTTAAAGTTCTTCATTGTATGGTAGACCACTCCCCATCGTGGTGAAGCCTGTTTTAATGCTCAGCACACAGAAAGCAGTATCTGTGTATGAAACTTGATGGTTTTAGTACTGAATTTTCTCAAATCCTCTTCAGACTTGATGCACCTGAATGGGATCTCTGTGACCTTCCTGCCTCTGGACTCACTTTACAAACTGCCAGAAAAACAGAAATATTCCCAATTCTTCAACACCATTTACTTTTCTACCAGGTGAGAGCTTTTATTACCCTAACTACTAAAAATATCATTTTATTTTTATTTGTATATTATATTTGTATTTTCTTTGCACCATTCAGTCACCTCGACTGCAGACTACTGATATGACTGCTGACCGTGTTTCATTTCTGTGTTTCTGTCTCTCTCTCGGTCTGTGCTGTAAAGCTGCGTGCACCAGTTGGGCCCGACGATGAGACAGATTGCAGCACCAGACGCTGTGGTTGTCATGGAGTTGGCAAAGTGAGGGTTTTTATAGTAACAGGGCTTGTTACCATGGTGACAGTACAGTCACCAAGAGTGCAGCGACTCTGCTATGTAATTTGCTTTTGTGTATCAGATATCTTGTGTACATATCCCAAATTTAAGTTCAATGATGAGGACTATTTTAGAGAGTAAATGATGGCTGTGAATGGCATCTTTGTGTCTAAGTTGCATTTGTGTATCACTGTATATCCCAGGTACATTTTGGATCTGAACAAAGAGCAAGAAGCAGGCTTTGCAAAGAAAGTGGTGAGCATCGCTCTGGAGGCTGGATTTGAACCGTGGCATGAGGGGAAGAGTGATGACGTCCATGCTGTTTTCATACCACAGAAGAAGTAGAAGTGCTTAATTTCAGCATAGCCGTTTACTCTGCTCCCGCTGTCAGTATCTTTACATTTACTTGATGCACCAGATTGTCAGTCAAGGTGACATTGTTTCACAGCACAGACAATTTACAAGATCTTATGCAGACAGAATTCATTTGTCCTTCACAAGGAAGTTTACCTGCTAATGAGTTGCAACTGTGCAGTGCTAGCTGTTCATTCTGATTTGGTTTTTAATTGTTCTACTTATCATTTGTGATAGAAGCTGTGTATTTTTCCATGTTTGATTTTTCAATAATAATAATGAATCAGATTTCATTTCCAATTTGGTTGACACTGATGCAAAATGTCCATTTCATTTATACATGCATTTTATTAATTACAGATGTAATTGCAAGTGGATTCAATAAATGTCGCACAAAAATCTATCTTATCTCTCTTGAATGACGAACACTGCAAATTTGCTGCAATCTCATCCTGAGACAAGTGAACTGTCTTCTCGTTTCTTTGTGCCTCCTGTGTGAGTTCACTTCCAGCGTCCTCCAACTTTCCCTTTACCATGGACTTTTTTGCTGCATTGAGACAAGAAAAAGGTGCAAATTATGAACAGTCACAGAAATGACAAGTGTGATTGATGGGATGAAAACAGAAGTTCTACTTCTCTTTTTGCCCCACTACCTTATGTAAATATTTTAGACACGGCACTGTAAATACAGAAGCAAATGTGAAAAACTTTGTGCAAGTGTGTGTCTGTGTTTGTGCATTTCCTGTGCATGTGTAACTTTCCATCCATCTGTGGTACATTTACATAGTCTATGCAAAGTAATTTTCCACAATGCTTTGCTTTTTCTTTTTGTGATGTGAGATGAGCAGATAGACTCACAATTTCTGCGCATGTTGGATTCTGTTGAGGAGAACATTTATCTGAAAAAAACATAATAGCCATACACAGGTTCTGATGTCACAAACGATCCATTTTTAAAATCTCAATTTTGTATATTCTCAGCTAAATGGCTCACCTCATACTTCTGCCTCTTCATCTTCTCAGTTAGGTCAAATTTCTCTGACTCCAGCTGGTAGATCCATTCCCACATGTCCTTGGCTCGCTCTCTAAAACACAACAGCATAAACAACTTGAGACGACAGAAACATACACCCTGTAAAATCTTAATTAAATGTGACTAGCTACTGTTTTTTGCAGCAGCTTTAAATGATACGTGCCAGGCTTACCCAGCTGGCCTTCCTACAACATGGTGCTGGTTTAAAATGTAAAAAAACATTTATTTAAAATTAACCAAAATCTACTGGCAAAAAAAAAAAAAAAAAACCCTCAAAATGCACCAGTCTTTGATGAACCTGCAACTGACCTCAGGCCATCCTCTCTCAGATTCTCAATAGCCAGTGGCTTGCGTCTCTCTGCCAGAGTCTTCTTCTTGATTTCCCTCGCAGTTTGCTTTTTCCCTCGCCTCTGCTCTGCCTGCAGGAAACAAAACACACCACCTTCCAGGATGATCACATACAAATGGACTCTGCCTTTCATGTAGCGTACTCCTTTCAGAGGGCACCAAAAAAGTATATGCACATTCTTGCAGTATACACACAGTGACACACCTGCCCACATATATATATTATTCTGACCTTGGCCAGGAACCCTCCAAAGTGAGCGCCCATGTTAGAGAGCACTTTCTTCTTCTTGGCCTCATCATCTGCCCTCTTTTTTGCCTCTTCATCCTCTTTCCTCTGCCTTTCCTCCTGAGGAATTCATCTTCAGCTGATTACTGCCGTTTCCTGTACTTAAATTGCTCTTTTATAGTTTGTAGGGTCAAAATATTGTGATCTGAGTTGATTATTGACGTGCGTGGATTAAAAAACAAAAGTCACAGTGTTAAACATTAATTACAGCAATCCGTGTCTGTCTGTCTCGCTCTTTTTCAGCCCTCACTCGCTGCTGCTCAGCTCTTTCTGCCCGTCGGCTCTCCTACAATGGAAAAAGATATGTCAGCCAGACACCCACACACGGCTTTTTAATCACTATTATTTTGAATAGTCACTGTATCCAGGCAAATCTCTCTTTCAGATAAACAAGTGGGAAAAAAAAGGTGGGAAAACAGAAAGGCATTACAATCCTTTCTTTGAGTCCAATCAGTTCCTGTTCCTCTTTCTTCCTCTGCTCAAAGTGGACATCAATCAGAGTCTGCAGCTCCAGAAGATCTTTCTCCATCCTTTTCCTATGGATATCCTAACAGAGACCAGCGGATACACAGATAAATATTATTTAATAGTCTACAGTTTTTGTTCTGTAATTGTGTTCATTCTTGCATTAACAACAATCTTGAGAGAACCTACATCAAAGTCAACCCTCTCCCCCTCAGGGATTTTAGGGGCAGCAAGCTGTGTAACCAGTGACCTGTAAAATTACATGAAGGTATATCAACATAGATGTTTGTTTTTTTTAACTGATCAGGTTATTGGTTGTTTTGAGGTTTTTTTGCAGTGCACTTTGTGGTAAAATATGTGTTTCCATGTATTCTTACTTGTATTTGGGGCGTTCTTCTTCAACACGACGGCAAAAACCGCAACGAAAAAGTGAATCAGTTCATGTTTTATAAAGCACAGTTAGATGTTAAAACCCAACATGTAAAGGTTGTTTAACTCTAATAGGCATAAAAGCATAAAGAAAATTTGAGTTACATTCATTACAAAACCCACAGTTTGTGGCCACTGTTCATAACAATGACTTCTGTTCCCTACAAAAGGGAAACAGTAAGCTCTTGTGTTTTACCATGCGACATAGTGGTCCCACAAACACATAACCAAATGTCACATGTAAACACTGGATGGATACTATGTAAATAAACATTTTTATCTTGGTTTTGAGCAGGATACCATTGTAGCTTGTAGGAGTGGGTTATTTTCCTAAGGATAGGTCAGTACAGTTCAGCATGACAGTCTCACCTCCCTCTCCCTGCTCCTCATCTTCCTCTGGAGAAACAAAGAGTGGCAGAGTGACTGAGTGGAGGGAAACGATGAAACTGCTAGATGTCTTAAATGAAAGAATGAATGTCCTTACCCTCCTGATGCACTCTAAATGAAAAAGAATTGAAAAGATACATCAGACACGCTATAAAGCAGAAGCTCATGTATTATAGCTGTAGAAATGTTTATAAATGAGAAATAAGTAAACTGGCAGGACTGGACCGACTCACCCATGATCTTCTAAATCAGACATGGTGATACTAGAGAGAAAGAGGAAGGTAACAGCTGTTTAAATTAGTAGAATACTTCTTAAATATACAGTGCATAAAATTGTCTCCTGACATAAAATTGGCGCCTATAGTTTGTCTGATAGAAGCTTCTTTCTGCAAGTTTACATAAATAGCAGGATTTCAGCAGCATACATGGACCAAGTACAGGTTTTTGACCAACTTTAAAGATAGATTATGTCACTTTTGAAAGAATAAAAACACAATCTTCCACTTATGTTTCTTTTCCAGTTGTGCCACTGTTACACAACATTTTAGCTCAGTCAGGTCGACTAATGATGATGTGTTTGAAGAATCTGACTCGAAAATGTTAGGAAATAAATAGAAATTCAACATCCTGTCATTGCCACTTGTGGCCACAGCGGTCGCTGTTTTAGCAAAATTTAACACAGTTTCACTTTAAACATAAATATAAACTAATAAAAATCTAAAATCATCATAATTGGTTACACACATATGAAAATTTGAATTCCTGGAACAGTGATCCTTCAATTGAATTTCAAAACTAGACCTTCTAATTGAATAATATCTAACTCTTTAATTGCGTTTTTATAACCATTTAAAAATACATATAAAAATTGTGACCAAAATTCATGACTTGGTGTGAAGCGGCCACTGGAGATGTACTACATGTTCGATGCAGGCCAGTGCTTTTGTTCAAAGAATAAGATTAAGGGAAAGGCCATTTGAAGCTAATGATCTAGGAATAGAAGAGGCCAGGGGGACTTTTGGCCAGAGCAGTGTCCTGTTACCCAGGATAAGAACGAGGCATCAGCTGGCCAATCCTTCTTGTTTAATTTGATTTACAAGACAGAATGTGGGATGGAGAGATTAAGCTGGTCGGCTGGCTGCTATTAACACCAGCCAAGTCCTCTATTATCATTTGATCTACTCAGTCTCCCTGAACTGAAGGGATATCTCAACGTGTGTGGAGCCCCATAAATATTTTAGCATTCCTAACCATTACTTGTATGAGTGCAGCGTCAAAACCATCTGATGAGCTGCAGTTAAAATGAATAAACCGAACAATGGGTTTCTGGCTATAGATACACCATCAATGGATCAAATTTTAAAACACTATTTTCAATTCGACAACTGGAAGGCCTTCCAGACCAAGACTGCATGTCTTGTCTTTGAGTGTATTAACATGGTAGACCAAGCACCGATACCGTTCGAGTGTCCCAGAACCCCTCATTGTTCATTTTTAGCCAAGACCTCAGAGCATGAGCATGTGAATCTGAATAAACACGGGCACATGGACAAAAGGCAGATGAGGGATTGGGAGAGGAATTCATCACATCGCTTCACTGTTGAATGTTTCTGGCCAAACTGGCTGACAGAGTCACACTCAGCAGGACAGATGGACCGAGAGGCCGAGGTCACCAAGAATAACTTGTCCTAAGGGAGCATTCCCAATGTCTGAGTTATGATACACCTTTCTCGGCACCTGTTGTGTTTTGATCAAGAAAAGCCCACTGAATTGATTGTAATTTAGTGGAAATCCCAAAGCGCTGAATAGGCTTTTGAAGACATAATTTTTCTGTTTAGTGCCATGAAAACAGTGAATATATTGTATCTCTGACACTGTACAAAGAAAAAAGTATATTTTCTGTACTACTACTAAGAATAAGTGTTTAGACTAGAAAATTCAATATTTCATCATATGATTGACAATTTTGTTTTATAGCATCTTTAATTCAAGCAGCTATATTTACCATTATTTAAATGTAAAATAAGTGATTTTTTGGGCCACTTAACGAGCAGCTGAAACAAGCTGTGAACATAGCAATGACATATAAGCATATTTTAATAACATGGCAAACTTGTTAGCAAGCAGCTGCTATTCACACATCCAGCGGTCACATAGCAACGTTGGTATTCATCTGGAGTTGTTTTTTCCGACCACATATAGAATGTAAATTCTTCTTATATTTGTTTTTGTCTGTACCAAAAAATATCTGGCTCTTTAGCTTCTAATTGCTAAATATGCCACTATTTTCGCTAGCGAACGTTAGCCAATGCTAGTTAGTTGCTAATTTTCATTTGGTGCTGGGCAGGTAGAGTACAGAGGTTTTTATTGTTTGTTTTGTTAAAACCACCTGCCTGCTGAGAGAACAGCAACAATCTTAATATTAAAGTTGCAAGGCAAAAAATCAAAACAATGAGCTGAAATCTATTGGAAAGCTCAGTAGTCCTGAGGGGATTGTAGATTTACTCTATGGGTTCATCACTATGAGGGACCCTTTATGAGATTACTCAAAGTCATCTGCTCCCCTGTTGTAATAAAATATTTGTTATATTAGTAATGTTAGTTTAAAAAAATAATAATAATAATTTGAGCAAAGTGTTTCACTTCCTTGAAATTCATCAAACAACAGTGTAATTTAATTAGCGACAGCCTGATTACAGCACTACATACTGTTTTGTTGGCTATAACTTTTTTGGTTGACTGTAGCTATCTCAGACAGACATAAGCTGCGTCTTCTAGATGGTCACATATGAGAGCACTGCACATGAGGAAACACCCTGGTTAAGAAAACACAGAGAAAAGTCAAAACACTATACCTGCACAGGAAGAGAGAAAGATGTTCACTGAAGAAGAAGAAGAAGAAGAAGAGTAACAACTAGAGAGGGGAGAGCTTTATATAAGTGGGGTGAGGTGAGCTTGAATAAAGTGTGTGTGTGTGTGGGGGGGGGGGGGCATGATTTAGAAAAGAGGGACAGGGACTGTATGTGGATTATTGGTGGCTTTTTGCAGCATAAGATGAAGTCTGACAGGTGGGATAATGAGCAAAGGGTTCGTTGGTGACCTCACAGCTGAAATAAGAGACAAAAGGACAGGTGGCAGGAGAGAGGGACGGAAGAGAAAGAATGACGAATGGGAAAAAACAGGACAATTTCTGTCAGGACAAAAAAGTGAAGCAAGGAGATCCTGTTTATGGTCTGGGATGGAAGGCTCTGAACATCCCTGGTGCCCGGGATCTACTTTACATACTGGGTAGTCCTGTTTTCTTTTGTTTTTTTATCTTCTTTGTTTGTTTCTTTTTATCATATAACACATAACAGATAACAATAACAGGTATGTCAGAATACCGTAACAATGAAACAAATATCTTGCAAATGTGTTCCTTGCAAGTCAAATGCAAACAGAATTTCCATAATAACAAATACAACTGTCCATTGAAACACAACATATACGAAGAGGGAGCGACAAAGAAAGAGTTCACTTTAGCCCTGAGGAGAAAACATCTGTGCATCAGGTAAGAATTCAATTTGTTTTCATTTATTTGATAAAGCAGCTTATTTATTTTAAGCAGATGATATAATAAACTTTGGAATACATAAAAAATGTTCACCCTGAGACATATAAGCGTAGCGAATATGATACTCTTAATATCCTAAATAAATTCAACTTACAATAGCTGTTAAGCACTATATCTGTGTAGGAAAGTTGATTATAACAACTTGTATTAAATATTTATCCTTTTATATCATAGATAAAATATGTCTATTCTGGGGATTTTGCTTCTGACTTCAGGTAGGTGTATTGACATAAAATGATTCGATAATTATGCGAAATTCAAATACACACTGTTATATTAATAATACCTGTGTTATTTGGTTTTTTGATGGTTGTCCTTCAGGTTCTCTCATTTTGTGTTCACACATTCATTATGAGTATCACCTGATAAAGGAGACAAAGAGCTGGGAGGATGCCCAAATGTACTGCAAAAAGAACTACACTGACCTCGCCACCATTGGCAGCCATGATGACATGAACAGGCTGGTGGACATGACAAAAACCAAAGCAGAGACAACAGGGATCTGGATTGGTCTGAGAGATAGCAAGAAGTTGTCCTGGATGTGGTCTTTGGGAGAAACTAGGATGAGTCATGGATTACTTGAATACAACGTGGCCACTTCACTCGGTTCTACTCACAGATGTGGAGGCATGGAGCTTGATGGGACATTGGTTGGCATCGATTGTCTGACATCTCTTCTTTTTGTCTGTCAGGAACGTAAGTAAGAGGGATTTAATTTAACAATGAGTGCTTTTAGGGGACAGATGATTCAAAGTAACCACAGACTCTGATGTCTGTCCAGTGATTATAAATCTCCAGCCAGCAGTTAGTTAAAAGAACAATTTCACAAACTCTCAAACTATTTCGGCTATATCTTTGAACATGCAGGAGGTGTGTGTGATAACTTTAAAAGGATACTCCGCAGCAGACTTTACACATGAAGATTAGCTTACTGCATGATACTACTCAGCCTGTGAAAACAGTTGTACAGTTGTACACAGTTGTACAACAGTTGTTGGCTCTGCAGGAGTTTTGTAAAGTCTGAAAAACTGAACCCCACTGATGTCATCAGGGTCACTTCAGATTGGGAGAATGACACTTTTTAACCATGCTAGCGATGCGGTTGTATGGATGGCAATGTTGGTTTGATGGTAGGTTGGCGTGTCTAATACTTGTAACATCTAAATAAACCGACGGATGGATTGCTGAATTTGGAACAGATATTTATGTTGCCATGGGATAAACTTTGACAGCTTTGGTGACGCCCTGACTTTTCATATTGTCCCATCATTAAGTCAGTAATGCACCTGTCCAATACTATGGGTTCTACAGCTAAATCCCAAAATCCAGATCCTAGCATGCTGACATGAAGAGAGCAAACATGGTGGATAAATGTCACTGTGAGCATGTTAGCGTTTCCCTCTAAGCACCACTGTGCCTACATCTTGTGAACAGAAATCTTACAATATGGGGACATGGAGTTTAAGGATGTTTACAAAGGAGGGAGATTCTATCAAATTGCATTATGGGAACTATAGGAACTGCAGCATTGTTGGAGCTTGGTCCAAAGATACGTCCAAACTAGGGACTAAAAGTCATAATACATTGCCCTCTGCTACTTTGGCTTTTTATTTTCTTTCTTTTTTTTGACTTTCCCAACTTTAGAAAAGTGCAATACTTAATCATTGGAGTATCTCTTTAATGAACAGTTAAGTATGTTTGCTGCAGTTTGAAAACTTCCATTCTCTCCAAACATTTTAACTTTTACATTTTAAAATATTCACAGACCAGTCCGGTAAGATGCATCCTGGTCCTGAAGCTAAGACATGGAGGCAAGCCCAAGAGTACTGTCGACAGAATGATATGGAATTGGCCAGTGCAAGGAGCCAGGCTGAAAAACAGGCATTACAGCAAATTCTTAATGATGAGACAAATTTCAGAACAACTAAAGAACGTGCGTGGATAGGTTTGTTCAGAGATCAGTGGAAATGGTCGGACAAGAGTGACAGTTCCTTCAGAAACTGGGAAAAGAATGAGTCAAGTCACTCTGAGGGCTGCGCAACATATAAGCCCTCCTCCAAGGCGTGGCAAATCAACAATTGTACTACCAAGCTTCCCTTCTTCTGCTATAATGGTAGGCATATAATATCTGTTACAGTCTGATTCTACAATGAACCATGTTAGTTATTACATTATTTTAAAAATGCCATCCTTAATAATTGATTAATGATTGATTGATTAATTAATTTATTTTTATTTCTTTAACCACAGGAAAAAGTAAGACACTGAAGCAGACTGTGAGGTTGAAAATTAAGGCAAATTCACTCTTAAACTTCAGTGATGCTGCTGTGACTGACGCCATTTTGGACCAAGTAAGTTTCTGTATATTTTTTAATTTCAAAGTTGAAGGTGTAGTTTCTCAGTAATTTTTTTTTTTCATGCCTCCATAGCTCCAAAACAAGTATCAGGGGGGCAAGCTTCAGTGGAAGGTCCAGCCAGACGGGACGATTTTCAAGAAAAAGAAAAAAGAAGAAAATTAATGAAAGCTCCTGTTATAATGTAACATAAAGTGAAGCTTCCACTATGAAATTTATGACATTCCAATTATTCCTGAATGTCTGCATGTGCATTTGAGCTCTAGTCATTAAAATAGTCACACTAACAGTGTGTAAAATCATCAGAGATAAAACAAGAATCATTTGGGGGACTTTCACTGTATTACAACTGAAAAAAAGCTTGATATATTTAACAAATCCCATTTACATGGCTGCCTGTAAAATGCATTTGTGAAATAAGAATACTTATTCCTCCCATTTCTATATCTTGTAGTCAGCAGTGATGTTTATCTGACATTGTACATACACATATAATTCATGTTTTGAAGGGGTTAACTTTGATGTTTTTCATGCTGTCTTTAACGTTTAATGTTCACTTTTATTTCTCATCATGTATTAACAGTAGGTCTGCTGTTGTTAACGTACTGATGGTGCAAGGTTTTGACAAGGAAGAAGAATGTGGTAAATAACAAGAGGAGATTTGTTTGGTCCTGCTGCAACCTGCTGATTCTGATATTTTTTAAAGCTTTCCATTGTTATGAGTGCAATGCTAAATCGGTGGAGTACTCTTTTAAGACAGCAAACAACAAGAACACACTTGAGGTCTTTTTTCTTTAAGAATGAATTTATGTTCCCTTGTAATATTGCAATAAAAAAAGGCTTACAATAGCTGATCTGGATTGAAAACAAAAAAATGTAAATCAATGGAGAATAACAGGAATCTGCGTCACTGGTAACGTGCCACCGTGTGAATTAGATGGTTTGACTACAAAATGTCACTTAACATGTAACTCACATCTGACCTGCAGCACTGCTGGAGACTGGATAACTGCACATCATGTTCATAAATATAGCTTGCATTGTTATGGCGCTTGTTAAATAAAAAATAAAAAATACAAAACAGATTTATAGATGGCAGTGAAATAACCGGAGTTCATTACACAAGAGTTTTTAAATGGGCAAATGGGTTTGAAATGCCTACTGACCACAGAAAGCAAAACTGACCAACATTATCTGTATATACAGTTTGAATTTGCTCAAAAAACTAGAATAAAAGTTATTTCATGGGTGAGTTGTGACTGAGTGTAATACTAATCAAAGAGTAATGCCCACCTATGAATTTAAAGGAGCCATGTCATATCACTACATGTATAAACAGCCTGGCGCTCTCAGCGGAGTATTACAATCATGTATGTAAAAAGCAGATTTCCTGTATACATAATGAGTAAACACTGAGAAGTCACAGACTTCCAAGATTTTAAAATTCCTGTTCTCACTGTGACGGCAATCTTGCACTCAGATGGAAACCGAAGTCACCTCAACAGTCCTGCATGTTTTCTCTCAATGCTAATGCTCCAAGACTCTTTATCACACACGTATATTGTACTTTCAAACAAAGCCAACAACAGACAATTAGTGGCACAAAAAGTGTGGCATACTTAATAGTGACAAAACATACTGCACTTGAATTTATATTAAATTCCTCCCTGCAATAAGGTGATGTTAGGATTTCTATCCTAACTTTGAGTGGTGCAATTCACACTGGCCTTTTTATAAAAATCAAACCATGTCACAATAATTACTTTTCCATTTAGGTTTCATGGTTCTATTTTCACCAACGATTTGTTAAAACCCAACGAAAACCAATAACCATACTGCATTTGAATCACACTTCTTGATCTGTTACTCTATGGACCTTTTCTCTCTTCCCACACCCATAACACAGCTAATATAAACACACAAATACAGATGCATATCAGTAAAAACATCCCCTCCATCATTCCATATCATCCGTATCATCTATAAAATTTTCCCAATGCACGTCATCATGTAGCATTGTTTCTTGCACACCTTTCCCTCAGCAATGCCCCCCCCCCGAGTAACCATCTACAGATCTTTCTTGACCTCGGGCCGACTCTCCTCTGTTTTGTTGGGCTCTTTTTGGTTGGGGCTCAGCAGCTGTATCAGGTCGTGCAGGGCTTTTCTGATCTGAGCACCAAACTTATGGGCATCCTTGAAGGGAGACACAAATTAAAGAATGAGGAGGTTTTATGCCATCACATCTGCTATCACCAGTCTGAATAATTATAGATGGGTTAAGCCCAAATAACTTCTCAACCTTAGGGTTAAAAGAGAAAGCTATGCTGAAAATGTTGATATGTTGTTATTCTTGTCTTATTGATGGTTGCATCTGCCTCAAATATCCGGTATCAGTCTGGCTGTAATGCTTATCATAGGCTTCATTTTTACGTCATACTACAAATTTCCTCTTACACAACTATCAAAAACTACAGAAATAATAAATATCATGGTTTAAAGGATACACAAAAATACATATCTTATTTATACAGCAGTTCCTGCCTGAAGCTGAGGAGTTTATTTTGTTCACTTTCCTTACACAGGGTAAAATCACTACTTTCATTTAACTCACAGTGTCTGGACAGGAGTGCTTGCACGAGATGTGGAAGTTAATCAGGTTGTCACCCACAATGCAGTAGGACACCCCATAACCATCATCAGCCACCTGAAATAGGTACGGACAATATTTACACTCATGACTGTTTCATGAATATCAGAACACAGAGCTACTTCCATAAAAAGAAGCAAAACAGTAAAGACTGTAAAAAAAAAAAGAAGCATGGGATGGTACAGTTATTTTCAGTGTTCATCCATTAAGATGGGCTGTTTCCATTGCAAAGAAAGACTAAAAGAGTGTCCACTAACATAAAGGCTGCTGCATGATGCAAAATGAAAGTGTAATTACATAGACAAAAGTCATAAAACTACATTGTAAGATTACACTGACCGGACCAAAGCCCCCTCCGCAGGAGATGTACTCTGGGTGGTTGACCAGGTCAAACAGCTCCACCTGCTGGACTGGAGTCTGACTGGTGGACAGCCGCCAGGGCTCAGACAGCACCTGAGACACCCACAAGGATGCAATGCATCAGTTTGTTGAAGTCACTGCTGTTTTGGCTCTACTAAAAAGATAAATACCCATACTGAGCTGGACTGATATGATTAATCTGATTAAAGTGGCAAAGGGGAAGAAATAAACCTCTTTCAAGAAAGGAGACTCCACTCCAAGGTATTTGGAAACCACGTAGAGGCAAAAGAGGTGTCTGTCGATGCCAGCTCCAGTCATGGCCATGCGATACAGATTTTGGTGCTTGTCTAACGCTGCACGGAACAAACGCCTGCACACATCTGCTGCCTGGTGGAGAATGGCATGAGTGGCATGACTGCTTGGCATAGCACACATTAAAAATAGACACTGTATGATTTATACAAGGGACATAGCAATTAGACATCATCATTTGCAATGCAGATGTATTTACTCAGAGAACCTGTAATCAGTCAAAAACGTTTCCTTGGTCTCACCTCTCCACCATCCAGCGCTCGGACGAAGGCACTGCTCTCATTGGTACAGGAGCGAACAGTCTCGGTTCTGCCCTCCCTGAACAAACGGGTCATGGAGGCTTCGTACGTCAGGCAGAACGTCCTCCGGTCCTGGAATGCAAAACAAAAAAACTCACAGATGACAGAAAATACTGATGGTCCCAAATCAAATATATAAATGTCCAAATTTTAACATAGTCATATTTTCTTCCTGTTCAACTGTCACATGTGCAGTCTATACGTATTCGCACACTAACACAATTGTTTTGGTTGTGTGCTATTGCATATTTGAAATTGATGTGAACCCCATGCATTACAGCTGAGGGTCAGCACGCTATTTTCGGATCCGGATTAACGTGCTTGAGTACAGAGGCAAAACAACACACTGCCCTCCCGTTGATCACGTACAGTAAGTGTATGTTTATACATCTGTTCTACTTCAGAGAGAGGCTCACCCTGTAGTAGGCCAGCTGAAGAGCCATTTGGATGAAGGCATCTGGACTGACGCGACACTTCTTGACCTTTCCTTTGCCGAAGTCTCTGAAGGAGAAAACGTGGAAGTCCACGTCATCAGCCAGGGCCTGGGCCACTGCCAGCGACTGCGAGATCTGCTCCTCACACTGAGACAGACACATCCAAACTGTTATCAGCAGGAGTGAGATACATATAACATTGTACTGTGGTTTAAAAAAAAAAAAGTCATCTTGTTTCAAATAATGAGCAAGTTTTTACCGTGCTGCTTTACATGTCACAATTTGAATATGTAATATATGTATCAACTGGCTGGACTTCTTTCAATCAATTTCATCGCAGTACAACCAAGCTACTGGCCACTGTATGGTTAGGATCTTATTTCTAAGCTGTAAACATACTGTAACATACTTTACATTTTTGCTATAAATACATAATATAATAATATATCAAATTGAGGTATTCTCAATTTTAAGTTATTTTATTCTGAAAGCTCAGTGAGAGAGATAGACAGGAAAGTGTGGTAGAGAGAGGGGATGACATGCAGCAAAGGGCCACGGGTTGGACTCGAACCTGGGCCACTGCAGCCAGGACTAAGCCTCCATGGTACGCGCTGTACCAGGTGAGCCACCGGGTCTCCCCAATCTGAGGTATTCTATCCAGATACACAGGCCCAGCAGTAACAATACAGATAAAAGAAATGGTCACCCCCCCACAAAAAGTATATGTGGGGGGGGGTGATAATAATAATAATAATGTTGCTTGCTGCTATATTTGTAGTGATTCAGCATCATTTAGTGCTGCTGCAAAAGACAAAATTAACAAAATGAAAATGTTTCCATGCCACAGTACTCATTTAAAATTGGAATTATTTAATTGGGACTAATTCTGATCTTATGTCTCCATTGTAAGCATAATATAAACTATGATATTTACAGTATATGCATCATTTCGAAACAGACTGGATTGTTGCAGACAGCGGAGCAAGAACCTGTGTTCTGTAGCTGAAGGAGAAAACATTTAAATTTAAAGATAATGTGTGAATGGATGACTTACTTCTGGAGGGATTTCCCAGTTCAGCTTCTGTGGTCGTGGTAATGATGAATCCACATCTCCTTTGCAGTGACCCTCAGCATTGTAACCCAGCTGGAAACTGTCAGTGGCCAGGGTGTACTGAAAACACACAACAATGCAAAGTGACAGCCTCTTATCGGGGCCTCTTATGACAACAGTGGGCAACCTGCTTTTCTTACATCTACTTACCTCCCATAAGTGTGCCAACACTGGTGCATCAGCCCACGAGTGCTCTGCATTTATGCCATTCTTTCCATTCTTGTAGTAAACAACCGAGAAGGACTTGTCAAACCACCTGCATGACAACCAAGATAATGACTGAATGCTGTACAGAAAATTCCAGCAATTCAACAACATAACAGGAAAAACAAGTTCTCGAATTAGTTCGCAAGGTAGTTATCAGTTTAGTGTAAAATTACCTGTCATAACATTTCCCATGCAACAAGGACTTAGCATAGCGATCTAGACTGGCTGCAGGGTCATCTCCCATCATGCCCTGTTCATCATCATCCAGGGTCACGAAGAAGGCGGCTCTCTCAATGCAGTCCAGAGAGCGTTTATTGACCCCACTGCTGAAATACTTCGTTCTGGCTTTAGCCCATGGAATTCTGGGAAACATTTCAAAGCAAAACTCATGACATTACATTAAGGATGTAGTGTGCTGTGTGGTGCATGTGATTTAGATGCTGGAGGCTTGTCAAGCTGACCTGTCTCCAGCGGTCAGAGCCCCGAGTTTGGCCTCTCCTTTGGAAGGAGGTGAAGGGTCATCGAGGATCCTCTGAACCTGGAATTCAATCTCCCTGGGTGACAGGAGTCTGCCTGCCTGGTACACCCTCAGACGAAAGTAGCGACCCCTGTGGTATGCCACTATGTAGTCACTGTCCTGCCAGTGTTGCACAGTGTCTTCCGATATAAAAGAAAGAGGGAAAAAGGCAGAGAGCAAACGTTTTGTTATTGAGTCAAAAACACACATTTAGAGTGTATTTCTGTAATTTAGGGGTGAGGTGCTAACTAAGATCATGTTACGGAAACACAAATACACCAGAGATGATGCACTTAATTTAGGGATTTAGATGTGGTTTGTGCTTAGTTTCATTCAGAACCTCAGCATTTTGTCTGTACTACTGGCATGGATTTCTGTCATTTATCTATACCACTGAATTTATTTAAAGAAATTTTACCCTTAATTTAGTTTCAGTCGGGAAGCACAAAGCAACTGACCGTGCAACACGTCCTTGTGACATTAATTGGACAGAAGTTATATAATAAAAACCTATTTCAAATAAACAATATATTTTTAAACTACAATCAATATATTGACACTGTACTCACTGGTCACAAAAAGAAAACTACATTTGCACTGAGCAGCTCCCAGGTAAAATATGTTTGAATATAAGAATTATTGTAAAATGGGAACACTCCTTCACCACTTTCCACTGGCTAAAAGTAACAATGTCAACCACACAGGTAGACGCCTAAGATATTTTCTCAACATCCCTGACACATCCTGTTAAAAAAAACTCAGCACCTGTTGCCAGAAAGAAGTGGACGAATATTATGTGGAGTGACAGTGTTTGATCTGACTTCCCTCTACCAATCATCTTAAGAAGACAACAAACCTGAGCGAACCATATTCAAACACTTGACACACTGACACACACTTAACTGTACTGAATTCAAATGAACAATGAAACAACAACTCCATCAGTTTCATGTTGACCTAGCCTACCTTGTGCAACCAGGAAGACTGAGACAGTGCTAAACAGATAGCTTAAGGCCTATTTAGCAAACAGAGGAATGAAAACATACTGTAAGAGACATGCATGAGTAAATATACTGAAAGCACGGATGCAGTTTGTATTTCTTTTCATTATATTTTCTGATTTGAAACGACTGATAGGGTGACCATCAAGATGGTGGGTCATTAACACAACGGACAAAGAACTTTCACTCTAAATGAGAAAGGGATACATCTAACCTTAAAATATTAAGTATACAGAGGAACAATGTTAAGCACATTTCCATTGTTATCATACTGGCTTTGACATTTAGAGATCTAAAACTGGGATTGGCCCAGTTGATTAAGAATATAAATACTACCTGTTAGTGTTCCAGGGATTCGACAAGTGTCAAACATCCGCTCAAACTGATAGGAACAGCAAGGAACTGCAGACCTCAACAACCACTGAGCAGGATAAAGAAGGATGGACCAGTACAAAAGCAAAGTATGGGTGAGAAAAAGAGGAAACAAAAGGGATAATAGAAAAAAAATGAAGGAGTGGGGATGAAATAAAAAATAAACCAGGGAGAGGAAAGAAAAGAGAAAACAAAAATGTGTGGGCAGAAGAAAATAGACATTAGTTATAGACAGAACCTTCCCAGACAGACCTGAGATGAGACCAGAAGGCAAGATGAGACAGATGAGAGATGACAGGATGGGCTGTACAGTAGACATATTCTGACTCAGTGAATCACAGACACCTTGCTTCAGGAGACCATACACACTCACGCATACATACACGCTGTCTTTCACACAATTTTATATCCCACGCTTAAACTCCAGAGGGTTCAGACACCTTCAGTATGCCTCATCATCTCTGAAGCAGTGATGTGTTAGCATCACTCAGTATGAAGCCGGTGCTGCCTTCCTCGTGGAAGTTTACTGCTTGTGTGTGTCTGTGTGTGTGTACATGTCAGTCTGTTTACCGGTCTCCTCTCCAGGAGTGCGTGTGGTGTTGAATATCCTCTCACACTGTGCTGCACACAGAGGAATGACAGTGCCTGGTATACGACTCTGGGAAACATAGAGGAAAGGATGAAGGCAAAGGCATAGGGAGAGGAACAGGGGACAGCAGTGGAGGAAAATGTAGTCAAACAAAAAAGAAAATTAAGGAGGTAGATAAAGAGAAATCAAACAAGCGAAAGTGAGATTGGAAAGGGTGCAAAAGGAAGGGGTGAGAAATGAGCATGGTATGAGAACATGAGGGAGATGTCTTCACATAAACTAAATAAATGAATGAAGACACATACTATCTACTATAAACAATCAAGACACACAAACACTGATGGATGGATGTTACTCACACAGTCAAAACACAATCAAATGAACATAATATTCTGCGGCTCCACAAAGAAAGACCTCGATGTCTCCAAATTTGATTAACAAGGCTTCTGTTACCATGGCAAAGAGACATGTATAATGAATGTCTCTATCTATATGGAGCAACTGGGCATGACTGGTGGATGAACTCACAGGTTTAATTTCTTCTTTGTTGAGTTTGCGACGGTACAGGAAGAATGCGTGTATGCTGTTGCCTGCTCTGGCTGACTGGATGGGTGTGGGTGTCACATACAAGAAGTCCTGGGGAGAGACCAAACAGAAACAGAAAGTCAGGAGAAGGATAAGCAGGCGGTATCAAATCAAGAAATTATTAATTTCCAATATATACTATAAATACCATATAATATATACACAATATTAAGAATATTTACAGTTAACAGAACAGCAGAAAATCATGGTTAACTGGGTAGCTGCCCACAAATGAGTCCTGAAATATCTCGATGGCCATATAACATAATAAATTCAGCTATTAGGCCCAGGTACAAACTTTGTCCAATAAGTCAGTCCAAAGAGATGACTACGCCATGTGGACAGGAAAATTCTTAAGAGGAAATAATACGTTTTCACACCATGCCATAGTAGTTACTGTTGACCATGATTGGGCTTCGTCCCCGTAGGTAGACGTATTCTTCCCACCAGTCACTAACCTAAAACACATACACAAAAAAATAGAATTAATGACAACTTTGACCTTTGACCAGAGTCCAGTTGAGTTTGTACCAAATTTGAAGAGATTCCTTCACAGCGTTACTGAGACATCGCATTCACGAGACGGACAACCAGCAAACATAATGCTTGCGGCCCAGGCTGTCGCCGGTGTGGAGGCATAAAAATCTTAGAGAGAAGACTAATATTGCAGCCAACTGGCGGTCACATCACTTGCATATTCAGACAGGATGAATAATTCAAACCACAGAACCTCACAAAGATATGCATTGTTAATGGAATTTTAAAATTCCTTTGGACTGCTTTGCATTGGACGTTACAGTGATGTTTGAAGTGGCCAGGCTTCACCAGAGTACTGTTAAGAGGTCAACCACTTACATAGTTGGATGCCCAGAGAGCTTTGAGTTTGAGGTACCAATGCAGGCGGTTACCGAGGCTGCTCTCGAACTCTGCGGCCAGCTTGGTCATACGTTCATACTGCGTATCATCCATCAGCGGACGCACGGATTCCAAGTACTAAACAAGAGACATTTGCTAAATAAACCACATTTCAAATGAACAATAATAATAAACATCAGTGAACAGAAATACAATTTCCAATAGAATAACATCCATTCTAATTATGCTGATGTAATACCACAGCTCTTTTCCATTCTATCTCCTCTCATCTCTCAAATATATCTCAATTTAGAAGTGTAGATATCTTGCATTTTTATAAATTTCACAACTAGCTTGCAGCCAGATAACACAATGGCAAAGGAAAGGCAGAAAATGATGAATGTGAGAAAGTGATCCATCTTTTTTATGGTCAGTAATCGGTGTGTTGTCATTCCCTCTGCTTCATGTGCCATCTCACCCTCTTGACTGTGTCCTTGATGGTGGGCAAAGGCAGGTTTGGCAATGAACCCTGGTAGCTGTAGAGTAGAGGCTTTCTGCCAGAAAAGATCCGCACCAGCGCCTGGCACAGACACAACAGCATATTTAAGTGAGGACTTGCGTATGTTAAATAATATTACACAGCAAAAAATGAATATGATGAGCTTTACATTACATGACACTGTACTAACTGTAATTTTAACATCAGCATATAAATGTGTCAATATTTAGAGATGCCAAAAGATCACAGAAGCGAGGAACAGTGAAAGGTGTGGTTAAAAACTGTGAAACAGCACTGACCACCCAGACTTTGGTAGTGTTGGACATCTTGCCGTGTTGCTCGAACATCCAGCGGTGGTAAGAGAGAAGCTGCTTGAGACACAGGCGCATGGTGAAGATGAGCAAGAGCCATAGCATGGTGCTGAAGAGCACTGCTGACACCACTGCCTGGCACTGCGTACTCATCGACTGGCTGGTAATGGTGGGAGAAAGAGAGGAAAACAAAACTGTGAGTGGAATAAATGACAAAATTTTAAAAGAACAACTTGAAGGGAGATGGACAGGAGTAGAGAAACCACACATAAGGATAGATGGGAGGAGAAACGACTTTTTACATTAATTAGAAGAACTAGCTGTTTCACAATGGTAATATCCATCCATCCATTATGTATACCGCTTATCAGTGCAGGGTCACAGGGGAGCTGGAGCCAATCTCACCTGACATTGGGTGAGGTACACCCTGGACAGGTCGCCAGTCAATAGAGGGCTGACGCATAGAGACAAACAATCACTTGTGCACAAATTCACACCTATGGGCACTTTAGAGTCACCAATTAACCTATTGTGCATGTTTCTGGACTGTGGGAGGAAGCCGGAGTACCTGGGAGAACATGCAAACTCCACACAGAAAGGCCCCAGTTCAAACCCAGAACCTTCTCGCTGTGAGGCCGCAGTGGTTAGCACTGTGGCCTCACAACGAGAAGAGACATTTTGTGTCTGATGAATCATAATATTTATCATTAACTTTTAACATTTCATGGAGTCATGAGATGTGTTACCTGACTGGCAGGTGCTCCTGTATCTTGGCTATGAGGCCCATGGAGGGGTCGGAGCGAGTGTACATAGTAGCCAGGATTGCTATGACCACAAAAAGCCAGGAGGAAGGGCTAGCAGGATATACCCCCGTTATCACACTGTTCTGTTAATGTCAGAGGAAAGAGACTGACTTTAAATGCCATTCTTCCTGTTTACAATCAGTACACCTACATGCTCACTGATAATTCAGCTATGATCAGATTAACATAATAACTGTCATTCTAATGCTACCTAATCTATTCTGATTGTCTTAACTGTATTTAGCTCAGCGCCAGACATTAGGCTGATTTAAACAACAAATTACTGGTAATTAACTGTTAATATAAGGCTTTCTAATTCTTATTAACATTGCTTCTGAAAATGAATGATGATAGTGAGAATCAAACAAACCTATGAGGCACGATGCCCACACACAAAGAGTGTGTCATAATATGTGGCATCCATTATTGATTGATAATGAAGTCCACACATTATGACAGCAAAGAATTCGAGAGCAAAATGCCTTTTTTAACAAGGGTTATACAAAACAAAACTAAAACACAGCATTTCAAATTAAGAATTATATATGATATAAAAGGACAGCAATTGAAAGCCCATAGTTAGAAGACTACAATTAAAACAATTAAAAGAAAATAAGAAAAAAATCAAACCTCTTGCATTCAGTCTGTCAATGGTTCAATGACGTGAATGGTCAAGTACCTTATAAATATTCCAAGTTCAAGTTTATTCTGAAGGTTATTTGTGAGGATTTATTTATAATTGTATGTTATTTGTAAGGTACAAAGAAACTAAAAATGGATTTTCCTGGGTTAGTTTTAAAAGGTAAAAGCAAAGATCTCTGCTTTTAGCACTCACCACCTACAGACTAGAAAGGCAACTATCCTGAAAAAATGAGTAGAATGAGCAGATAAAGAACAAAAAAATTAGAACCACAATATGGACAAGCCAACAGAACAGCGTCTTTGAAGGATTCCTCAACATTTAGCTCTGATACAGATGCAAGTGCTGACATGCTGAGAGGCAGAAAAGCAGTAATAACCAGAATTACCACCATGCATCTGCCAAAAAGCCAAGGTTCAGGAGATATGGTGAAATTCTCTACTTCTTTTCCTGAGTTACAGTGTTGAATAATAGCCAGCAGTGTTTTTGCACAACATTATGTCATAGTGAAGTTGACCATTGACCATTTGGATATAAAATGTCATCATATTATCATTTTATCCGATTATAACATTTGTGTTGAAATGTGTCATAATAAGCGTAAGAATTTGAATTGAATTTGTCAAATTTGTTTTTGAATTTGTTTTGTGAGATCACAGTGAACTTGACCTTTGATGCCCAAACTCTTTGTCAGATTAATCAGTTAATCATTGAGTCTAAGTGAATATTTGTGCCAGATGTAATGAAATTCCCTCTGGGCATTCCTAATAGATCACATTCACAAAAAACATGAGGTCACTGTGACCTTGAAATTTGACCTTTGCCCTCCAAAATCTAGTCAGTTCAATTTTGAGTCCAAGTGATGTTTGTGGCAAGTCTGACGAAATTCCCTCAAGGCGGTCTTGACCTATCAAATTCAAGAGGCCAAAACCACGTTTTGTGACGTCACAGTGACGTTGACCTTTGACCACCGAAATGTAATCAGTTCATCCTGAAGTCCAAGTGAATGTTTGTGCCAAATATAAAGAAATACTCTCAAGGCATTACTGAGGAATCACGGTCATGAGAGTGGGATGTACAACCCGAAAACATAATGCCTCTAGCCCTGGCTGTCAACAATGTGGAGGAATAACAAGAAGGAAGAGGCACACTGTAAACATGGCTGCGATTATTACAGATGGTTTTGGGATGCAGACACAGGGCATGCATGAACAAACAAAACAAACAGGTGTGACAGGGAGAGTGCAAATACCTTGAGTCTGATGATACGTTTCTTCCAGGAGCGCACACCAGAGAGGTAGATCTCAGTTAGGGCCTGGTGGGACAGCTGCAGATCGATACCCTCTGGGGTGACTGTGAACTGGAAGGCCACTGCCTGGTGGGCCTCTGCCATGATTACTGTGCACAATAAGAGGGCCTGAAGGGGAAACAGAGCAAAAGAGCAAACAAGAGGAGAAAGAGAAGTTTTCTTTAAATGACAATTTAAATAGTCAGTCAACAACCTAAAGGCAAGTAGAGCATCCTACATTAAACACAAAGTGTCAAATCTCAAACACCTTAGACACAAGAATATCAATTAAGTACTCACCTCATAAATAGATTACCATGATTGTAGACCCCTAATATACAGATTGCAATGAAGGGCACATGAGTAACAACATCTCAACGGCAGCTTTTTATACCATGAAATGACCCACTTAATAAAAAGACACTGAGAACTGCATACAAGTTGTCAACAAAAACAACAATGTAAATGGCCAACAGCAGCATCCCTTATACTTTGTGATCACAATAAATACATGTAACTCAACTGCAGTAGCTGAAGGGGAAACTGAGCCATGAAGGTGGTAGAAAGTACTGTGAGGGGACTTACAGATGATTCATCAAACTGATGATTTGTGCCATGTATGCCTGGCAAAACACATCCATCTTGTGCATGAGCATTTTTAAGTGAAACTCATATTATTCATGACTTCGTTCAAATGCAAAGTCAGCTTGAAATTGATAGAGTTTGATGGGAAAGTGCTGGCTAGCTGCTGATGTGATTGGGTATTTTTTGTTTAAGGCAATTACTGCTTCTCTTCACAAAGGGAATTGATTTTCCTCCACAAATAGGCTATGGATAATGCCCTGAGGTTTAGTCACTCTGACACTGGACTGCATCCCTGTGGAGGGTACATCTGCTCTTTTTGTGTGGCTAAAAATGGCAAACGCACACACACACACACACATTTCCCTCATCATCCCAAGGTCCCATTGAGGTTCTGCTCTTTAGGTCGAATCCGGCAGATACAGTTATGCCTGTGCCAAGGACTAACAGCAGTAAATTTCAGCCTCTTTCTTTCAGTGCCAACACACCTGTTCGGTTCAGCATGGACCACATGCACTCTGAAGGAGGCGCCTTATGAAATGCTGGTCAGGATAGGTTTTATTACCAATATCCATTTGACTGGAATAAATGTTTTGATAGCTTAATCTGCACTGACAGTGTGGTAATCCTTAGCATCTCTGCAACTTTGATTCCCAATTCACTTAGAGCTTATGTCTTTACAGCTGTGTTATAAAAAGCTTAACAATGATATTTCTTATTAGGCTGCAGATATATAGAGTCATTAATAAGGGGGATGGCTATGACTATGAATAGTAAAGTCTCTTCAATGATGTTACAGTTTAAAGAAAAAAAAAAGTTTTTCGAAGAACTGACACAATCTTGTACTTATTACTTGCTACTAACTTCACATTTGGATCCTTGGATGAACATTAGACAGTGAGTTTAGAGTAAGAAGAGTGGACAAAGGAAGACAGGGCTAGTGTGTGTAAAGTGGGTAAAAGGTGAACACCTCTGAAGCAATTAAATCACTACAACATATAAGCAAAATACATGGAAAACACACAGAAGACCATAAGAATACCCAGTGCACCAGAGATGAGACACAGATTTCAGGTCTGATACTGCTGGTGCTCAGTAACTTGTGATAGAAGATTTTCATTTCAGTGCATATCAGCAAACTTCTAAAAAATCCCTGCCAGTTATCATTTTGTTTAACTGAGATCCATTAGCCTACACAACGAAAATGTTAAGGGTTAGGGTTAGGGTACGCTAACGTTTGTTTTATGGCCTTTTGCCCTCCAAGAACAAACGGTTCCAGAAAAGAGTAACTTGGAACTTTACAGACACAGCAACAGCTTCGTTATCAGTGTTTCAGTGAGCCGTGCCTTATCATACCTTATCTTTACTAACCTCTTCCTGCCAGTCAGCCAACAACAAATGAGGAAAAGGATGGAAAATAAAGGAGAATGATATAGTGCTGCACCCCATTATGGCAACAAGTAAAAATGTACTATCCTCAGGTTATCTTTATCATACTCACATTGTAGAAGCAATCGCATAATTTCAGACACAGTTACAAAAACGGAGAAACTGAGAACTTCATCTCTGAAGTACTGTATATTATAGGTTGTTTTAATGTCTTAATTTACCAAAAACACAAAAATAAGCTGCACAGCCCAGACAACTGACAAATATTAATATTAACCAAGGTCACCTGCCGGCTACTGTGGACATGCTCTCATCACTATCAAATAGTGCAGATTTAAACAGAAAATCAGACATTGTTTAAGTCAACACAGTCATTCATACCACATTTGCAGACCTTGAAAAGACAAGGTTTAATCTTGTCACTACTTTAAATCCCTCTGCTCAGAACTCAGTCAGAGTATGTCTCCAGGTCATATCAGATGCTACTTATAACCAATTCTAATGTGATAACAGTACTAACATTGAATCTATTCTCTAGTCATACACACTGTAGCTTTCGAGTTGATGTCAACATTTTATTCACAACATTAAGGGCTTCTGATTACAGCAGGGCACTCCCTGTTGCTCTTAAAACATGCTTCCTTAACTCAGGTGAATTGGCCTACACTGTGGAGGTCCCTCAGTATAAAGCTGTAGTGAAATCACTCATTTATTAAATTACTTCTTCAAACTGTATGTCAATTTAAGATCTGCCAGGCTGTTATTTGGTTTGTTGCAAAACTTTGTAACTTTGTTTTAGGAATAAACATTTTTCCCAGGTTTGTCCTTCAGTGGAGGAATGCAGGAGTGTCCACTGGTAAATCAGTAGGGGTTAAGCTTACAATAGTCTCCTGTAGTCTACAATAATATTGTGTGGATATTTGTAACACATGTAACAACATATCAACTAAACAGAAGTCAAACGGTACTCTGAGCCACTGCAAGTTTTTAGTGTCAATGATTTATGAGGCAAAGTTGGGCAGAGCTGAGCATGTTTCAATGTTTAACAAGCAGAAAACTTCTAACTAAAAGTAGCTCATGTCACTAGTAAAGCAGAGCCCTGTAGCAATGACTATAAGGCATATGAGACTGTTTCCATAACAAGTCAACAAACAAAGCAAATAACAGCTGACACGGCAGCCCTTTCAGTCAGGTCAGGCCAAATTTGAAAAATTGATTATAACATAAGCATTTTAGCTAAAATTCATATCTTAGCAAAATATAAGTCCAAACAACGCCCTATTTGATAAAGCAATATTTGATTAAGCAATAGTAACAGTAATATTAATCATTTTTCACATTTATCAACCTTGTATGTTCATTATGCTATCTGATAGCCTCACTCCAATGTTAGCTTTTATGCTACAGTTATGGAAAGCCAGGGAACAGACGTTAACGCTAGTTGACGTTTTAACTGCACTAGGTTTGAAAATGAACGCTAGCTGCTGCTAGCCGAGCGCCCAGCCCATTATGTAGTTAGCTATACACTAACGGCTGCTGATATGGCTTCCTAACGTTGGTGGGAAGATGCGACTATTTGTATCTTCTCCGCAATGCACAGCAACATTGTTGGAACCATGTTAGCATACCTATTGTTGTTTACGGGAGGAGAAATGTCGAGAATCCAGAGAAGCAGGAACCGACTGTTAACTTCTGACGTCGACCAGTGTTGCTTTACTGTCGGCCCTCCTCTCCTCTCGTCCCTCGACTGAATCACTACAGAAGCTCGCCTGGATGGAGCTGATGCTGCCTTCAGAGACTATCGGAAATCTCGCCATCATGCAGAGGCAGTCCGTTATCTGATCTCTGAGCTGTTACGTTTAAGGTGCAGAGGGAGTATGGATGCCCATGCCAATAACCAATCACAAAAGTAATCTTTTTTTCATTAATTCATTAACAAATCCGTGGCATTGTTTACCTTTTTTTCTACAGCAAAATGAAAAAATACTGGCGAGCGTTTCTTGTTATAATGCCAGTTTTATATTTGATATTGTGATGATTAACACATTAAAATAAATAAAACATAAAATAAAAAAACGTTAAGCCCATTTAGGAGATTCTTGTGTAGCTTTCAATCACATTCCGTGGTCTTCATCAGCAGTTATGTTATGGTAGTAAGTTTTCTGATGTGGATGAAGTATCCCATCTGCATGACTGTGAGATGAGTCTGAAAGTTCCAGAAAAACTCAATTTCTCAAGGAACACCATAAGATGTGATTGAAAGCTCCAGGAAAACTTCTCCCAAAGTCAAGAATCAACTTTCATGCTCAATTTTCAGAGCTATTTTGCCACTTTTATCTTTGTCTGAGAATACTGACTATTTAGGTTAATGAAATTTTAAAATTATTTCATGTTACAGCAAATCATACAAATAAGGTTTGCATCTGGATGGTGAAACTGTTTTATGCCGTAGCTGTCTCAGCATTAGTGCAAGGTAAAAGAAACAGCCATGCAAAATGGACACCATTTTATCCCAGAAACTAAATACACACACACATGAATTTAGGGTTTATTATTGTAACCATAACAATAAGGTGGATCTCTCTTTATTTTGACCATCAATTCAATCATAATTGTTCTTTTTATCACAGGCAATAGTTATAATAGTGCACTTTTTATATTTAAATTATGATACAGACATTTCTTTTTTTAAACACCTTATTCTACTGACCCTTATGAATGGAGAATAGTTTACAATCTTAGCCAGAGTTGGGCCAATGAAAGTGAAGGTGATGTGGTGATGAGACAGATGAAACTGATGATGGTGAGCAATCATAAAGTGTGTGCAGACAGTGAGGCAAACAACTTCATACAGTTTCTCTTGTGACAATGGCTACACAACAGGAGAAGAGGCGGACAGACAGGTCAAAGGGGCAAGGCATAAAAGCAAGAGATGAAGCGGAATTAGCAAGCATTCAATGCGTGTGAGAGAAATTATGTGCCTGTTAGGGTTTGGCAATGTTAATTAATTTAATATTCTTGGGTCAGTCAACATCTCCGTACCTACTCAGCTCAAAATGCAATCGGCTCACTCTCAGTCAGCCATCATCCTCCCGTCTCACACACACATTCCAGTTACCAGAGATAAGCGTGACAAAAGAGATATGAGCTATAAACAAAGATCACTGGAGAAGTAATGCTTGTCAGTACTGCTATCAAAACCATTCCTTTGCATGGAAAGAAGCGCTCAAAAATTAAAAAGAGTGGGTAATGAGAAATGAAACAGAACAGGTTTCTTTAACTGGCTCTTGACATATTTTCTGTAAACAAATACATGACACAAATGATATGACCAAATAAATAAATAAATAAATAAATAAAAATAAATAGGTGAATAGAGAGAGTGGAAAGTGGACAAATATAAAAACAAAAAATACCATTAAAATAAACAACTGTAGCACTGTGTATCTCTCTGAAAACATTCTGCACTTTTGTTGCATATTGTGCTGTATGGAAGACTGGTGATGAACGTCGACTAGTCTGATAGAGTACTGGAGTAATACGTGACTGTCCGAGTTGCTACGTCTGTTTGCCGAATGGTGCGACTCTCGGTGATGAGCGTGAGTGCAGCGATGGACTACTTGGCTTGTTGGTGAACACTGAAGTGAGGAGCATGGGGTAAGGAGACTCTTTGCTTGCTTCCCATTCTAAAGTCCTGTTCAACAAGGAATTGACATCGCAAGCCTTTACAGTCCGGCATCATGAAAATGTCCATTGATGAATATTTCCTTTGTGTGTGTGTGTGTTTTTTTTTGTTTTTTTTTCTTTTCCTTTTATTTCATTCTGAGTCAGTACGTGAATACTATGGCAATAGGAGACAAGCTCGACGAGAAAGGTGGCTTCTGTTTGATCCACAGGTCAGGAATGTTCTTCTCATTCAATCTGGGCACAAACAGCTGTGATGAGGTTCATGGAGCTATTCACGCATAGTTTTTTTTTTTGTTTTGTTTTTTTCTTCATATAGTAATGTTCATATTTCTGTTCAAATCAAAAATACTTTTCTTCAGAGCAACAGCGGTCCAATGCAAAAAACGTAGATGCATTGTTTCATATTGTCTCTGAGTAAAAAGAAAATACAAAAGAATCAAAACATTTAACTTGAAACAAATGCCTGCCAAAAAGCAACTGGTCAGCTTCCACTTCCTAACACTGCAGAGTGTTTTCATTTACTGTCTTTACTGCTATCACTGTGCTACTGACATCTTCAAAAGAAATATGTAAACATAAATAAAAACTAAATAAAAAAATATTTTTTTCACATTCACTTACTTAGCTTACTTTGTTGGTTTTCATTACCTCAGGAGAAGACACTGCTGGAATTCCAGGATGTCGTTTCTCCTGAGAAAGTCAGGACCTTTTGTTCAGCTCGCCAGCACTCACTGAAGTGGTAGCAGGTTGCTAACTCTTTAGGGTTCATCTTCTGAGATACATCTATATGTCTTTCAGTATGGATTGGTAATTGCGTGTTGCTTGATAGTGATATGAGTGCACTGGTTAATTTTAAGAGTAATCTTGAGAACCATCACAAGACTATTATTTCTTTTTGGTGTCAGATACTGTATTACAATGATATGGTAGACTAGTCTATCTGATCATGTCAGCATCCTTTAGCAGGCTGATTTGCTAACTGGCATGCACATTAGCACTTCAAAATTCCTAGTTTGATCTGTGAAGCTGTATCTATGATGGATACCAAACTGCTCATTCACATATTATTTTTTTCATTAAAGGGTGATTCCCTAACACTTCTTTCTCATTTAATGGTAGGAATCCTGGTGATCCAAAAGATCAAGAGAATGTTGAGAGTTGGAAAAAAAAGCATGATGGGGAAAAGGCTCAATCCTTGCTATGGTCAAGCACCTTCAATAACTTAGTCAAGGAAGAATAGGAGTAGCTCATGGCTTGCAGGGATACTTGGAGATGAAGTTATACTGTCTTCTTTCTGGTGTAGTTCAGGCATCCTGCTGCATGGTCTCACTTTCTATCCTACGGTTGGGACTGGGTTCCATTGGAGGACAGCAGTCGGGTTCTCTCTTTTGCCGAGCCTCTGCGCTGCAGAACTCCCCCGCTGCCTCCTATGCCTCCGCCATCTGTTCGGTCGCCCCACTCGCACCTGTCGCCCCCACCCTCGGAGCGCCTCGAGTTTTGGCGGGTGGGGGTCCCATGGGGCCGGCCGTTCTTCTCATCTGGGAAGGGATCAGGAGACGAGGACAGGAAAGTCACTCTTAACGTACACATTCTACAGTGCCTAAAAATGTTGGTTGGCTGAGCCTGAAAAATTAGCACCATCCTTTTTTTTTCTGTTCAGCAGTTTAATTGAGGTGGACACTGCTGTTCTCCTTTGGCCACTATCGATGATGGGACCCAAGAAAAAAATACTGTTAGAATAGAAAACAACCATGTCCCTAGACAAACCACTGATCAAAGAAATTCAAAACAGCTTGGACCAAAAATAAAAAAAATAGAGGCAGAAAGCTGAACACAGACAGAAACCACCATCCTCCTCTGTAAATACTAAAAGAAGTTTCCAGCACAAGGAAAGAATAATGGGTCATGTGATTATTTAACATTAAATTAAAGATATTTCAAAGGAAAAAAAAAGGCGTTCATTTGCAAATATGCAGAAGAAACCGCCCCAGTATGTACCTAGATGAATAAAGTCAAAGGAGGAAAATGTTGACTTTTTAACTCTGGCGTGTGCACAAGTGTGTGTAAGCAGTCTCACCAGATAGGGCTTGCACCATGGGCTGATCATGGGAGCTGAGAAGCTGAGCTTGAATCGTTTCCACCACTCGTCTGAACCTGCGACTTGGACCTGGAGATGAACCAAGGCGCACAGATCTAACAACGGCTAGGTATCATTCCAAAAATAATGATAATTGTGCTGGTCAAAACCAAAACCATGCTATTTTCAGGCCATATTTTTCTGTGTTTATTGATATTACCTTTTTTTTTTTTTTTTAGTAAAGGCCAGATTTCTCAGATGCATCAGCGCTCAGTGTCTGCACAAAATCCAGCCTAATATACCTCTCAACACTCAGGGATTCATTTCCCAAAATGTCAAACCTTTGCTTTAAGTTGGTACACCTAAAACTGCACCCAAAATATAAATATTTTTTAAGTTTAATTTAATTGGTAGTTGAAGGGGTCAAACATCGACTCCACTCGCCTGATATGAGGGTGAACGTCACGCTGTAGATTCCGGTCTCCCTCCTGCTCTCCCTCTCGGTCCTCTCCCTGTCCCGCTCCCTCTCGCCCTCTGAGAAGGCAATGTCCACCTGGAACTTGACGGGCTTCTGGAAGACGGAAGGGCCGCCGGAGGACTTGTACTCGGCCCGGAAGCTGGTCTGGGAGAGGACGCTGTGACTGAGCGATGGGATCTGTGTGGTGGGGAGACAGAGAAGAAGCAGAGAGACCGACAGACTTACGAGGCGGGAGAGGTACGGGGGCCAACGTGAGTATAGGGAGACAAAGGGCGAGGGTGAGGAGAAGAGAGAAAGAGTGAGCCATTGGTGAAAGCAAAAGTGAGCCATTAACGTGCCACGAGTGAGCAAGACTGAAACAAAAGAGAAAACTGAAATAATGAGAGAAATGACGCACGTGCAGCATGAGAGTGCATGTGAATACCTTACAGCTTTGCCAGTGAGAGCCATGCTTTCTACAAACGAGCTTTGATCGTGAGAGGTGTGAAAGACAGAGCACATTAGATACTCACAGACAGGAAGGCGTGCACAATGTCGGCTTTGACAGAACTCAGAGGTTTGTCTCTGATGACCACAAAGATCTGCTCCTCTTTCTCCAAGCCGATGAAGTTTCCAAACCACGACTTCTTAGCCAGCCTGGTAGCCAGACAAAAAAAATAGAGTGTGAGCAAGGACGCACAGCTAAGGAAAACATCCGAGAGCACAAAGACACAGCTTTCTTCAGAGAAAACAAGTGACACCTCAGCAATAATCTAGTTTAGGAACTGAGACTTACTCAGGGCTGGATTCTGGTGTTAGACTGGACATGTCTTCTGATGTAGGAACTAAAAGAGACAAACTGGTGTTAAAATCAAAGTTGGTGTACAATATAAGACTTTTAGCTTAAAGCTGGGGGAAAAATATTGGGATATAATCAATTGCTATTACAGTGATCTAGAACACTGTAGTCTGAGAGAATGAGAGAGAGTTAGAACGGAGGAAACCTTTTGAAAGTGATGACGCACGTCCAGTTGTTCCATAAAAGTCCCACACATGCGGAACTCACCTTGCAGCTTACGGCGATGGAAACGGGGTGAACCCAGCAGGTTGTTCTTGAAAGAATTGAGGCGAGTCCTCCAGTGGGCAGAGCTGCTGGCCGCCATGCCGCTTCCCCCTCCTGGGCTGGAGGGCGGGGTCAGCGACAGCGAGCCCACCCCTCCCCCTCCCTCCGCCCGCGAGGAGGACGAGGACGAGGAAGAGGAGGGCGGGGTGGAGGAGGGGTGGTGAGGGTGGTGGACAGGGGTGCCCAAGGGTGTGGGCAACGGAGAGCCCTGGGGAGTGACCTGCGGCACAGAGTGGGCAGAGTTTGGGTAGAAGCTCTTAGTCACTGACTTTAGGACAGAGGACGAAGGGAAGAAGAAACGGGGGATGGGTGACAGGAGCGGGGAAGGGGAAGGTGAGCGGGAGGATGGGTTGTGCAGAGGCAGGGATTTGATGGGCTGCAGATGGGGTCGGTCGGCGGGTCCCTTGGTGGGCAGGGTCTGGGTCTTTGGGTTGGGGGGAGCTTTGGGCTTGTCATGAGCCCGTGCTGAGCGAGGAGTACTGGCGCTTCCCTGTTTGGGCTCCTTTGTGAGGGGGGTAGCGGTGGCAGAGGTGACGTCTGATTGGCTGAAAGTGAAGACGGGGCTCTGATAGGACTGGGGAGTGGGTTTTGTGGGGTGGGGGGGTGGGAGAGATGGAAAACAAGAAAGAGAAGGGATGGAACATGGAGAAAGGATGGAAATGAATATCATGCTCTCATGACAAAAGAGTGCAACTTGTGAGTAGTGAAAGCGTCAAATGCAATTACACCAGTGCTGACTATAGAAGCTTTCATTTCGGCCCTATAGTCTTTTGTATGTGCCATTTATATCTGAAGTGAGTGATTAAGTGAAGGTTTAGTGAGAGTTTAGTGACAGTTGTGGTAGTGACAGGGTTAAGAATACAGTGACAGAGGACAGTGGCAGTGAAGGAGTTAGTGTACCTTTATATTAATTAATATGTTTAATATGTAATTAAATCCCCAAAACCATAATCAATTATCTAATTTAAAGGTTCTATGTTCATTTTCCGAACAACTGCGCAAACAGCTAGTCCATGCATGGTGAGGAAGAGAAGTGATATGAAGACAGAAGAAAAATGCCACGCAAACGCCCCGTTGGGTGAGCGATTTAAATCTGAGGGACTGGTATTGTGATGATGTGCAAAAATGACAGAAGGGCTTGGTAAATGGACATCTCAGGGGGTTGTGAAGTGTGGTTAGAATTTTCTTAAAGCAGGGCTGGCTGATATTGGCAAAGAAATGATGCGATAATTATCACAGAATACTGATATTAATAGTTTACAATATAATTATTAGTAAAGCATTCAAAATTACACATAAAAAGATAAACACATATCCATACAAGTGAGTCTAATGGTTTATATATAAAAAAAACAAAACAATTATTTAAAAATGATATACTTTAAAGAGTTTAAGAACTAATTCTAGGTAGAATATTGTTAAAACTCAATTTATCTTGAGCTGATAGTGGATTATTGGCCAGACCTAGTTTAACACAATTGCTTTACAGTGCTATTGTCACCCAGCTGTCTGTATGTCTGTATGGTCCAAATCTGAACACAATGCACACTCTGGGTCGCGATGGATATGCTAACCGTGTTGGCTCTGCCGCTTAGAAAACACTGCAGCACATGAGGTGAGTACCGAGGCCTTAACTGTAGAGCTGCTATGTTACAGTGGAGAGTTAATTAATGCATATTCATGTTCGAAATTAAATATTTTATAATGCATGCTTGTATCGTGTTCAAGGATAGTGAAGGTAATCAAAGCTGCAACAGTGTGTAGAGTTTGTTAAAAGTTGGCCAAGAGGCCCTTACCCTGGGACTGCTGAGAGGGCTGGAGGAGAGACCAGTGGAGGCTCCACTGACAGAGCGAGACCTGACGAAGAGACCAGAGGTCAAAGGCTTGTTAAAAAAGAGCAGAAATGTCAGACTGAATGCATTCTTGGTATTCAACGTTTAGATTGTGTGTACTTTATATGTGTAAGCATAACATACTGTACCTCTGGCTGTGTGCAGCTGTGTCCAGGGCCCTGCGAGGCGGGGTGGGAGACCCCTGCTCAGTAACACTCAGCACCTCCAGGCTTTTCCTCTCAGGGCGGCAGCGGCCGTGGCGCGTCAGCATAGGAGAGTCAACGCGCTTTCGTGGAGGGTCTGCTGAAGAGCGCCACCATAAAGTTGTTACAGACACCAATCTTAGCAGTTTGAAGCTTGAGATGCATTTTTTATTAGAATTATATATGTTTTGTAACTGTCATACAGAAATAAGTCCACTCTCAAAAAGATGGCCTGTTTCTTTGCCATGACAGCGGTATTATTCAACTGTTTCTAATGAGCACTATGGCTCCCTGTTCGTAAGACATGTCGCATCTTCACCATCCCTCTCCCCGTTGTCACTCTGTCACTGTGCATTTATTTTCTCTTTTGCGGTTCTGAAAATTATGATCATGTTGAAAGTGATTTTTTTCCACAGGCCCTTCGCTCACTGCGCCATCTGTGACTGTGATAAACTTAGCTTCCTTTGCACTGGCAGAATGGCTGCCCTCTCCCAGTTTTGTCCCATAGAGAAATTCTGCAGATGTCCTGTAAAGTCTGGTTTGAACATTGCAAATGACAAAAGACTTAATGTTGGTAAAATATTACACATACTTCCATAAAAATTTTCACTGTCTAACACTATTGTCAAAGACAACACTAGAGCGGTGTCAACAAAGCCAACCAGAGGGCACTTTGGGCACAAACTTCTGTCTGTTTTCCATATTCCTTCATGTTTTATTGCTAATGGTGGAGATCATGGGCTAATGATTACCAGTGCAAATTATTTAATCAAAAAATGAAAAACATTTAAAATGTCAAATAATCTAAAATCAATTGGCAGAGGTAATGAGTACCTGTGTATCGCACCGGACTCACAGACACAGACACAGATTGCTTCTACGAATCTGAGGTTGAGAAAAGCAGCTTCCTCCTGCCCCCTAATGACTGACCTACGTCATTGCGCGGAGGCAAGTCCTCATCCTCATAGCTGGGGTAGCGCTCTTTCCTGTCCAGCAGTAGGTAATAGATCATCTTCTCCTGGTTTTCTCTGAGGAAAAAAAAAAAGCAAAGAAAGACCCTCATAAGAGAAGATGTTAAAATTTAGAAAGAATGATACAGAAAGGAGCAATACTATATGTGACTATGGTAGACAGCTCTGCTTAAGAAAGTCTGTGTAAAATAAAACAGGATGGACAGAATTATCACCTGTGCACCTCAAAATATAGCCACATACGTACTCTTTTTCACGCTACGTTCCTAAGGCTGAGTACAGACTGAAAACATCATAACGAGACTGCAAACGCAGTCGTTTTTAAGCACAAATGTATTTTTATCCCTCAATATCACTTGTGATAAACCCTTTTGTTTTTTTCATTAAAGGAGCACCTGACTGAACAATTAGTTTAATATGTGTGAGGCTAGATATTTTTCGGGCAGGCCACTGTCACAGGTCTTCATCTTGCAAGCTTTAACCCCGAGGCAAATAAGTCAACCTGACTCAGAACAAGAGTTTCATTGTGGCATGATGGAGAGGAAACCGTGTCCCTTCTCTGCTTTCAGACAGCACTCAAAATGTCTGTCCACAATACACAGGGGTCAATAAAGATCAGATGCTGACACTCATTAAGTACATTACTGGGTAACCAGAATAAAAGTAACTCCTGTACACGACCCAATACAACAGTCCTGAAATAGATGTTACATTTGTGTTATTGACACTGTGTCAGAGGTTTTTTTCTGCAACTCCACAAATGTAAACCAGGTAGACAAAAACCTCTAAAAAAAACATTTGATATAATGCAGTTTTCCTTATCACAACATACCATAAACCTCAACAACAAGTAAGGGAGTAGATTTTATTGCACTAAGTTGCACAAATTTTTTGAATTTCTAGTCACTCAGTGCACAATCAGGCACTCAGAGACACAGTCATGGTTGGAGTTGGAAAAAAAAAAAAGCTTACTCTTCACATTGCAAATCACGTGTGAGCTTGACTCGGTCCCGGAAACAACCCAGCGAGTGCATGCTGTCCAACACATCTGGGTCCAGCTCAGTCAGGGACAAGATTCGCCTCACACACACTCGCCTGGGAGGAGGCTGCTCAGGACACGGCTCGTTACGACCACCCCTGGGAGCCACAGGCGCACACACACATAGCACATAATGAAGCACACATGAATGACAGATATAACATACTGTATATGCTCAAATATGATGCAACATAAATTTAAATGAATATTTCATTCAAAAGTCGCAAACGTATATACTCACTGATACCAGGCGTGTTTCTGGATGGCCTCTAGCTGTAAGGGGTGACAGGGCAGATGGGGCCATTAGTAACTACAGTCTGCTAACAGCCAGATGGCCACAAAGCTATGCTGTGTAAACAGTTCACTCCAGATCTTTTTCACAGGCATAAGACACCTCGTCAGTTCTAAATATTGTATATTAAAAACTTATAAAAAATTTATAATTTTGCAGTGTTTATTGTTTTTGAGAATGTAACAGAAAATCATGCAACACTACGTTTGCTGGAGAATATATTATAGATATACAGATATATTTGATGGTGGTCACGAACACTGACATTGTCCCGGATATGTAGAATAAGATCTGAGTTCCCATTGACATACGCCCTTCTGATTCTAATAATACATGAAAACATAAAATCCTGGCACAGTTACACCTAATACACACTGATGATGCAATCCCTTGATGTAAATACAACCCCCCCCATATGAGCACAGTCTCGTACCGTGAGCCTCTTTTCAGGGTTGACCTCAATCATGCCCTTGAGCAGCGACTGGCAGTCCGGGGGGATGAAGTGGGGCATGTGGAACACTCCGCTCTTCACCTTCTCCAGGAGCTGGCGTAAATTGTCGTGGTCAAAAGGCAGGGCACCCTATAGGAGAACAGGAGCGAGGGAGGTAAGAGGGAGGACGGAAAAACAGATGTGACAAAATAAGCTTGAGTAAGAACTGTAAACACATGAGGGAGTATTTAAAAAGGGACCAAACTGTATTGTAAAAACAGGAGTAAAAGACTTACCACCAACAGAGCAAATAGGATGACCCCACAGCTCCACACATCTGCTCTCCGCCCATCATATTTCTCCCCCTGCCAAACACAGAATCCCATTCAATTCATTCACCACTGACCATGTGAAAACACAAACGAGCGTTAATCGATTAAATTCACTGAGATAATTTCAGCTGATTTAAGGCTGGTTATTATATATTATATATAACTTTTCATCGTGGAAAAGAAATCTCCACCAAAAGAAACATTGTAATCCATTTGAATCCAGCACTTAGACAATCTCCGTCCAAAACACTGTAAAACCATCTTTTCATTGATAGAACTGGATAATCTTCTTGTATGCTGAGTGCCCTCAAGAACAACTCTTACTGAAGATATGCCTTCTTAAAAATAGAATCTATGTTTCCATTAAGACTCATTAATTATTCCTCCCAATTTTGCAACAATTAGTGATTTCTTTGTTTTTAGCTCATGCAGCTTTGTAGCTGTGTATGTGTTTGCTAAATGAATAATGTATTAATAACATTTGCTAATTTTAATTATAAGCCAACATTTGAGGAAGACACTGTGCAAGAGCAGGACTCTCACCCGTATAACTTCAGGGCACGCATAATGTGGTGATCTGAAATGAAATAGAAAAGTGTTAGTAGCAACATTACTATGCTTACAATTCTGGACAGTCAAACTAGTAAAATAAATGCAATATATAAATGTAACACGTGTGTGTGTGTGTGGTACTCTGTATATAGGCAGAGCTATCACTGTTGATCTAATGTCTTCAGTAACTACTGTACTCTTTATTGTGTTACATTCCGAGTCCCTGAAATACAAAATATGACCTTTTTTTTATGTGAGTACACATTATTTCTGAACACACACACAGAGAGTTGGTACTCACCCACAGCTGGTCTCTAACAGACTGTCTCCCACCTGTAGGGAGGCCATGCCAAAGTCAGCAATGCGGATGTTGTTCTTCTCATCCAGGAGCAGGTTCTCAGGCTTCAGGTCTCTGTGACTGCACAAACACAGAAGAAACGTTTGTGCTTAACTGCAACAGCATGGGTTTTGAAAAGAGGGCTTTAATATTGGCTCATGCTCATTTATTTCTTGATACAAAAAGTCTGTTTGCCAAAAAGAAATGTAAGAAATTGTCTGCAAACATCAAGTCTGTAAGAGGAATGGTCTATTAAAGATACATTTTTGATGTTACTGACTAAGGCAGCAGGAACTTCTAAATTATTCTGCCATAACATCTTAAACTGGCATTAATTCTTTACTGTTTCAGGAGAGGGCTAAGAATCAACAGCAGTAGAGCAAAATTATTTATTTTCCTTTCAGACCAAAGGCCCCCGAATAGTTTAGTAACTTAGCAGAGGAACCCGAACAATCGCCCTGACCCATACCACAATTTAAGAACCAGTGCTTTATGCAAAAACTAACCAGATGGAATGACTGTGGCAGAAATCCAAAGCAGAGATGATCTGCCTGAAGAACTTCCTGGCCTCTTTTGGAGTCAGCCGGCCCTTCTTCACCAGGTAGTCAAACAGCTCTCCTCCTGACACATGCTCCAACACCAGGTACCTGCAGACATATAGAGACAACAGTGTGATCTGAAACTTTCATCCAAAGAGATAGGAGGAGGACTAAGGGGGAAAAAATGAAGACACTCTTAAACTGCTAGATACTAGCAATTCATTATGTTGGATTCTAGGATCACAATACTGAGATAATTTACCTTTTTTATTTACTCACTGTCAGCCAACTTGCCCATCTACTCCAGCAGCTGTGTTAAAGCATTTTTGCAAGTATTTTTTTCCTCAAGATAGATCAAAACCTTTTTGGTATACTTGTATGAGATGAAGGAAAAGTGAGAATTACAGTGATGAGAGCAGATTAATATAGTTCTTAGAATAATATTTATACCCATCCCACTCCAAAGTTCAGTATTCAGCAAGAAAAAAAAGCATGCAAACTGCAGTGAGCCCAAATGTGAGGCTCTTTTGAACGCAGAGGGAACTCACAGATATTTGTTATTTTCGTAAACATCATGCAGCTTCAACACATGCGGATGCTCAATCAGTTTCAGAATGGCAATCTCCCTCTCAACCTGGTTAGAGAGAAGAGACAGATACAAAGAAGAGGAAAGAGAAAGCAATGAAGACACTAAAGCAGAGCACACGAGCCGGACAGTGTCATTTTTGAAGCAACAGAGCTGAGGTTAATTAATGCATTAATGCAGATGTTAAATATAGAAAATACGGAGCAGCTTATGTACAGCATAACACACGTTGCCATATACAAAATTAGCATTGTTATCATCTGTGTGAACAACAGCCTCAACAGCGTGATACTGTACCTTCATCAAGACCGACTCAGACAGCTTCTCTCTGTTGACTATTTTGATCGCTACCTTCTGACCCGTAATACAGTGGACCCCCAGCTTGACCAGTCCTGAATGAATGAGATGCAAAAATAAGAGAGAAGCAGGCATGAAACACAGAAAGAGGCCTCATCTACCATATCTAATTCTACATAAAATAGTAGCTTTAAATTATTTGTCACATTTCAAGAAAGTTTTGTCATTTCAAAACAAGAGAAAATAATCTGTTGTACTTACCTGTCTGCCCCTTCCCCAGTGTTTTTTCCAGTCGATAGGGCCCAACATATTGAGCTGACTGACTTAGAGACAGTTCCTTACTCATACTGCTCTGACTGGAGGCTAATACACTACTATTACTACTACTACTACTACTACTGCACTGTGATTATAGCAAGTACTTTGATATTATACAGCTTACTGTAAGATACAAGATGGTGCTCAACATAGAATAACGACTAGCTTTTATTTCAGTGATAACACTGCTACTCTGAAGTTACTGGGTGAACATGTAAAAAAACGCAAGCCAGGGCTGATTTACAACATCTGGATGACAAATGAACATTCTTCATCTAAACCTGGTTAATAAACATGGCTAAATATCTTTGCCTTTTTGCTCTGAAGCACGGTAAACATGTATATCATTGATATTTAACAAAAACAGCGTGCTAGTGATAGACTAAAGCTGAAAAACTGAGATGACAATAAGTTACTAAGCTGTTTTATGCGTTAAATACAGACCACTACCATAAAGATAAACATGACAAGGTAGGAAAACTAATGAGTTTTACTTCTGTACATTAGTTTATTTGTATAACTTGCACCTTGTTATATGTATGACGTTAACTGTATGTGACGGTTAATAAGAAAATTATCGCAGTGTAACGTTGACGTTATATAGCCTTAAAACAAGAAGGTTTTTTCACGTCTGGTACGAAGAGTATTGTCATTTGGTGGTTGAGTCTTGCAACAAAACGTCAAATACGTCAAGTTGATGTTAGCACTGGAAATTAAATCAATTTTATTCTCTCTGTCAGGCCTATTTTACAGGTGCAACAACATGCTATTTTAGCCTCGCCGCCGCTCTCCCACACAGCAGCGAGGCTAGCTTGAGTTAGCCTCAACGCCTTGACCAACGGCCGTCTCGCCCGCGCCGCCTGTCAAAAAAACCCACACCTCCTGAAGTTTCTAGGCATCGCCAAACGGTAAGATTCATCGGACGGCCGCCACATTCTCACAATATTTCGAGGTGAAACGCGTATTCCTCGCCAAACAACCATCTTTAGCGTAGCGTAGTCCTCCCCCTCCCTGTCTCTCCCCGTCTCTCCCTCTCTACATCCCTGCAAGTGGCGGATCACAGCATCTTCTCGTCTCTCCTTTGGCGTGTCCTCCTCCCTCACCGGCGGATACACAGGTGAAAAAAAACACAGAGATCCGCAGATCAGCCCGCACTATTATCGACTGCCTTATTCCCCTCCTCACATCTGATTATAGTTCACGCAGGGTAAAGGCCCCCTGTATTATACTCCCTTCGGTCTTCTTGCCGTAAATCGATATTTTCTCTCTCCTCTTCCTTCCTTCGTCTCACTCGCATCAGCATCCGGGTCCCACTCCCTCTCCATCCTCTCTCCTCTTGCCTCCCTCTCCTCCCCCGCCCTCCTCCTCTTCTTCCTCCTCCTCCTCCCGATCATCTTCCACAAAATACGCTTATCTCTGCATTCACCTCAGAACCGGCCACACTGTGGGCGAAGTGAGCTGCTGCGGACACCTCCCTCATTATTATTACGAAAGACATTTTGTAAACATCGCCAGAGGGCAGCGGATGGGACGCTGCCTGTTAGGGGACGCTTTGACACGGCTCTGTCCTCTCAGAATCACCGGTGTCACATAGGTGGTGTTTAGCTTTCGATTTAGTCTGATATGAGGCATAAATTCTGAGATGTCGCATAACTTTGAGGTGTACCACAGAGAATTGAATGAAATGCAGTCTTGGAAGCATTTGGATCTTTTGCTAAAGTAAAAACAGCAACCTCCACTCCACTACCAGTGGTTCAGAGTCAATAACCTACTTTACTTAAGTACAGTTCTTCTTCTTCACCACTACATGTGTTTGCTGACTATAGTTACTTTTCAAATATTATTCATATTTTACATACAAAACATAAAAATAAATGTATACAATACCATGCATTGTTACAAATTAAACCACTCAGCAGTATGTAATGTAATTAATTACATTAAATAAAATACATTGCAGTATTTCTACTTTGACACAAGGACCCAACTACATCTTCTAGTCCTGCATTCATGATCATTTTACTCAAGTAGAAGTACAGAAATATTAACAGCAAAGTCGGTCAAAATAAAAGAATTGCTCCTGCTACACTAATTAATTAATTATTATTATTATGACTGTGCAGAAAGATTTTTGGTTGGATTTTAATACATTTTTGTATTATTGTACAGTTTGAGCTATAAAAATGCAACATACTTTATACAATGGTCATATGTTTTGTATTGTATGTAAAATGTTAATGTTTAAAGTAGCCTAACGTTTAATAGCTGTCAAATAAATGTAGTCGGGTAAAATGTAATGGAGTAGAGGAATGCAGTGGCATAAAATGGAATATACAAATTGTACTTTGGGACAGCACCTGAGTAAATGTACTTCGTTACTTTCAACTGCATCTGTTTCATCATTGTGTGCTCCTTTGATATTTGCTTACTGTCACTGAAAACATGTCACAGTAAGAAAAGCACAGGTGTAGACAGTAAAAATGAATGATGGCTGAATTCCATTTAGCTGCCAATAGTACCCCATAAAAAGGGGGTGATTTAAACCTCACCTCACACACCTCCTCGTCTGGAGGGGAGGGGGAAACTGAAATGTTGGGTTCTGTTTTAAATGGATAACACAGAGAGGACAGTTAAATGAATATAAAAAAAAACAATAAAAAAGAGTAAGTAGGACATTTGAACGTATTATCTGTAAAGTACCTTGAAAAATCTCTAAAATCTCAATTTGAAATGTTGTGTGTGGGTGGATAATTCCCCAAAGCCCATCTTCATCTGTGCATAGCTGGTTGATTTGCACACAGCCAGGAGGATTTGTCTCCAAACATGGAGCAGAAATAGAATGGAAAAGATACTCATTCTACTATTTTCTGGCTTGTTCTGATGGTCCTCTGAGATCAAAATAGGCCTACATCAGTGCAGTGAATGACACACCTTGCAGGAGAAAATGTTCTCCTTTTTTTACTGTAAGAGGAAATGAACATTTAAGACAGATACACTGTAAAAAAAAATCATTCTCTGTTTGGTTTTCCTACAAGCAGCATTTGAAATAGAAGATTGGAGTCAACAAGGGAGTCCAACAAGAGAAGCTGGGGAAAGAAAAGTAGGACAAAAGTTCTCAGTCTGCAGTTGCAGAGGACAGAATGAAGTCTGGTTTATCCATAAACCTGCAAAGATACCGTATACCTTAGTTATCTTTCACAAAAATGAATGTCTAACAACTAACTACACCCCATTCATGTGAATTCTGTCCCTCCAAAACTTTGTCTTGAATCTCTCCTTCCAACTGACAGCACCAGGATCAGTCTCCACTCCAGAAATGCACAGGTTATTCTATAACAGCTTGTGAATAAATACCCTTTCCTCTCATCTATACTGAGAACAGGAAAAACTTTTCTTCTCCAGGTCCTTCCTGACGTCTAATCTTTGTGCATTCCCACAGTTCCCACACTCATACCGGAGCTCAGACTGGAAAACTGACATTAGACTGCTCGGTGCAGGTACTAATGTGAGGATTAAGCAGAGATTAATTAACTCTTCTTAATTCCATTAAGAGCAACTACTCCAGAAGAAGCCTATGCTTGGTCAGGGGAGAGGTTCCAACCAGTACATCTAATGAATCAAGAACAATACAAAAAATGCTGAATAATAAAAAAAAACAAACAAATAATATACTGTGTAGTAATATTCATTGTTTTGTGCATAGCAAAAATTTACAGTGCATAGATAATCAGTGTTACAGTATAGTCCATATTGTAATTATAACCTATATGAAAGAAAAATTCACAGAAGCATAAAGTATCCAGAGTTTAATGTCATCACCCCCTCTTCAGTTTTGGAGATGGTTCAGTCCAATGCAAGAGGCAAGGAAGGGGATGCTGGGAAAGTGAAGGACTTTGATAAAGTGAAGCTGTGATTTAAAAAAAAAATCAAAGACAGAAAAAGTTATGAGGCAGAAATAACTGAGGCTGAATATGTGACAAAATGATGTGATTCAAATCATGCAAATACATCATGATACAATATAAAACAATGTGGCATCAAAGGTACACAAATTGCAACAGACACTCTATAGTTTCTATAGTTTCTTTTCTGTTGTACAATAGTTGTTTATTTTCCATTTTCTCCTTTAATTTTCCTTTTTCCTCTTTTAATTTTAGTCTAATTCAAATTATCCTCCATAAGCCACCGCGTTTATCTAAAGTATAGTATCTAGTAAAGCGATGTTACAAAAGGTCAAGAAAAAAACTTTTAAATAGAAAATCCCACAGAGGCAACAAAGTACAAAAATAAACAAATCAACAAATCATGTGCACATAGACTCGTCATTTTAAACCAGACTGATATAGCTTTGACATCATGTCTTTGCCTGTCTGCCAGTGACTGCCTGATGAACATCACAGTTTACTGTTTTGTAGCTTTAAGAGATTGTTATTCTGGTTTACAAGCACTGATTATCCGTGCAAGACCCCAGGAAAAGTGTTTTACAGATGATTTTTTACTCCATATGCAGTAGGGGGAAAAAAACAGTTTGTAGTCATTCGTGTGAACTTACATTTTATTAAGATGTATTTCCTTATGTATTAGGAACACTCAGACAGGGTTTTTATACAGGCCTGGAAGGCATCTATCAGATCTCTACAGTTCTCCACTCCCTTCTCTCTGACACTGAAACAAAAAACAGGCTTATGAAACACGTAGCACCCTCTACACACACAGCCATGTTATCCTCTTTGGCACATAACAGGGTTTCAGATAAAATTGTGGAAATTACATGATGGAAATGTGGAGACATCGGAAGTTATATCACCTAGTCCGCATAAGGACTATCTATTTAGTCTACATGTGCATCAAAGGGATTACAACAGTATAGCCTGATAGTAATGTATTCCAACTCAAACCTCCACAGCTGCTTTTATCTGCACTCGGTGAAGTACGAGGACACGAGTGAGTAATCTGCACGGCAGCTCCACTAACACTAATCACTGCTGCACGTGGACACACACCAAATGTCTGTCGCTTCTTGAGTGCACGTAACACGAACCAACAGCCTGGAATGTGCCGGTCTTCTGCGATAGGTCATACATGTAGAAGTCTATTTTAAACCTTAGGTCTATTTATGCTCCTCAAGACATTCATGTTAGTACAAGGGCCCTCAGCAAATGCCTTTAAACTCAGTCCATTGATGTAGAGTGGGTTTATTTAAAAGTTGTGAACAAGTATTCTACATTAACTCCAATTAGAGTTAATGATCTGCCCACAGGCGCTCTTACAAGTTGAGCCCAGATGAGAAGTTGATATGAATACATTGGAAGGCATGCATAGAACTCAATAAGTGATGACTGAGAATGGACAAAGGGATGTAATGGAAAGTGACTTGTATTTAACTGGAACCCAAACACAGTTAATGAATAGTCCTCGAGGGCACAAAGTTATACAAAGACACTCTGTACAGGCAATTACACTCACAAAAGACTGACACGTTGGCTGGAGAAAATGTAATTATTCATTTTAGAAGTTTGAATGTATGTGTATTTGTATAAATGCCGTTTTCAGCATCTGCAATTGTACATCATTATTGTCAGAACTCACCATTTGTCAACGTCCTCTTTGATAACCTGGCATGATGCTGGCACGGCTTCGTTGCAATCTGGCATTTTGTCAGAGGAGAGCTGGAGTTTGTAGAGTCGTGCTGCTGCAAGGGCTGCAGTCAAGTATGCTTACAGATTGGTTACAGAGATGGAGGGAAAGACAGTCGAGGGAGGGAGGGAGGAACCATGACAGTGACTGTGTATGATAAGCTTTAGAGAGGAAGAAACCAAGGAATCGGATAGAAAAAATTATCATGTGCAAGCGATTAAGATTTTGAGTTGACTAGTTTTACTATTTATTGCAATATGTGTAAGTGAGTTTTGTGTCTTTGCCCCTTTCTCTTAGTTTTTTGTTTATGTTCATCAACCTATATAATTTATTCTTAAAATTCCTTCATTCCTGTCTTTTGTTTTATTGTCCTTCTAATGAATATGCAGATGACTGACCTTTTGAGTCAACCATTATGCATTACAAGGGCCTCATAATGAATCTTAAATACTCACTACAGGGGAGCTGGCACTAGGCTTTTTCCTGAAAAGAGACTGGGGAGCCTGACTTTGTTTTATGCTGTTGTTGGCCTAAGAGGTTGAGCTGAGAGTTGTGGCATTTGTTTAACCAATGAAACACTGAATTAGCATCAAGCACGCCATCAGAAAAGATTCAACTAATATTCTAGGAATAACCCAGAATTTGCTTTTAAAGATAAAAATAAAAGCAGATGGGGGCAGCATTAGTGACGTTAATCCCTGCAGGAACACACATTTGTTTCTTATTTTGAACTCATCCTGATCAGATTGTGTAGTTACATCCATATATTGCTACATTTGAGAAACATACTGTTTTTTTTGTTTGGGTTTTTTTTTTGTTTTTTTTTTTTAGCATTTTTTTACTCAACACTGAGTAACTTTTTGTCCCACAGTCATACGTTTTTCATCATACATTGAACCTTTGCATAGCACATCTGCACGTTCATTTTCATGCATGTAGCTTTTTACTGCAAATAAATAAATTCTTCCATTAATGCTCATCAGAATGTCGTGATTTTAACCATTCATCATTCATGTAACCATAAAATTTTCAGTGAACATATGAACAAGATTTCTTCCTCTAAACACAATAAAAACAAACAAACAAACAAACAAACAAACAAACAAAACATGTTTTTTTTAAATGAAATATATAATAATTCAGCATGTTATATAAAGTTAACCCAGGGTTTGGTTGGATTTGAAATTTATATATTTAAGCAACATTTACCTGAATCAGCAAAATATGACATGCCACTGCATCACTTTTGATACAGCTCATTCTTTATGATGCAGGGAAAATAACTAGTACAAGATGTGTCCACTGTGCATGTTATAGACATTGTAGGACAAAACATTGGCAGATGGATACTTTGCACATATGACCCAGTGCCTCAAAAACTACAAGTTAGACAGAGAAAATGTTGTTGAACTCTTACAGGAGTGTTTATTGTTTTGTAGTTGCAGATTTTAAATTCACCACTAGAGGGCAACAAACACTCATATACACACAATGATAGAAAAAGGGACAAATAGGCCTCCAGAGTGTGTGCATTATCATTACCTGAAAACAAAAGGGATCACGTTTACATTCAGCGACACTAACTAGTTAATGCCTCTTCACATCTTTTAACACTTCTAATACTTTATCTCAGATGATGAGCGCAATCGCAGATAATGACAGGTTAATATGATTGTTTCGCCAATTAGTGTCCCAGAAAAACCCTGATCAGATCTAGTGTCAAACACCGAATATGTGAAATATGAACAAGAGCAAAGCATCTCTCTGCCTCAGCTCTCAGTGATCCCTCCTCCTTTACCGCGACAATAAAAACCAGAGTGCCATCTGCTGGCGTACAAATTAAGTGCATATGGAGTCTGGCATACAGGTTCTCCAAATAATAAAATAAGCTAAAAAAAAGGGCCTAAAACAGGCCTCGGTATCTTCCATTTTGGTACGTTAGTGACAAAATACACCATAAATGCAGACCACTGATTATAGTCAAACTGCAGTCTGTATAATTAATTAAGCATCTGATTGGAGGCAGGAAATGCCACTGTCTCACACAGGCTGCTCAATTTGGATGTGAATTTGCAAAGTGACTGCGGAAGGCCTATGTAAACCTGGTTATTACTGGAAATATTTTGCACCCGAATACGTCTCAGCCACTCGCGACGTTCAGGAAAACCCGTTGTCTATTTTTGCTCGTGTAAAATACAGTAATAACAAGCCTCACAATAAGGTGAAAATCTGGAAAAGCATGCGGGACTGGTTGGCAGACTGAGGGCCGGTGAATGGAGGTCACCGCAGACACTGAATGAGTCTCAGCGGTGAGACAGAGAGGGGGAGAGGGAGGACGGACAGCGGCCAGCCGCCTTCAAAAATGGCGTCTCCGGAGGAAAATGAGTAAAAAATATTAAAACGCGGCCTGCTTTCTTTACACTTCCTCGTTCGGTTTTTATGCTTTTTCGTACTCTTGCTATATTTTTCCCGGCGCGGGAGAAACTCGTCGTCGCCTTTACTTGAATGGCCAAAGAAAGCAGAAATACGGGGAGCGAGCATTTGGGGAAATAAAAGCAGCCCTGTTTTATTTTGATGCGTCGTTACTGACAGCTAGCATCTGCTGCTAGCCCACAGCTCTGCTCCGGAGGGGGGTGGGAACGATTTGCATGCAAAGAAAAAAAAGAAAAGATTTTGAAATTGGGGATTTCTTTGCTCGTCTGTGGGGAATGGTTGCTACCAACGTGGCCTGTCGATTGCAATCCTTTATAGTGCTAGCAGCGTAGCAAAAACTAGCCTAAAGAAAGGGGAGGAGAGACGGTGAAAAAGGACGCATTCAAATCAAATGTTTATCAGCAATTCGTCCATCACCGGCCAAATCCGCCGCATCTTCATCATGACCGTGACTGATTTTGGACTAAATCTCCATTCGTGGAAATGATAAATGTGAAAGGCGAAGGAAAAGGAGAAAGACTGGCTTTTTTTGGAGGTGGTTGGATTATAACCCCGTAGACCCCCCTCTTTTTTCATCCAGCTTTCTCCTCCTCCCCTCCATTTCTCTTTCAATATGCTGTTTTCCACTCCTGAGGACTTGCTTATGAAACCGGGAAAAATAGCCTGAAACCGAGAAAGGGAAAGACTGGATTTTTTTCCGTAATCTGCTCTGCGACGTTGTCGTTGCTTTCGTCCTCATCGCACACATTGTACAACACATAAATGGATAGAAATTACCCGGGAACAGGATTTGGTGATTTGGGCGCAGGAGCAGGATGGAGTTACGAGAGATCGGCAAAAGCAAGGTATGCATTGGATTCAGACAATGTGCATGCATCACTGGTACTTTGCAGGGCACGATGTGACCCATGTAAACAAATTATCGCCACTGGCTTCATAAATAGTGCCATGCCTTGCCATAATGTGTAGTGCATTGTCATCCAAACAGTTGCATAGTAATAATATTATAAACAGGAATGGAGCAGTGAGCGTGTCGTGGGGGTGGGCGGGGTGGAGAAAGGAAAGGTTGGGAATATGAATTGAGGGTGATTGACAGACGTGGGTTTTAGGTAGACCTGGCGGGGTGGAGGTGGGGGGAGGTGGGGGGAGGTATGTCTGGAGCATCCATAGGAATTATTGTTCCCTGTGTGCAGGCCTGGACACAGACCCTGATAGATAAATTCACTGGATTGATAGGAACTGCGAGGAGTGCAGACGCAGCAAACCCCCTCTCAGCAGCCCCCCTGACAGACATCAACAAGAAGAACTGATACATATTAACCGGGAAGATGCATTTCATCAAACAACGTTAGATTGTAAAGAAAACAGGAAATAAATATCTTAAAGTGGGGGTGATGCCATACTCTCAGAACTGAGATTTATAATGCCCAATCGTGATCTAGATAATTGGTGGTGGGTTTTCTATGGTTTATGTAAATTTGCATAATGAAATTGTGCCATATTCACACTGCATCAAACTTACAATTTACTGTTTGTATAAAATAAAATAACATAACATATATATATATATATATATGTTTAGTAGTAAAGTGAGGATGAATTCTTAAGATGATGATGAAAATTGTCTGGACTGTGCAAGATAGCTTTTAGCTTTATGTTAGCCTGCAAGCTAGCGTTATGTTGCATGGAAGTCATTTGAGGCCTGTGCACGCAAGCATCACTGCCTCTTATTGAGCTGCACATATGTGATATTTTGACCCAGAGTTATTTGCCTGGTCATATTTGAAAGCCACCGTGCCACTGTGGGAAGTGATATTTGGCTAAACAAACCTGGCTACTTGCTGGTGTTTGCATGCAACTTAGCATGCATTTGCGTCGACTTGCACCTTCCAGCTGTTAGCCATATCAACATAATCAGAGGTTGCTGACAAATGGGGTCGTTTGTCTGTCTTATAAATTGAGCACACTGTATTTTTCAATTGGTCTAAATGTGCTCATTACTCACCCATGCTTTATTTACACGTAAAACACTGGCCTTGCAGTTTGGGCCTAGTCTCTGCATTTCTCCCATAGCTGCTGTGCATTGCTGCTAGGCGGTGCTACCAACAGCACAAATGCTAGCATGTTACCTTGCCAGGCATCAACGCATTTCATCTGTCTTTTGTAAAGCACAGTTCTGCAACTGGCTAAAGTTTAGCGTTGAAGCAAGAAGCTTATTTAACCTGTAAATTTTCAAATTATATAATGATTGGGTCTTGAGACCTCCATTATAATTACAAATTAACTATCCCATTATTTTTGCATGACACTTATATTGGTGATTTGACAGATTTGCATCTACTGTAATACACTTTGGTATAATAACCAAGTTTGTTATCCTGTCACAGATATTTTAATGGGTATTTATCAGAAAGATTTTCCTTGTAAATATGGCTCATCAGGGATTTTGGTTTTCACATTTAGGTTACTGTTAAGAAGTTGCATGTTGAGACCAATCAAATGAACAAGTGAACATCTGGTGTGTGGATTTTTAATTAAAGAACAATTTACTTGCATGTCAGACTTAAAAAAAAAAAAAAATTTTTTTTAAAGTGAGTCTTTTCTCAAGGGTCACATTTTGGGAATAGATTAGCTTTATGTAAATGTACTCTGAAATTAATGACACTTCACAATCCCCAACTCCCCTTCTTCCCTAGTCTTGTATATGGGAGTTCCAGATCATCCCACCCTGAGTCTGAGCTCCTTCACCGACAAGCCTACGCCACCCCACACCCTCTGCAGGGCTATGCCACCAATCACCACCCTGGGAGCTCTGGCCAAGGCGGGGCTTGGGGAGCAGCTGGACGGAGTTTGGGTGAGATAAATGTCATACCTTCCATGTAACCACCATAAGGGGCCCCAGCAATGAATTATTGTGTCTCTCCATGCGGGCCCTGGTGGATTATTGTCATTGAAAAATGTGCACATTATGCCTCAATTGAGTTGTAGCCCTAGATGTCAGAGCCTGATTTTTAGAAAAAAAAAATCAAACATTCATTTTCATTCAGTTTTGCCAATGTCTTAAGGGTTGTTTTCAGCAACAGAGGTTGATGTACTTAAAGTTAAAACTAGGTACTAATAACATCTTGATTCAGACTCACCAAATACATTTTTTAGACAAGATTAAATCTCGGCAAAAAAGTTCTGTCCTGTTTTAGATTCCACCCAGATCTGTACTAAAAGCTGTTCATATTTGCATTTTCATGGTTCTGTCTTTCTTTCCCAAAGGTCTGTCAGGGCTCTTTGACACTGGCCTGCACCATGCCAGCCCCTCTGCCCCCGATGCCTCCGTCATGAATCTGATCTCAGCCCTGGAGTCCCGGGGTCCCCAGCCTCCGCCCTCTGCCTCCTCCCTTCTTTCCCAGTTCCGCACACCATCCTGGCAGACAGGTGGGGCTGTGTTAGATCTTCCCTCTTGTGTTGACATTCAAACAGGCCCCACAGTCAACATGACATTTAAAGAACCTCCCAATGTTTGGCTGCATTATTATTCTGACAGTGTTGCTATGTGAGCATTTTCATATAAGATTGGAGATTTTTACTATACTGGTCGATGGTCTTACTCCTGAATACTTTATTATTTCTTAATTGAAATGCTAGCCACATGGATACTGAGTAATTTTGCAATATGTCTTCCTTTTCCTAACAGCGATGCACACGCCTGCTCCTCCTGAACTATTCATCTCTGGAGCCCTTCCTGGCTCTGGCTCCTTCCCCTCCTCTTCAGCTCTCTCAGCCTATCAACATCCAGCATCCTTCTCCAGCCGTTCTTTCCCTGCCGCCTCCCTCTCCCTCCAGGACACGCCTACGTTTAGCCCCACATCCAATGGCTTGCTCTCCCCACATGACCCCCTACTACACATCAAGGCTCCTTCCCAGTCTAGCCTGGGTTTTGATAGACTCCTGTCCTCGCAGGGTGCTGCTGCAGCTGCCTACAGGGGCAGCCAGGATCCCACAGGAGCCACATCAGCCCAGGCGTCGTCTGCCAGGCACCTGCAGTCCCACCAGTTCAACCTGCTGTCATCACAGCTCCAGGACCAGTCCTCCCAGCTGTATAATGCATCAGTCTTTTCCTCAGCCCAGCCCCAGCCTCAGTCCCAGTCTCAGTCCAATTCGGCTCAGGAACGGGCTGTTCCCCGGCAGGACAGCGTTATCAAGCACTATCAGCGGCCCACGCCAGCTCAGTCCCAGCTCTCGTCCTCTGCTGCCCACTCCCTTCAGCACTACCTCAGCTGTGGAGGGGCGGGGTACCAGCAGATAGCCACCCACCACAGACATGCTGGCCTTTCTTGCAGCCCACTGGGTGACCAGAGCCCTTCATCTGACCACAAGCCCACCTCTCGCACTGAGCAGTATCGGCCAATCATCCAGCCTCCCTATTCCTCATCGTCTTCCTCCTCGTCTTCATCCTCAGCTGGGAAAGGCACCAAAAGCAGCTCAAGCAGTGGCTATTCCTCTGCCAGTTCAGCTTCATCCTCAAGAACTCCTCACACACCCCCTTCTGCTTCCTCTACCTCCTCTTCCTCCTCCTCTTCTTCTGCCACTTCTGGTGCTCATCCTTCAAACTCCATCCCCACCTCCAGCTCCAGTGCAGCCCCTTCCAGGCAACAGCCACCCCCTCAGCCAGCTCCTCCTCCCCCGGCTCCTCAGCAGCAGCAGCAGCAGCCCCCTGCCACCTCCACCTCAGGTCCCCAGTCTCTCCCCAAATCTTGCCTCTCAGGCTATGGTTCTCCTGTGCCACCAGTGAAGACCCCCACCTCTGCTCTTACTGGCCAGACCCCACCCCAACAACAGACACAGTCATATTCCCCTAATCAGCCGCCTACTTCCCACCTGGCTCAGTCCTACGGAGGCTTCAGTTCACCACAAGCCCAAGACCTGAGCTCAGGTACTGCTGGGAAAGGCTATGGGAGTTTAGGAGGGCGAAGCCAATCATACTCCACAGATATATATGGAGCTGACTCTGCTTATGGATCACTTCCATCTTCTCTGGGTGGAGCTGGAAGCCCGTCACTAGGCTACGGAGCCCCAGGTCACTCCCCTGCTCTTTTAAGATCAAGTGGTTCATCAGGTAGTGGAGCATCTGGAGGAGGAAGCAGCAGCGGCACGGGAAGTGGGAACTCTGGCTCAGGGGGAGGAGCAGGAAATAGTATGACAAATGAGAGAGGTGGAGGAGGTAGTGGTGGAGGGTCGTATCATATTCCAGATTCTAGCCCCTCTCCATCAGGCAACTCAGGCATCATCCGTCCAGGGTTGCACTCCCCAGTGCCCACCTGCCCCACACAATCTCCGGGAGGTGCAGGCTCTAATAAATACATTTCCTCCGTTCTCTCCCCCACCTTCCTAGCCTCCCCACAGGGCTACCCTGACACCAGAGGGCCCAGCTCCCAACCCCAGTCCTATCATTCCACCTCCTCCAAAACAAAGGCGGACACTTCCATGCTAGGCGTAGGCTCTCAGAGAACCCAAGAGGAAGTGGATGACGACGATGAGTTCTTGATTCAGCACTTGCTGCAAGCCCAAGCAAGTCCTGCTCCCCAGGCTGCTCATCACCATCCTCAACAACCACCCCAACAGGCATCCCAGCAAACACAGCCTCAGCCTCAATCAGTGCCCCCAACTACTGATTCAGGCAAAGGGCTGAGCTATGACATGGGTAAGACCTCTGAGGAGAGGTACCATCCCCAGAGTGTCATACGTACCCACAGTGCCACATCCACTGCCGGGGTAGGAAACGCAGGGTCCGGAGGGTCCATCTCAGGGCTGGACAACCAGCTGGAGATGTCACTGAAGAAACAACAGCAACAACATCAACAGCACCACCATCCACAGCAACAACAGCAGCAAAGGAACGAGCGGTCTGTTGGAAGCAGCAGAAGCAGCGGAGGGAGAGGCAGCGCTGAACAAGTGCACTCCCATCTCCATCACCATGACAACCTCGGCTCGGTAGTCCACTACGGGCGGGGTGACCCATACAGTCAACACTCCCTTGCCCCCCAACACTCCTCACATAGTCAGCACGTGTCCTCTCACTCACAGATACCGTCCCACAGCCAAATGGAGCTCCAGAAGAAGCCACAGGAGCGCGCTGAAATCCCTTATCCTCGGAAAACCCCCGAAGTCCAGCAGCAGCATTCCCAGTCTCAAGCTGCTGCCTCCCTCATGGACTCCCCCACCGATCAGTCCCGTCAGCCGCCACACCTGCTCCAGTCGGTGCTGTCCCACACCACCCGCAACAAACTGGAGCCTCATCAGCAGCACCACAAAATGGACTCTCATCGGCAACACCAACAGCACCACAAAATGGACTCCCACCAACCGCATCAACAACACCCAAAAATGGACTCCCACCCTCAGCATCAACAGCATCAGAAGATGGACTCCCATCAGCATCAGCAGCACCACAAAATTGATTCTCACTCGCAACATCAACAGCACCATAAAATGGACTCTCATGCCCAACAACAGCAGCACTCTATTAGCCAACAGCAAGCTGTAATGGAAAGTGCTGGTGGGAGACTTGGCTCAAGTAAACACCAGGCGCAGTCTCAGTCACAAACCACCCAGCTCCAGCTTCAGCTCCAGTCCCAGGCTTTGGAGGTGGCAGCGGCTCACTACAACCACGGGCCCCCTCCACATCAGCACGAGCAGAGCCAGGTCAAACAAAGCTCAGTGGTGTCTTCCCTGGACATGCTGGAGCGCTCCCTTTCTCAGACCTCCAGCACAGACGTAGCTGTTGCAGAAGACCGACGCGGTGGAGCGGGCAGCGGGGGAAGGAGCGGAGGTAGCAGCGAGCGCCACAGACAGCAGCAGCAGCAAGAGCAGCACCCATCCCACCATCAGCCGCAGCAAACCCACCACTCACAGCAACACTCGGCCTCCGAACTCCACTCTTTCCTCTCTGAGCCCGACATCAGCTTATCCACCCCGTCTCACATGCACCATCTCTCCCAGCACCACCCGCAGCAGCAGCAACAACAGCAGCACCCCAGCTCTCAACACCAACAAACCCACTCTCACCACCCTCACAACCAGCCCCCACTCCCTCACCACATACCCCCGCCTTCTGCCTCAGCCCACTCCCAGCCTCAGCCCGACCCGCAGCAACCACTGTCGTCCCAGCTCACCCCTCAGCAGAGCCAGCTGGACCAGCAGCGCTCAGAGCAGCACCAGTTTGACACAGTCAGCCCAGTGGAGAAAGCAGACCAGAATCAACAAAGTAATCGCTTTGTACCGCTAACTTCTATCTGCTTCCCGGATTCCCTCCTTCAGGATGAGGACCGCTCTTTTTTTCCAGGTATGGAAGACATGTTTTGTGCAGAGGACTACAAGTCGAGCTGCGCTGGAGGTGCAGGTCCAGGGCAGGGGGAGATGAATGAAAGCCACACTGGGCAGGAGGGAATGGATTCCATGAAAGCGGGACAGAGCGGAGGTGGAGCAGGGGGAAGTGCCGGAGCTAGCTATGACATAATGGGTCACCATGGTGGAGATCAGGGTTATGAACCATACTGCCATGGTCTGGAAGAACCCAGCAACAACACCATGACTCTGGATCTAGACTCCCTTAAAACTCATGAGCTCCCATCCACTGTCAACACCGAACAGCTGGGATTGATACAGTCCCAGGCACCAGCTATGGGTATGGGTTCCAATACTGCTGGTCCCAACAACGCTGGAGCTAAAATGTCCTCTGGGCCTGGAGGAGCTAACGCAGGGGCCGGCTCTGGAGGCCTCCAGTCTCCCATTTTCTGTTCATCTCGTCCCAAGAAACTCCTCAAGTCCAGCTCTTTCCACCTGTTAAAGGAGCGCCGGGACCCCAACACACTGCCTAAGAAAAGTTACGCTCAAGAGTATGAGTTTGAAGATGATGAGGATAAAGCGGACCAGCCAGCTGATATCCGGTTGAACAGCCGGAGGCTCCCGGACCTATTGCCAGACTTGGTGTCCAGCTGCAGAAAAGGAGGAGGCAGCGGGTCTCTCAGCCCTTTGATGGGTGACATCGACTTCTACCACTCCTCCGGCTACTCCTCTATGGGTTCACACTCTCTTCTGCCTCAGGATGGACCCAAGAAGAGGGGCAGAAAGCCCACTAGACCCAAGAGAGAGGGCCCCCCTAGGCCAAGAGGCAGGCCTCGCATCCGCCCAATGCCTGAGCCGTACACTCCGAGAGGGATGATGGGGGAGATGGGTGGAACAACAGTAGGAGGAGGATTCAATGTGGAGGGACGAGGTAGAGGTAGGGGTCGTGGAAGCCGAGGTAGAGGAGGAAGGAGGGAGGATATGTACATGGAAATGAGCGGGAAGGAGCAGGATCAGATGCACCACCATCACCTACATCAGCAGCAGCAGCAGCTCCATCACCAGCCCCAACAGCAGCAACATGAGCCTATTCCACCTCTGAAGGTCAGTGGCATTCTGCCTAGAAAAGGCTTGGGGATTTTTAAATAATTTGTTTTTACATTTATTAGCATCACATCTGTGCTTAAATGACAAACACTAGTTTTTGAAACTGAATGTGGGGATGTGGGTAAAAGATGTGGTTCACTTATGAGCCCTGTTTTTAACTTAATAAGAATCTGCTTGTGTGGTGGAAGGCAGGGTAACCAATACCTGTAGATTTTGTTGTTTTGTGTTACCTGTGCATAGCTGCTATGGCCATGTGCCTGCTGAGGACTTTCATTCTACTTCCTCACTCACTCTCTTTTTAATTTAAGACTTGTCAGGTTTAAGGTTAGTCTCAGTCACCCTGTTTAAATTGTCTTGTTATGTAAATGCCAAAATTATTAAACACATTTTCCATCCTGGCTTCCTTCCCGGTTCTTGCGCCATACATCATTATGTTCAGGCAAAGTTGCTTTAAATCTTCCCCTTTTCTTTATTCGATTTTCTAGATTAAATTACCAATTGGTACCCTGTCCTCCTCCGACGCCTTGCTGAGGACAGACTCTTTGTCTGGCACGGACCCTGCTTTGTCGGACGGCTCAGTGGGCTCAGCTCCCTCACTTGGTTTAAGTCCTGGACCCCCCTGCAGCACCGAAAGCACCAGAAGTCAGGACAAGAACAAGCAGAAAAGCCAGATGATGGGTGAAGGAGTGGATGACGAGGGGCTGGAGGAAAGGGTAATTATGTCCCCACACTTTAAGTTGCGTAAAGATGAAATTGAATGGATCTAATTGCTTGATAGCTGCGGCGAGTGAGCTAAGTGACAGTCTCTTGTTTTTCTTCTAGGGGGATGAGAAGGACTCTGAGTCCAAGGCCGGCTTCGTTGCCTCATTCTTGGACTTCCTCAAGACAGGGAAGAGACCTCCAGGCTTGGACATCTCACCAGGAATGGAACCTGATAATGGTGAAACCTCACCCTGTAAATCGGGGGGTCTGCGGCCACTGTCTCCTGCACCTCCTCCTCCACCACCACCTCCTCCATTCGGGGATGGTGAAGGGAATGGGGGTCTGGCTCTGGGCAACTGTCCCAGCCCCAAACGCTTGGAAGATGAGCTAAAGAGGAACTTGGAGACGTTGCCTTCGTTCTCCTCTGATGAGGAGGATTCAGTCGGAAAGAACCAGGACCTCCAAAAGAGCATCTCCTCAGCCATTTCTGCTCTGTACGACACTCCTCAGCTAACCTCTAATATCCAAGCCCCGCTACCTCCTCCACCCCCCCAGCCTCAGCCTCAGCCTCAACCTACCCAGGCCCCTCTTACTCCCACACTGCAACCCCCCACGCTCAGTCCACAGCCTGCCATGCATACTCCCCACACCCAGCCCCAGTCCAACGAACCTGATATCCTCCAGCCAGAAGAAGGAGACATGGATGAGAACAAGGAGGAAGAGAATGAGGAGGAAAGAAGCACGGGAGGGGACGAAGAGAGCGATATGACAGAGGAGAGAGAACCACAGCTGGAAACCCTGGGTGCCCCTAAACTTGATGGTGAGGCTGGTTAGCTTTTTATTCATCTCATGTCCTTTTTTTTTTTTTTTTTTTTTTGCACTGTGATTTTTCTGCAGCTCAGCTTAGGAAAATTAATATTTCCCCCTGCAGACGAAGCTATTTTTAGTCTAATAAAATGTCCCATCGTGTATTTGTTAGAATTAATAATTCAATTCTTGTGGCTGTTGGGACATTGTGATGAATTGATCTGTAAAACTGACCTTACCCTTCTTTCTTTCCAGCGCCCCTCCCCGAGATCCCTGCGGCGCCAACAACTCCTGAACCTCCCTCCATCCCTCCATCTCCCGCCACATCCTCCTCTCCTTCTCACTCTCCCCTCCCTCCCCTCTCACTCCCCTCACCCCTGCCTCCACCAGAAGAACAACAAGAGAATTCCCAGCCTCCGAGCCCTGTTGCTCCCACATCTCCATCTCCATCTCCATCTCCATCTCCATCTCCATCTCCATCTCCATCTCCGCCACCTCTGCCCCCACCCGCTACTCTCCCTCAGCCTGCCACTCCTCCTCCGACTTCGCCTCCTCCCCCGCCTTCAACTCAGAAGGAGTCTCCCATGCCATCTCCGGAGTCGCCCGCCTCTCCCGAAGAGCCCCCGGCTCCTAAAATCACCTCCCTGCACCTCGCCCAGAAGCAAGAGGATGCTGCCATCGTTGGAGAGAGTGAGGAGGACGAGAGCGAGAGCGGAGGGGAGGGCATCTTCAGAGAAAGGGACGAGTTTGTGGTGCGAGTGGAGGACATTCGAACTCTCAAGGTATTTGTGTGAGAATATGTGGGAATGCATTTTGCTTCTTTTGTGTGTGTGTGTGTGTGTGTGTGTGTGTGTGTGTTATTGACAGTTAAAGAGAGTTATTGTTCTCTGGTTGAGAGGCAACAAACTGAAGAAATAGATTTGAATCTTTCAGTTGCTGTTACAGAGACATTTTGCACTTACCTGTGTGTCATGTGTTATGCCACAGCTGGCCCTGCAGACGGGTCGTGAGCCTCCACCCATCTGGAGGGTGCAGAAAGCCCTGCTGCAGAAGTTCAGCCCGGAGATCAAAGATGGGCAGAGACAGTTCTGCGCCACGAGCAACGTGAGTTCACCTCAAGCCTTCAGTAATCTAAACACACCTGCAAACTTCCATGATGATTTTGTACCCTTCTCACAGGCCGTGCTACATCATAGCATATGATACAGATACTGCAGTGTAGTATATGCTCAGATGTACATCATGGGTCTATTGTGTCACATCATCACCAGTCAAAATGAGGCCATTTGAAGTTTATTGTATTTTATATTAAAACATGTTTTAATTTCTTTCTCTCTCAGTATCTTGGCTACTTTGGAGATGCCAAGAGGAGATACCAGCGAATCTATGTCAAGTTTTTGGAGAATGTCAATAAGAAGGACTATGTCAGAGTCTGCTCTCGGAGACCTTGGCGCAGAGCCACACCTGCTCTCAGGTACTGGTATTTGGAAAATCTTATTCAGATTGAGTTGAGCCTTGCTAGATTTAGTTTGGGATAAAATCACTTTGCTCTGATAAGGGAATACAAGGGGCCCAAGTTGAGCTCCCGACCCGGAGGTCAGGTTTTAGTCCAAAAAGCCCCCAAAAATATGTTGGGCAAAGGCTGAACCATAGCTACAGAAATAAGATATTGATCCTTGAATTTTGAGACTTGTTACAAGTGAAGGTAAGATGAAGTAAAAAAAAAAAAATAGGTGGACAGATGTGACCCTAGAAGTTATGCTGACTTGTAGTAATTGAGCTGAGCCTGAAGGAAAGTTGATGTAGGTTCCAGCCCTCAGCTGTGGGCATGAACTACATTTGCCAGTACACATGACTGAAAGGAGTTTCCTTCTGTGTCCTTTCTAATGTCTTGTACCTTGAATTATTATATCAAAATTTGACTATAAATAGAGAGAACGATTCTGTTCTGTAAAATCATGTCCATCTCTAAAACAATATATTTATGTGCCACAGACGCCAGTCCCTCCCCAGAATGGCATCCCCTCCCACTACCCAGCCGACTCCGAGAGCAGTGGAGAAAGAGGAGAGAGTAGCTCCGCCGCTCCAGCGCGAACAGAGGGAGAAAACAAGAACAGCAACCACAACGACAGCAAAAGAACAACGGGAGAAGAAGGAGGCTCCAGCTGCGGTGCCCAAAGCCAGGGAGAGGGAGAAAGAGAGGGAGCACGAGAAGGAGAAGGAAAAGGAGAGGGAGAAGGAGAAGCGAGTACAGCCACAGCAGGAGAAATTGGAGAAACGCGCTGCAGCAGCAGAACGAGGGAGAGCAAAGGAGGAGAAGAAAGTGGTGGAGAGGAAAGAGAAGGAAAAGGCTGAGCGCCCACCCAAGTCCAAGCCGGCCAAAGTGAAGGCAGAGCCGCCTCCCAAGAAGAGGAAGAAGTGGCTGAAGGAAGTACCTTCATCATCAGACTCAGACTCATCGGATGAGGCAGCTAGTGAGAATGAAAGTGAGATGCTATTTTGATTCTTTGTGCTTGCATTCTGTCATTAGAAGTCAATGTAAAGGAGTTTCCTGTCACATTTGAAGCCATAATAACAAAGCAGTCGTTATTTATGTCATGTCCCGTGGTTCTGGATCGTTTAAAGCTCTGGTTCTTACCCACTCAGTGCCAGTGAAAGGTGGAGTGAACAACCGTGCCATGAGGGAGATGTTCAGGAGCTATGTGGAGATGCTGGTCAGCACGGCCCTGGACCCCGACATGATCCAAGCTCTGGAGGACACAGACGGTGAGAACTGCACACCGCACACACTGCCTCCTCGGCGTAGCTACACTTTAAGCTTTTATTGAAAAATTGACTGACGTGTAAAGAACAGAAATAGATTGTGAAGCTCAGATGCAGCTTGTATTGTGTGAGAACATATCTCTAACCCAACCAGACCTGTCTGTCTGGTAGCATGTTGTCTGCAGCTTGAACGTCTGCATTAAAAGTGCTGTTGTGATGGTGTTTTCAAAGGTGGCTTCAAGTGTCAGTGCAGTTTGGGCAGGTTAAATAAACATCACGACCACTGAGAAGTAGCAGCTGCCAGGTTTCAGGTCAAGCCATCCAGCTGGACAACCGGCCCTTACGACAGCAGGGAAATTTTTTTTTTTTTTTTTTTATAGAATTGTGTAGTATGCATATTTAGATGAATCCTTGAATGGAAATCCAAATAAACAAGGTGTGACGGGTTGAAGGGAAGCCCCGGGAATGCAGAAAAATCTGCAGCCAAGAAGAGCTGCTTTGAATCTGTGCCCTTGGTATTAAAATGATTGACAGCTGCATGGATGATTGCTAATGAAACTCCCTTGACATTGATTGGCCACCAGATGAGCTGTACCTCCCACCGATGAGGAAGATTGACAGCATCCTCAGCGAACAGAAGAGGAGGTTGTTGAGGAGAGTCGGCATGAGCTCTCAGCACCAGGTAATCTGTCCTGAATGTACTAGTCCCTCTCTCTCTGTCCGTGGCTGAAATAACATCTCTGATTTTCTTTTTTTCCTTTTTCCAATTTTTATTTCACATTGCTGTGTTTCCTTCATTTCAATCGCCGCTGCTTTTTTCATTCTGTGGTGCAGGAAATAAATCTAGACTCCTGTTAAATGGCCCAGTGATTCACTATAAGAACAATACTAGACTCACAGAGCTGTGTCATCGATGTAGGGGAGTCTAGTGCTGAAAACAGTCGGTGGATAAATTGATTCAATAAGCGCAAAATTAATTGATAACTATCAATGAAACTCTTGCTGTTTCCTGCTTCCAAGGTGTGAGGATTAGCTGGCTTGTGGTGGTAAATTGACATCACCTTGGGCTCTAACATTTTAAACATTACATGATAATTATTAGAAAAAATGAACAACTTTATTGGTAATAAAAATAATCACTCACTCAGACTCAAAGTCTCGTCTGTCTCCCTTCTTCACTCTTATTCTGCCTCTTCCTCAACAGGAGGTCCTGCATGCTTACCCCCAGATCATTGTCGACCCCCTGGACACAGGAGTGGTGAGGGTGCGGCTAAGCGGGGACGCTTACAACCGCAAGACCCTCAACAGAGTCAAGAAGACCCTGCCTAAACCACAGGTATGCCTGTGTGGGAGTGAGGGGGTCATTGGGGGACTTTTGTATTTCATTAACTCTGTTTTAAAGAAATTGTAATGGAGTTCTTCTTGCATCATACCCTCTTCACATTTGTTCAGTTGAGTTCTCAAATACTCTGAATTACATTAACGGGACTCTCTGAGGCCCATCAGGACATTTTTAGCCCATGACCAGGTGATTCTCTCTCTGGTTTCTGGGTGAGATAAATGAAGCACTTGTGGATCACCAAAAAAAATGAGTACAAGCTGCAGCAGGAGGAGCAGAATATATAGACACTGAAACCACTGCCTCAACAAAATTAACCGTTACCGTTAAAAGCTCCACAGTGCAGGGTGAGTGACGGAGGGATCGCTGGTGATGGAGAGAATAAATCAGTTTGAGCTTCCTCTCTAACACCTGCTGCAAGTTTCTAAACCTGCTCCACTTTCACCCCTTCTTACACAGAACTGTAAGGTTAATATAGACTTTAGCTTTGGGACTGATTTGTTTATTGATGCTTGTAGAGTTTGACAATTCTTAATCATTTCTTTTCTTTTAGGACCTTAAACTGTCGGCCGACTCATATCGGATCTACAGTCTCTACCACTCCCTGCATCACTATAAATACCACACCTTCTTACAGTGCAAGAAAGAGGTAAGCAAGCATGTTGCTATTATCAGTTTACCCTTCAGTCAGATTGGATAAGTTTTATTGACAAGATCTCATCAATTTTGAGTTTGAGTTGTCGTGACAAACATGCTTGAAAATTTTGAAAACTGTTTCAGTGCATTTCCCTCAAATATTCTGTGTGGTGCACAAGTCTCATTAAATAGACCACCACTTTCTTTTTTTGGCTTAAGACCCTGATTTGAGCATCACAGTTGTCTGTGTTTTCGTGCCACTTTTCCAGACCAACACCATTGAGCAGGCAGCCGAGGACCCAGGCCAAGAGGAAGTAGTGCAGCAGTGCATGGCCAACCAGAGCTGGCTGGACACCCTCTTCAGCTCCTTCATCGAGCTGCTCACGCTCAGCACCAAAGCCTGAGCCAACTGCAGAAAGAGAGAGAGAATTAATTAAAGCAAGAGGATTTAAAAAAAAAAAAAAAAAAAAAAACTAAGAAGAAAATACAAAAACGGAAAGAGATGGATCCTACTGTACAGCCCCCCCCTGACCCTCTTCAAATCTCTAATATCTGAGGATGAATTTTAAAGGCCCTTGACGAACATAAGGGGGTCTGTTCATGTGACCTCAGACACTGGCCTCTGTTCTTTTTCTTGTTGTTGATCAATGACTTAAGAAATGTCTTACTTTGCGAGAAGGGGGACCCCACCGGATCAGGGGTCACTGGTGGGTCAAGAGGGAATTGACCATTGGTGAAAAGGGAGAGGCGCGAGGTGGAAGGACAAAGAGGAGGAGCCGTACCGCCAAGTCAACGGAGAAGCCACTGACATCTTGTTAACTGTGTGTCATAAAGACAATAGTTCAAAGAGAAACTATTACCGCTTAGTTTTTACATAAATTATTTTTTGAAAAGACTAACATCAGCTGTTGGCTTTTGAAAAGAGTGGAAGAGGGTGAGAATGCTTTTTAAACTGCGTGTAGAGTGTGCCGTGAGCAGCGTGAACATGGACTCGTCCACGGATAGAAACATGAAATGTGTTATTAAACGCTCTCCCTCTCATCCTGTGCTATGTGAAGGGCAGCACCAGTCAGCTGTGTGATAATATATAAACACATTTTTATTATTTATATGAGGAGGTTTTTAACTTAAACTCTCACAAGCGCTGAGTTGCTGCCCTAACATTTTAAATACCTTTTTATTTTCCACAGGTTCAGTATACAATCGTAACCCACATATCCAAGTCGTCTTCCCCTCTATACAAAAGAACAGACGTTGAGACAGAAATATTGTATCAAATACAGTGGGTGTAAAATAACAAAAAAAAGGAAGAAAAGAAAAAAAAGAAGAGAATGGGAAATTCTATTTGAAACTTACATTGTTGTGCTTCAGTTCAATCATCAGTCATGCAGGTGCAAAGAAAAAGAAGTAAACTATCCATTTCCCATGTGGGAAGGAGTATAAATAAGTAATATTTAAAGAGGAAATAGTCATTTCATTTTTATCATTTTGATGTTTGTGCATACTATGACTTATTTTGAAAACAATCTAATTTTCCATAAAAAAAAGGAAAAAAAAGGCGTGTAAATATTGTACAGTTCTTGATGAAATTCTTTGTCCTTCTGTACATTAACTCTCCTGTATTTGAGAAACAAATAAAATCTGCAAAGAACAAATGGTGTTTAATTTCCCTGCAGTGTGCACATGTGTGTTTGTGTCCTTGTGAGGACATTTTGACTTTGCACACCTCAAGACGGGACATTTGTTTTCACTTATTCAAAAGGCTTTTTGGGAAGTTTAGACATAGTTTAAAGTTAGTTTTTTAAGTAACTAAACCATGTTTAAAGTAAAAGTAAACCTTTATAGTTTTTTTTAATCCTCCCTTGGCCCTTCTTTCTGTAACATGATCTTTTTCGATAATCGACTGTTCTGGGCTGCGCGTACAGTCCGTGTGCGTAAATCAGCTTGTTCAAGCCTGGTTTGAGTTAATGGTAATTAGGCTCGGCTGGGTTGTGTTAATGAAACGGCTCGAGCCTGAAGTGAAAGTCGACATTAATTCTAACCGGGCTTTCTCAAGTAAGCGCAGATTTCCTTAGCTTTCCTTAGTTAATGGAAATCAAGTTGACTTGACATAAGCCAATGTTTGAGATGTGTCTTAAAGGTTGGATATGTAGGACACCCCCTTATTGCAAGTGGTAAGCCATTCTAATATTTACTTTCCTCTACTGGTAGCACAGTTGATCCACAATGATCTGCTGAAGGAGGAAAGTTTTTGAGTTTAAAGATATGCAGCCACAAGTATTATTTATGACATATGAGGTATGGTCTGGAATGCAACCCAGGCTAATTTAACGGGTAAACTTAAGACCACTCGCAAATAAACATGAATAATGTCTAACTCGTTAAATGATTTCCTTTTTTCTTTAAAAAAAAAAAAAAAAAAAAAGAATATCAGGCACAAACTTAATAATCAAAGCAAGGCATTATTTGATGTGCTTAAACACGTTTGAATTGCACCTTTACCTTCAGGGTATGGTGTCTGTCACGGGCCAACGTGTGATGTCAATGGAAGGTCCTCACAAGTATAGACATACAAACGCGCGTGTTCGACCCCACCTAGCGGACCAGCTGGTATAAAACCCAGCTGACGTCACATCTGGAAAACGAAACTGGAGACTCGGAGTTTCCCCAAAAAGACTGAGAACGCAATCGGGCTGGTATTTAGAGAGTTAGCAGCTGGGATTGAACGTTTTTCGCATAGCTTCTGATTCGCCTGCAACACAACACTGCTGCCACTTTTCCTGCATCACATGTGTCTGATTTCTGGCCCAGAAAACGACTGGCCTTGAACTCAACACCAAGCTGCACCGACTGAAACCTCGTCGTTACAGGTAGGAGCCTTTTTTTATGGAGCTACCAGTGTTGTTGAAACATTTCATGTGGGTTTAAATCGCTCCAGTAGTGCTTTGTTGTGAAATTGTGGACGGCCATTAAACCTATGAACAAATATGTAACTTGTGTAACTCCTCGGCTCTTATCTTTCCATATCTGTTGTCAAACATAATCACACAGCCACAGGATTATTTCACTACTGTTGTACTGTTGTACACAAAAAGACAACTTCTACTGTTTGTTTGTTGATTGTTTGTTGTTTGTATCCTGTTTCTATTTGAAGTGACTGTGAGTATTTCCTCTTCGTGTAACCTTATAACCTGTTTAACTTCTACTTGAAATGCAACAGTACAATGAAACAGTTCAGAGTAAACAACTATTATGCACCAGTAATATTAAATTACCGGCATTATGGGGGTGGGGTTGGGGTGGTGGATTTACCTGTCATGCTTGAATACATTTTACTGTGACAGTTAAAGATAAAGTATGCAGTATATATGTATGTATGTATGTATGTGTGTGCGATGCAGTATATATGTATGTATTACTCATATTGGACTGTTTGGTATTGAGTGCTGAACATCTGGCATCATATTCTCCTGCTTCCTCTTTCTTGCCATTTAGAAATATGAAATGGAAACTGATTCTTTTTTCCCAGCAGCAACAGAGTAGGATACTGCAGAAATCAGGATACTGTACACTGCTTATTTTTTCTGAAACCTTTGATAATGTAGTGGGAGTGGGAAAATAGAAAGTTATTCTAATAATTTAGGATCTTGCATAATTTTTCTACACTTGTTTTAATTGTTCATTAAAAATTGTACAGTTTAAGTATTGTTTTGTTTAAATTTTGTCTGTATGAATCAGGTTGAAAAACTAGTAAATAGCGCCCTCTACAGGCAAAATGTGTCCTTTGAGATGGACCTGAAAATTCTAATAAATAATATAAATATATAATATGGACGGATACTTAGATAAAAAATACAGATACATATGTATAACTAAGGGGATTAAACAGCCAGCCAGGCTTAGCTATTTTTATTTGAATAAAGCATTTCAAAAATTCTCCACCAATATAATATCATATAAGCCTTGATGACACTTTTGACATGACAGTTTTTCTCGCTCCTGCAGAGATGTCTCATTCCAAACCTCTGCTCATCCCGTGGCTGCGAACCCAGGTTGACAGCGGCAGGTATCCTGGTGTCAACTGGACAAACCCGGAACGAACAGAGTTCTCCATCCCATGGAAACACGCATTAAGACAGGACTCCTCCGACACTGACATTCTCATCTTTAAGGTTAGCACTCGTAAATATCATAGTATAAAAAGTTATCAATGGCAGAATGATGGGGAAATAATCATATACATGAATTTGACCGAACTTATCCCTTGTGTTCATGGCATTTTACACAGTGACAGTGTATTAAACCTTTGGCCTGGTTTTTGTAGGCCTGGTCAGAGTCGAGCAACAATGGCCAGGCTCAGGGAGACCCGTCAGTCTGGAAGAGGAACTTCCGCAGCGCCCTGCGAGCCAAAGGCTTCAAAATGGTTAGCGACAACAAGAACGATCCCGCTAACCCCCATAAAGTGTTTCGCTGGCCGGAGGAGGTGACATCAGAAGGTGAGGATCCACCACGGCGTCCATAGACAGTCACCATTTGGTCCTTTTAATGTAGTGGATAACAGGCAAGTTAAAAGAAGGAGTCTCTCTTCTGTATTAAAAATGACCTACTATAAAAAATAACTGAATTAAATGTTTATGTATTCACTGGCACCTGGCATTAAAATTGCACACAAATGATACAAAAAAGATTGCTCTCCCCCTTTTCTCTCTCTCTCTCTCTCTCTCTCTCTCTCTCTCTCTCTCTCGCGCAAAATCCAAACACACATTTCCATTTGTCTTGAAGGTTTATTCATGCAAAGTTATTCAGCTTGTGTCTTAACTATAATCCCAGGAAAGGAGTTTGTGCTGCTTAATGTACCTTTTTTTATTAGCTTACATAATCTAATTAACACAGCATCAGTTAATTCTTCATATTACTGTACTGTTGTTGATTGCAAATTAGATAAATACAAAAATCGGGTAATGCATTAGGTGACACATGTGCTCTCATGTGGGTTATGTTTGAATCTGAACTGAAAAGCACCTTTCTATCAGTGCGGCCACAGACAGTACACACCTGATCTCCTCCTTACCTGATTTGGATGATCTCGTCGCTATCCGTCCTACATGCACTTCTGTCTGGATTTCCGTTTCTGTGGTTGAGATTTGTCGAGGGGAGATGCAAATGCAGAGCATGCAAGTGAATACCATTTGTGAATGGGATTATAAGATTAAAGAGGTGTTTCTGAGCAGAATGAATGATTAAAAGATAGTAAGCAGAGTTCTTTGCTTTCACTCTCAAAGCTAACTCTTCTGCTGGATCCCAGGACAAAGATGACTTTGATTTGTTCCAGGATTGTGTCCTTCCTACACAAGAGGTAAGTAACTAAGTAACTGTGTTTGTGGTCTTGACTTGTAGGAACACAGGAAGTTAATTGTAAATGCTGTGTAATTAT